AGAAAGGGCAGACTTTTATTAGTAAGTCGCCGCATTCAGTTCATTTACAAGCATCTTACAGTACACGTGGTGTAAACAAATTTAAGACGAAACATGGAGTTGTCTCGAGAGAGTTATCGCGCTATGATTTACTATGACTTTAAATTCGGTTTAACTGAACATCAATGTATCGAATGGTTACAACAGGCCATGTTCTGATGTGACTCCAGAAAAAATTGCTAAAGTTTAGCGGCTCTTGGGGTAAGAGCCGCAACAGTGCACACCATTTTGCATGATCATCTTCATTAAAAAAAAGTTGTTGCGTGCAATCCACGACAATCCCTTTAGCCACACTGCCCAACTAGACTTTTTACGCCACCGCCACATCAAAATGCTGGAACATCCGCATTATTCGCCAGATTTGGCAATGTGTGACTTCTGGCTCTTCAACAATTTGAAAAAAGATCTGCGTGGTCGAAAATTTTTATCCGAAAATAAAAACGAAGAAGCAATTAATCAGTTTGTTGGAGGCATTCTAAAAACTGGCAGGTTAGAAGCATTTCATTTGTGGAAGGTTAGGCTACAGAAGTGCATTGATGCTGGAGGAGAATACTTTGAACATAAACAAACTAGTTTTCCAAAAATAGTTTTTAGTTTTCGTTCTAAGTAATCAATATTTCGCTGCCGTGCCGCCAGGATCCTGTGCTATCTTAAAGTATAATCATCGCCCATCAAACGTTGCCCAAGCCTGACTCCAGAGGATTATTTCAATCAAGTATGTGAGCAAAAAATCACGGTCAGTCAACAGATTGGCTGTCACTGAATGCCCAAGTGGTGGTTTCCATTGCTGTGAGGAACTATTTTTAACAGTAATAAAAACTGCAGGCACCCTTCGGCTAGAGCGACCACTTTGCCGAGACTATCCGTCCAAGCTTGAAAGGTTGTTCCGCAAGTGACCTAACTATTCGTAGCCTACAATTTGCTGACGATTCTCGGGCGACAGCATCAGAAGAGTTTTTATGCGAGCTGAGAATAAAATGGACGAGGCGACAAGTAGATCTGGGACGTATTTAATTTGATATAGTGTTCATTAAGAGCAAAGTGATTGAAAAGCAAGAGCTGCGTCTCAGTTATGTACTACTAATTGCGACAGCGAATGTCCATTACCAGTTGATCTCGTATTAGAGATGGATAAAATACAGAGGTCAGGTGAAAATTTTTCATTGCGTAAGAAGAAACACCACCACACCAATGCTTTCTTTCAAAGCTATAAAATAGACTGTATGATTTTATTTCGTAATGTTCATTATAAGCTAGAACGTTTTTAAAGTTTCGCAGAGATTTCCATTTCTAACAGTACCATATAGTACGAAATCCACAAAATTATAAACAGAATTGAAAAACACCTATTAGTATTTGAGAAAATAGAAAAGTATTCGTGACTCGTCAAATACAATCAAATGAAGACGTTACAGACTAAAGAATATTTTTTGCAAGTACTACTTTATTCCACAGACACTAATTGAGGAATTGAACGGAGGTGATGTACATATAGATGAAATAAGAACAGATAAAAACATAACTACGAATTACATATTACTGTGTACTATATTGATATATCAAACATAAACACTGTCAACTATTTTTAATTATCTGAAAGAACTGACTTAACGTTAATTTAGTTAACTAGTAATACATCTTTCCTTCGTCTGACCACAGAGGGCCTACCATGGATCCCTCAGCATGGTCTAGGCTTGGTCTCGGGTAGGACAACGAACGAAGTCTGAGCAACTAACCTCCATCCAGAGTTTAAGGTCTATCAAAATGAAACAGCACAAAGTGCCATTTATTACCAGAATTGACCACTGTGAGAGTGAACACAGCAAACTGTCTTTTGGAACAGAACCCCAGTTCGCATTTTAAGTCTGATCACCCACTGTGACCGCTAGATATATTACTAATTTGCTTAATGGCGAGTAGACCGTATTCTACCATAGCACCAGAATCGGCAGCATCTAGCGGTCACAGCCGTGACCCGGCTGACAATGCGAACTTGGATACAGTTCCAATAGGCAGCTTGCTGTTTTAATTCCTGCAGTGGTCGTTTCTGTTAATGTGCTCTGTGCTCTCTTATCTCTCTCGATACACGTTAATTTAATAGTAGGCCTAAAACTCCATTTTGCAATTTTTTGAGTGTATATTTTTGGTCAGGCTAGGAAAAGAGATCATGTCATGAAAAAAGCATAACTGATTTGTTTTCAACTCAAATAATGCTTTAATTACTTTTAGTTTCATTTGGCACCTTTTATTCCATCGATAAACATATTTTAAAACGAATTTCGAATTATAGCATAATTATATGTATATAATGTATGTTTTTGAAGCAGTAAGGTATTTGTGAGTATATTAAAAATGAAACAGAAGCAATATAGTATATTCTAAACGGTGTACTTAGAATTGTATAGTTAGAATGAATGCACTTGAAAAAATGCAATGCATATGATTCATATAAATTCAAAGAAATGTCGAACAATATAGTCCTTGTCTTTCAAAGTGCGCTTGGGCAAAAATTAATTTGTGTATAAATAGAATTATTACTTTGAATAATTTCATAACACGATAACCCCATTTTATAAGGTATTATGACGATGGTCCACTAAGGGAAAGATCACTTTTGAATGAATTATTAAAGAAATGTCATAGAACTCCTGCACTTTGAAAGTGGATATAATATATAAGAAAGCTTCAACTGTTAGACCAAAGAGCTGAAATCAAACATCTGTTCCTTTATGTATTCGCATAATACTGTAAAGCGAAAACTGAATCTCAACTAATAATTATTGTATGTTTAGAAAATTGTAAGGAAATTTCACCAATCTACATATGAAGAGCAACAATGCAAAAACCGATAAATCCACTTGTTACGATTTTTGAGTTCGGTTAATTTCGATATGCTTATCCGTTTTTAAAGAAATATATGAGCAAAAACCGCTAAATCCTCATGAAAAATGGAATTTCAAAAAGTTTTAAATTTGATGGGGATTTTTCTCTAGAGGTTTTTGCCGTTTTTCTCAGAACTACAAAAAATTGATTTATCGGTTTTTGCATTTTTGCTCTTCATATATTGTAGAGTATGAGATTGCTCTTCGACAATGTTATTACATAACTTTGCAAACCGTAGCAAGGAAGACACAATCCCTATGAGTTATGTATATTTTTTTTGAGCGTTTGACAGCCATGTGAGTTACAAGTCACGTAATAATCCAACGGCTGCATATACTGTATAAATATTAGCATGTCTATAAAACTGACCTCTCCTAATGAGTCAGCAGTCGGTAGTTTCAACTTTTTTCATAAATTAAATTATCGGATTTGACATTGTACCCTACCTGAAATATGTAGCAGGTTACTGTACCTTTCATCCAAGTTAAGGATACATGGAGTACTACAGGGTGCGCCATCTTTTATGTCGGTATGTAAACATGAAATAACTTTGAAAATGAAAAACTGATTTCTATATATCGGGTATTTTTATACAACATTTTTATTTACAATTTATTGGGACTAGTTTGTAAACACAACATCTATCAAGTGGCCACCTTTATTAGCCAAAACAAAATGTGCCCGTTTTGCTGCGTTTTCCATTACTTTTTCGAGAATCTCTGGTGAAGAAGAAGTCCTCTTTTTGTCATCAGACGTCCGTTGCACCGTCTTTCCAAATCACTAGGTTGGTAAATATCAAAGTTATTCGATGTTTCAATACCGACATAAAAGATGGCGCCCCGGTTCTATTTTCAAAAGTTCGAGTACGGAGTACTCGGTGTGAAGTTATTTGCTCTGTTCTCAAAATCGATTTATTTTCAAAGAATTGAACGCATCTCTCAAAAAAGACAGTTGAGCGACTTTTTCTATAAAAGGCCATATGTTAGTGCAATTATGCTGTTGTTAAGTGTTTTTTTAAAGTTTTAGAGTACAGCAAGGTTTTCCACATAAAATTCAAGACAATTAAAACGCATACCATGTCAAGAGAAGGACATTTGTGAAACAATATTTCCATACTTTTAGACATTTTTGTGCAGTACCGATCGGAAGTTTTACACTAAAGGTATATGCTCGACATCTTAAGCCTTCATTTTTGATGTGGGTAGGCAAAGCGAGGAAAGAGGCTGCTCAAATTTCGCAACATTATCTATTGGAATCGCTGCCCTGTCACCACCACAAAGACAAAATTTAAATCCTATAAGCTTCCTGGCTGCTTTCGGGAGGAGGGTGCAAATTAAAAATGCTTCACGCCGTGGCGGAACCAACTCAATACCGACTACTGAAATGAGAGAGGCGAACCTACCATTGAAATTGGCATTCCAATAATGCAAATGTTTTGACAAATGTTTCAACTTGTCAGACATTTTGGATTTGTGGCAAACGAATTGTAGAAAAAGGGAAACTAATGCTTGCGTATAGTTTTTCATGTAAAAAATCCTAAATCATTTTCTCAAAGTTTCTTATTAAAAAATCAGGAATTTAAAGTATTACATGTAATGCTTCAAGATGCATATACTGAACTAAAAAATGTGCCTAAATGTAACTACCATAAATGAAATCTGTACATACTAAAATATAATTTGAAAGAGAAAATATGGACTGTAGAACACAGTTAAAGTGTAAATTAATGTACATAAGTCATAAATCAAAAGTAAATATGACATATGTGAGTTGAGACTTGCGCAGAACTTTAAACTCGGAAGCACTTCAACTTCTGTCCAGCAAATATGTATGCAAAAATATTATATGTATGTTAGAGATTGCAGAGAATAGTTTGGGAATAAAAGTTGAGAAAGATAAATCAGTGTTTTATTCCAATGAAGCCTCTTAGTCCATGGCGGAAGAATTTGTTAACCAGTAGTAATGAGGGACCAAGGTGCAGTATCCTTTCAATTGCAAATATACAAAATAGTCCGGTCAAAACTATTTATCTTCAGATTGTCCAACATTAAGTAGTTGTATTTATTGTTTCGAGTTTTTCAAATGACCAAATCCAGTGGTTCGCTTTCCGTTTCGCGTATCTCCACTAGACGAAATACCTATAATACCGAAATGTGGAGTAGTTAATCAGCACGAAACAGCGCTGTCTGCGGGTGGTCATCGTTATTATTATGCATACAGGGTGTTCATTTGAAAACTTCCCACCACGTATTTCTCGAAAACCACTTCTTCTATTCAAGATCACCTGAAAACTTGAAGCAGTAGGCGTCTTAAAGAAGTCTTTCCTGAGGACGCCTTTGTTTTTTGTGATGAAGCCCATTTTCTGTTAACAAACAAAACATGCGCTACTACCCAACTAACAATTAGCGCACCTATTAGAGTTGCAAGAATGATTATACAGTATTCCTTAAACAGCATTGTATACTGTAAGAACATTGGCAAAACCCTCTTAGAACAGCTATACAAGCGGAATGGGCACACCTAATAGGACACTTCAGTCATTCAAGAGGTTGTATAAGGGCTGCAGGTAACAGTTATATAACAAAAGTGTAAGCATCTTGCAGCCGCTATAGGACATTTGCGTCAGTGCAAGATTCAATTTTTGTCAACTATACAACTATTCTGTTACGTGATTCTACTTTATTGCAACCAAACTATTTCTTATGTATTGTATAGACGAAGTGAAGAATATATATATCTAACGCATTACAGTCATCTTGTTTAGTTACATATCGGCCATTGTGAGTTTCAAAGACATGTATATGATAAACTTGTACACTGCGATATAGGGCTATTGAATTACTTGCGCAACAAATTTTATTGTGATTATCGTGCAAATTAGTTACGCAATATCTACGGGCTTCGTATTTGATTCATATTTTGATAATGATCAACAGTATGTCTAGATTTTTAAGATGGAAAACTGAACTTATCTGCGTTGAATCGTCCACAAATCCTATATTAAGACACAATTACACTAATGATTATCACCTTATATCCGTAATTTCGAACTGAAACATAATTATTTAATATTAAATAGAGGAAAAATGTATGCCCAATATGGCGGGTGGTTGTGTATAATCATGGCATCGTCCATGTTGCCTTTAGGTTATTAGAATATTTTCGTGTTGCCTGCAGGTGTTATACAACAATTTGACAAATGTCTGAAATGAAATAGCGACAGAGTCGAATGATTTACCCAGAATTTGTAACCAGACCTATATCTTCTGTTTGAACAGTTGATAAAACCTTCTGAACCAATATGCATGCGTTGTTTGTCTTAAAACATTGGTTATGGCATTTTAACAAAAATATGACAGCAGAAAGTTAGGTTATGGTGAAGTTGTATACCAACATATTTAGCATATGTACAGCCTTTAACAGTTACTAAACAACAGTTGTATAAGTGCTTCCGTTGGGAGCAATTTGTTGGCTAAAGTAGTAAATTGCACAGCAAAACAACAAGGCTCGGGTTTGTTTTATAAACGTTACCATGGATGCCACAACACAACCATTTTGACTAACGTGCAAATATGCCATATAAAATAGTTGTATAAACGTTTATGCAACAGTTAAAAATTTGCCCTATAAGGTGTTGTCTAACTATGCTATAAGAATATTTTAAACACTTCATTTTAGAGCAAATATGTTGCAGAAAGCAAATTTGCATTCCACACAACATTAAGCCAGCATTTTGGTGTTCAGGCAACAACAATAGAGAGCTTTTATGGCTGAACGGTTCTTTTACCAAAAGCTTATACCACTACTTTGCTAGTTGGGTAGGCTGACTCCAATCCTCGAGAATTGTATCGAAGGCCTTTGCATTTAGCTGAAGTCACAGTGTGCCGTGCAAAATTCTCAACTAGAATTATTGGTCTCTGGTTCTTTGAGGAGAATGAAGTCGCAGTGACAGTGATTTCGCACCTGTATATAAACATGTTACCGGAATTCTTTTCCGCGGTTAGATGAGTTGGACTTGAGGTACATTTGGTTCCAACAAGACGGTGCAACTGCACGCACTTGAAGAGCATCGCAGGCTGTTTTGAGGAAAGAGTACCCAAAGCGCCTCATCTCAATTATGGGCGATTTGGAGTAGGCCAATTGTAACCCGTATTTATGTGAACCGTTCAAGTACCCTACAAGATTTGAGGACTAACATCCATAAAAAAAATTGCCAACATAACGCCTGCTATGCTGGCCAGAGTCATGACAAACGCAAAAAATGGGTTTACTTAGTGTATGGAAAATGGGGGACGTCACCTATCTAATTTGATCTTCAAGAATATGTAAAATAAAACTTTAGGCATGCGCCTATATTTATACCAAAAACAAATTAACATATTCTGATTCATACAAATGGGTTTTATTAAGTTTTGAAAAAATGAAGTTATGCTGCAGCACCCTGTATATTCGCCTTTATCACTCGAACTCAATATATAACGCGGTTGCACCGTCGTAAGTGTCGTGCTGCATACGATCCTAGTAAGATATGGTATAATGAGCAAGGACCATAAAACACATTTGTTGCTCCAGACAGACAGGGCTTAACGCCCTGTAATAACTAAGCCCCAACCGGAATCAAAATAATTCATGAAATTGTGGATGCACTCACCTGTTCAAATCCGCCTAGCAGGTCTGCCGTATCCATCGCAGAGGAAACCGGCAAAGTTCTGAGAGGTTTCCCGCTGAGATTAGCCAAAGTTTTCACCGCCGTGCTTTTCCCGCTGCCGGAGCTGCCGGTCTGCAAGGAAAAACGGAAAAAGGGGATTTAGAGGCTCATCGACGGATCGCGGAGCGAGCTTTCGGGGGCTTTTTCCTACTTTTCGGGAATTACAATCAGTATCGCTCCATCAATACAAAAAAGTCAAACAACGGCTGTTGTAGCGACCGCAATTCAGCCTAAAGTCAATCAGTTGCTGTGCCCAAAAAGTCTGCATAGAGGCAGTGGAAAATCAAGCCACGGGTAAAATTAATGTAGCTGGAAATTCCGAAACTTGTTCAATCACATCGACAGCTTCATTTCGTAAACAAAATACAGCTCATAGCAAGTGTTGCTGTCAAACCCAAAGTCAGTACGATGTACGGGGTATTAAATTAACATCAAATACAGACCATCATTTACATAATACCAGAGATAAAGATGACTCGGCAATATTCCACAACACAACACTAACATTGTCAAGAGACATGATCGCAAGCCTGGACAGAGCGATTCCAATTTTGAAAATTTCATGAAGCACATTAGGAAATTTCATTTTTTAGAACTTCTTTCCTACCAGATAACTTTTAACAGACTACAGTATTGTTTTATGGATATGTTTTTCTAGGGACTCGCTTGTGCATGATTAATACCAATGGTCTATTACATTTTTTTCTAATTTTCTTAATTGAAAGACATTATATGTGCCAGGTTACCAAAAATTTAATCCTACTCCATGTTAATTGTCGTTTGGCAAATGAGTGATATTCCATGGACGTATACACTCAATTCGACTCAACGATCACCCGCAACTAGTGTATAGTTTGACATCTCGATATACAGGGAGTTTCAAATTCGAACCTCACCATTGGGATCTCGGAACTGTAACAGATACGAAGTCGCTTAAACGAGGGCAAAGTTGCGTATTCATATGATCAATTTCATGCTTAGAAAATTTCGAAATTCAAGGTATCTAAGGGGATAACCGAATTTCCCCAAAGGTGGGATTTAAAAATAAATTGCACATTAACATTGCCAGGTTCTCCTCTTCGATCCCATAAATCATGATGTATTGCTTGGAAAGTTGATCAAATTTGGTTTTTCTGGTGATGCTAGGACCCTTTTGAATCTTATTTATCTTCGATATGGCAATTTGTTTCATATAATAATTTTCGTTCTGATACTAACTTAGCCTCATCCGGTGTTCCGCAAGGTTCTAAATTGGGTCCTTTGCTGTTCTTGCTATTCATCAATGATTTATGAGAAGATTTGCAGAGTGAGCGTTTGTGTTTTGCGGATGATTTGAAAATATATTCCGTTATCAATGATTTGAATGATTGTACTTTCCTTCAGACTCAATTGGACATCCCCCAGCACTGGTGTGATACCAATAAGTTATTTCTTAACGTACCCAAATGTAAAAATAAGAGTTATTCTAGGAGGAAGACTACCTACAACTTTATTCACCTGTTAAATGGGCTATCTCTGGAGAGTTGTACTGAAATTAAGAATTTAGGTGTGATTATTGATTACAAGTTGACATTTGGTAAACATATTGAAGCATTAGTTTCACATTCTATACAGTTATATGGATTTGTTGTTAGAAAATGTAGACATTTAGATAACATAACAACCATTAAGCTACTGTATTTTGCTTTTGTGAGGTCTAAACTGGAGTATGCTTGCATAGTTTGGAATCCATTTTAAGAGTGCCAAAAGAGTTGTTTGGAGAAAGTACAGATCATTGAGTTATACAAAGATGGTCAACGTCAAGTCGACATTGCCAAAAATTTGAAGCTGAAGCGTAAAGCAGTTTGGGCAATATTGAACAAATATAAACAAAAAGGTATCTTGGAAGCCTCTAAGAGAAGTGGCCGGCCTAGAAAACTAAATGCTAGATCAGTTAGATTAATAAAAGTAATTTCGTCCAAAGATCCGTTTAAAACCCCCAAGACAAATATAAGCCGAAATCGAGACAAAAGGAATTGTCAGTGTTTATACGAAAACTATAAGTAGAAGATTAAATGATTTGAACTTATTTGCAAGTCGCCCGAGTAAGAAGCCGCTAATCACAAGAAAAAACCGTAAGGACCGATTACAATTTGCACGGTTGCTTCTTGATTGGAGCATCTGTGACTGGAAGAGGGTATGTTTTAGTGACAAAGATTGAACCCCAAGTACACTTTGCCCATTGTCAAACATGGAGGCGAGTCTGTTATGGTTTGGGGGTGCTTTTCGGGGTTTAGGATGGGACCTTTACATAGAATAGATGGCATTATGGATAGGTTTGTATACACAGACATACTAAAGCATGTCATGTTACCCTATATGGAAGACAATATGCCCTTAAGATCAATCTTCCAGCAAGATAATGACCCGAAGCACACTTCAAATCTCGCAAAGAAATTCTTTCTGGTTGAAAAAATACCAGTTCTCAAATGGCCTTCACAGTCTCCCGATATAAAACCCGTTGAAAATCTATGGGAATACTTATATAAGCAAATACAAGATAAAAATTATTCAAACAAGGATGAACTTAGAGCAAAAGAGGAGACAGATTGATGAATCTTATATCAAGAAACTTCTACAATCTATGCCGAGACGATGCCAGGCGGTGATTGATAATAATGGTTGTGCTACAAAATAGTAAGACAAACATGGTTAGTAGTAACTTTGCTTCTTTTTTCTATAATTGTTTTGCTTTGTCGATATATTTTTGTCCTTCATAGATATTTTTGTTTTGTTATATAGTTTGTTCTGTATCTTTCGCATGGATTTTGTATAATATTGTCCTGTTAATGGGCCACTGTTGGACAATAAAGCTACTATCTATCCCTCTCGATCTATCTCTATGAGATGGCATAATAAGAATTTCAATATAAAGTTTCGTCTCTTGTCATCCAGCATCAACTTTATTTTTTCTTCAGGACACCACATGGGATTTTTGTGTGGATGACAGAGTTTCTAAATCTGATTTCAAAAATGTCTAATATGTCATACATTGACTGAAAAGTCCACTTAAATGTACAAAATTCCAATATAGCGTCCATATGAAAAAACAAAGTTGGTGATGAAAGTTGAAAAAGAAATGTAGAATTCATAATTTCACTACGCCACCTTGTAGACGAGTAGCAATGACAACAAGCAATTTATTTTAAACTCCGTCTGAAATAATGCCTGGAAAAAATAACTGCTTTTTGAAATATCTAAAGTTTGGCAATATCAATGTGAGTTGATATTTTTGAAATCAGAATTAAAAACTCTATTCATCTGTGCGAGAATCCCATAAGGCGCCCATAAGAAAAAACAAAATTGGTGCTGGAGGACAAGAGATGAAACGTCATACTGAAATTCTAATTATGTCTTCTTGTAGAGGAGGAAAGTCGGCAATATATTGGGCAATTAATTTGAAATCCCTCCTCAAATAAAGTCAGGAAAAAATTAAAACGATTTTGGGAAAATTCCGTCTCTCTCCGGAAGTACTTTGAATTTCGAAACGTTCTAAGAGGTATTTTGTTGATTACCTAAATGCGTAACTTTGCTCCCATTTAAGCGATTTCGTATCTCCAGTTTCCGAGATCCCAATGGTAGGGGTCGAATTTGAACATCCTAACCTGGCATTGACATCTATCATCACAAGTGCAAAGAAATCAACTTACCAGTATAGCCATCCAGCCCATATTAACACAATACGCCAAACTCCTCAGCACACCCAGCTGACCCCTCAACACCAAGCAACTCTTGTCCTGTCGCAACACGTGTTCGTTCACGCCCCCTTTACCGCGCGCGACACTGACGTCACCTAAATGCACTCTGTCATTTGTCACGTACGGTACTATCGCGAAACCGCGCGGTCGCCTTCCGAAACACGATTCGAAAATGTCCGCGACTCGGTCTTTGTCCGTTTGACAACGCATTCGGTCGCCGTAGATCAGAAGCATAGTACTTTCTGGAGAAAGGGTGTCGGTTGTTTGATAGTGGTAGGATGTCACTTCACACCTGCAAACAAACAATACAATATTGATAAATCCCCACGTTTTGCTGAACGTATAATGAAACCACATATATGTTGGAATGAATGTTTTACAACGGCGCGGCGACGTCGGTGACCCTTTTCATAGTACAAATAAAAAATGAAATAACATGCCATAAAAAATATTTAAAGAATGCGATAATTTTTATACATTTTATAGTAAGAGATACGTTAAAACTATGAGTCAATAGTACAATTTTTAACTATCTTACCATCGGTAGATGTCACGGAGGTTGCACTCCCAAGGAGATCCCTGATGTCCAAACTCATGACCATCCAAAGCAGAAGCAATTCTTGTATTGAAATCGATCATTTTGGAACGAATTTCTGAGGGTATCGATGTGAATTTATCCTCAAGAATGCATTCCAAATCTGCCTTTGTCAGTGGTGTGACGTACACCTGGATAAATCGGTTCAGGAAAGACCTTGGTAGACCTCGACGAGAACCGCCTTGCTTCAATGGATTTTGGCAGCCGAAGAATTTTGTACCTGCAATAAATTTTCTTTTTTAAAATCATAATAGGCTAGTTGACATTTTTTTAAGTAGGTCTTAAATGGTCTATATTTGTTCATTTAGACCAAAAAAATCAATACTATATTTTTCCGGACCTAAAAGTCCGTAAAACTTTAATATTATAATATTAATGCGTCAATTATTACATTAATCTTCTCGGACAATAGAATGGTTTTTATTTTTTTACTCAAAAATGGCGCATCGAAGGAAAACAATTCAAGAGAGATCATTTGTTTTAAACTGAACGGGGAATTCAAAAATGATTTTTATTTGGCAAAAAACAATTTCTTAAAAATATCGAAGTCAGTACCCATACGTACGCCACTGTTAAAGCTAAAAATTATTTTTGCATTGAAAAATATGCATCTTTATTAACTTTCACTACGTACTAAATATCAATGAAATATCTAAGCGGTTCTGAAAATATTAATTAATTTCCATTTTTTTCCTAAAACCTCAACACCCCGAGTTTTGTAAGGAAACGTTTTTGGACCATAGCTTATAAAGCAAACTAACATTAATTTTTCATGTAGATTCACACCTTTGAATATTCGCATATCATTGAGGAACACCCTGTATATCCATCGGGCGCTTTTAAAACTTTATATCGATATATAAGAAATACGCATTTATTCTATGAAATTAGATATGAGTCAAATAAGTCTATTTTATACGTCGCAACGCTGGTAGCTGTTTGAAATTCTTACACATTTTTATCTCGAGTATTTTGAGTAAATAATACGGAATTTTGATTTGAAACTAATTCATATGTAAATTTCGTATGATACGTTTGACTGGTTAATTTCATTGATCAGGAGCGACAACACGAAATAATAAGATATAAAGAAAAACTCTTTCAAAATACAACTGCACATAAGCCAAAGCTTATGTTGTACTTAGTTGATTGCTAGGAACCAAATATTTTTACTGAAATAGTATCGAGTCTACCTGGTTTTATGTGAAACGTTTTGTCCAACTCGGGTATATAGATTTCCCCTCTATGATCCAAGCAAGCATTTAAGCCTTCCAATACTGACTGAGATGCCAGGTTCAATTCATCGAGCAGAATCCAGCTACCGTTCTTCAAAGCCTGAAGCAGAGGGCCATCTCTCCAAGAGAACTGACCTCCACTACCTCCTTCCACTGGCAGGTCAGCACCAAACAGATCAGAAATATCCTAGAAAATAAATCTGTGATACACAAACTACTCTACTAAAAATTTCCCATGTCAACTACTATAGCCTAGATCCAACCAAAATCCAAGATAAAGTAAATGTACAGTCACGCACTATGCGTGTAATGCTCAAAAGCTGAAGGATTGAACAGGATCGTATTCAGAACCGTCTTTTGATAACTGAATGATACCAATCTCTTGCTGATGGTAGTTGCTTTACTCAGTGTAACATTTTTTAAATTACGACTAGAGTGCATTAGCTTGTCAGTCCTGTAAGAAAACACAGGAAATATGTGTAGTATAAAAAGAATTTCATCGAATTTTTGCAATATTGCACGGCACGCCACACGAATGGCTGACTGCAACTGCAAAAGAGCCGTTCGTTCACCGAGGACTTGATGTGGGAGGAAAATATCTCGTTAATGACGGCAGCCACTGGGAAAAAACTAGTCTATTTGTTTAGGTCTAAGAAATACTTGTCTCCACATAACCTTCTCACTCGGTATAAGGCCCAGATACGGATACTTCACATATTTGGGGTGCTGCCGCCCCGACTACATTATCCATGCTCGATGCTTCTCTAACGGACAGTTTTCTATCGCTATGTCAACAGGCTTTGCTCCTCAGAACTCTCTCTGACGCTACCGCGCGATGGGCCTGCCAGACAGACCCGCTTAACTTCAGCATCTTCTCCTAACCCTATCGAACTTCGTACATACAGACCTGGCCGATACGACCGCCCCTTTGTCTCTAGGGTATCGAGACTGTGGAACGATCTACCTGAGGAGACTTTTCTACGTTCAACTAACCTTAGGCTGTTCAAAAAAATTAACAAAGTTACTTTGAGCTCCTCATAGCAGCCGCGGTGCCCTGGTATTTAGACTACTGCCTTAGCTGATGCTTCAGTATAAAAAAAACTCTCATGCTAGTCCGCTTGGAACAATATCGAATTCGCCAGTGAGAACTGCCCTATCCACCTTTTGCTACCACATCACGTGAACGTGGTTGTGTGTTACTCTATTTTGGATTTGGAAATTGTATTCACTTACTGTTTGATCAGAAAGATTCACCCTAAACAGCTCATGTCCGGTACATTTTGCCAACGCAGCCACTAAACTGGTCTTTCCCACTCCTGGACTGCCTTCCAACAAAATAGCTTTACTCAACTGCATCCCCCTCAATAACCTCATTGTATTATAAACCGTTGTAGATGCGTTGAACACAAAATCGACATCGTCGTTTTTTGATGATAACGACTTAATGAAAAATGGTTTGATTCCAAATGAGTCTATTGTCTTCTCGACCTTTAATTTGTCCATTTGGTGTGTTACGGTTGGGGAAAGGTGTCGAACTTGGTCTAGAAGAAAACTTATACAGCTGGATCTAAAAGCTTCCAAGTCCTTTGAGCTGAAACAGAACAGATTTTGAGTTACATTGCTAAGAAGGTACAAATCGAAGACATACAAAAACTAAGACCTACCTTTCAGTACTAGTTACGCCTGAGCCCAAACTATCCAAGAATGTCAGGCTAGCACCATGAACGTAAGCTTCAGTGACATCTATTTTATTGGCGCACTGATTGATGAAATTTACCCAGGTCAAAATATCTCTAATGCTAACTGTAAATCTGGAAAAGATAAGTAATAAGTAATAAGATATCCACCAACCAAGCACCTACAAATGAATGAATGAAAATGATCATTATGTCATTACATACTCAGATTAACGATCAGACGTATGACGTCATCGCTTACCTTTTTCCAACTTCATTTTTTCTAAACCACTCCACAAATTCTACAATCCTCTTCCCGATTCCCGTAGAACCATCTTCTTGGTTCCCCAAATCCAAGCCTTGCTTAAGATTCTTCTCAGCTACAGCTATTAGATCTTCTGTTCTACTGCATGGTTCACACCAGATCTCTGTGAACCTATTTCTAAGAGCAGGCGACAGTTCTTTGGAGAAAAATAAAATATATCAGTATAGATATAAAACCTTGATTCCATAGTTACAGAAATCATATTCAAACATTGGGATGCTAGACAATAAGCACCAAAAGAAAAATCACCAATTTAATTCAAATGGGCGTCTTAGGAAAATTTGAGGATTTATGATGTAGACTTTACTTCAAACATTAGATCTTAACCCTTTGCAGCCAGGTTTTCCTTTTTATTATGAAATCGTTCATTCATATTACAGAGATATTGAATTAGTACTAGTGACTCTTCAAATGTGACACAATTATGTCATCACCAGTACTCGTATAAATAGCAACACAAGCTTCATAATGCCTGGCTAATCCAGATTTTCGTCCTGAAACTTGACACACTATCCCTCACGTTGTCAAACACCATTCAATGTAACCTCTCAACGTATCACCAATTTAGTCCTGCCATCTACACTCCCTGTGATGCCTCTGCTGTGCAATACTCGCTGTAACATACTGTATATCTGCGGTCATTATCCTAGAGGATATGCTCTTTCCAAAATACTATGAAACCCTTGTGTTACACCAATGAATGGCAAAAAGAAGGTTCTTATTGTTGAACTATACTCATTTTACGTCGAGATAAAAATGAATTACGATAGAAATGTTAGTTTCAAATGAGTGAGCAGCTAAAACGTCCCATGGAAGCACCACAACCTGTAAGTTCAACAATGAAAATGACAAAGTAGCGTTCGACCTGGCAACACTGGAGGCGCCGGGCTTGAAGTGGAGACAGATGATGCGCCTTCAGTACAAGTTTGAACTCGCTCGAGTCATTTCGTTGTCCGTAGCGTTTTGTTTTTGTGATACAGTTTTTCCTATTGTGTGCTAAAATGAGTGGCATCAATTTCGAGCAACGGTGTGCTATCAGGTTTTGCACAGTGTAACGGAAACTCTTGCTAAACTTCAGCAGGCCTACAGAGATAGTTTTTGTCAAGAGACCAGGTTTTTAGGTGGTAATAACACATTTTCAGAAAGGAGGGAGTCGATTGAACAGGAACTACGAAGCAATAGGCGTTCATCTTCAAGAACAGATGAAAATATCGACAGAATCCGGGATATTGTGCGTTCAGATTGTCAGAAGGATCGGTGAAGAGTTAAATTTGACTCACACAACCGATCATAAGATCAAGAAAAACTTAATGTTGCATTATGATAATGCTCCTTGTCACGCAGCAATGTCAATAAACGAATTTGTGACTTGTTTCTCTTCCCGAAGTTGAAAAATCACCTCAAGGGAACTCATTTTGGGACAGGCGAAAACATTCAAACGGCTCTAACCGACCAGCTGAAGGTTATTCCAATATCGGTGTTTCAGCACTGCTATGAGGAGTGGAAGAACCGTCTCCGGAGCTGTGTGGCTTCAGAAGAAAGTTATTTTGAAGGTGACAATATAAAATTGTAATTATATTTGAATAAAAAAAATAAAAAATCAGTCTCATCACTGGATAATTTACAGACCTCATACACCGCCAGATGAACGTTTCCATAAGGTCCGTGTGACTATTCCTGCTATTCCCGTCGGTTGAGCAATTGTGCTGGCTATAATTGCCTGATAAAAAGCTTAAATCATAAGCAATCAGTTATTATCGTGATAATGTAAATCGAGTACATTAACTATGAATTGAAGAAGCCCAGTGCACTGCAAAGGGTTAGGAAACTTCCTTGTTAAAGTCAATCACCTTTTTGCCGAAATCTCCTCCTGGGTTCATCGTACCGATAAAATGGAAATTCTCGTGGGCAACTACCGTTTCAGACGATTCAGTGTTGTACAGATCAACGGATTTTTCTGCTACCAAAAGTGTCCTTTCAGGCTCTAGCAAAGAGTTCAGGCGTTCTAGAACACTGTCATCCGCTAATGATATTTCATCTGCTAGAAATAGGTTTCCTTGAAGCATTGCTTTGACCAAAGGACCGTCTGACCATTCAAATAATTTGGTAGCATCTTCAGCCTAAAACAATACAATGTAGAAACTTTCTGAAATATTCTTAGTGATTAAAGATCTAAACTAATACTGAATAGATATTTTTGTTACAGATAAAATTTGTATTAAATGTTTATTAGTAAACTAATAAATTTCAGATAACCACAGAAATAGTCCAATAATAGTAGCGACGATCAACACATACCGAATGGTCCCGAACAGGTCTCAAACCTCCAATGAAATCGCCACTTTCTGTATGCATGTGACAGTTGACAGTTACCAACTCTTGTCCATTATAATCAGCTATCAACTGGCAAACTGTGGTCTTCCCGCCACCTGTTTCACCTACCAATAAAACAGGCTCTTTAAATTGGAGGGCTTTGCCGACTAACACTGCCAATTGACGCATGTTGTATGTCCAAACAATGTTTGGATGCCGGTGTTGATTGACGTGGATCTTCTCAAGGATTTTTTTAGTTACAGTCGACGAACGTTCAGACACTAAAAAAATTCATTAGATGAGAAATATCAGTAAATTGATACAAGATATACACATGACAGTAAATATTTGGGTGAGGTAGAGTAACATCCAATAAGTCACTGTAAAGTCAAGATATCGACAGCATTCAAATGGACGTAGTTCAAACAAGTTCATCTAATCTCAATTACAACTTTCAATACTTCTCAAAAATATTACTTACACGTAAAGAGATGTTCAGGTACCACTTCTCTCTTAAGATGCTTTTTCAGTACATCGATGATTTCCAGTTTCTCTTCAGGCTTCCTAACTCTCCTGCAAGCACCAAATACCCTTCATCGGCCAAATGCTGATCCCAATCATAAAGTTTGTCAGTATTTTGGGCTAGTCTGTAACGTTCGCCCCATCTGAATAGGTCTCTCAAGGTTATGAAGCCTTGTTTGCCTGCAAAAGCTGCAGATCCCCTTCTCCTAGTCTGAAAAATGCCATATTACAACTAGTTATAGAAAATAAACATACTATCTTAAAACTTTCCATAGTTTGGGAAATGAGCTATTATTGGGCAAGCGCTTTTATAACCTGAGGCGCGTAGTAGTATTTGGCTATTTCTCAGTCAGCTTTACAAGGTATATTCATAAATGATGAATGACGAAAAAAACTAGTCCAATTTTTATTATCCCACGCATGTTTTATTATCCTATTTTTATCACAAAAGGCCGTTGTCGGATTAGGTAATACGGCACAGCTTCCGAAACCAGTTTTATCACCCAAAATAACGTCAAAGCAACCACGCCTTATATTGATTAGACCTGACATTGATTTGAATTTGAAGATTTATTGCCCGTTAATCGTTTTCTATTCGTCATTGTCTGTCAGAGCGGTCCGTAGGACCTTTGCTCTTGGTTGAAGTCTTGTAAGTCAGTAGGTCTATCAGGTCTGGTTGCCCAGATACCAAACAAAGTCAGGGAGAAAGAATTTTGATGTTCTACATAGCATAGGGTAGAGTTGCCGAAACGAGATTTGGAATTTAGTTTTAACGCTTCAGTGTGCTTCTGCCAGGTCATCCCCTTGTCAAGAGTGACACCGAGATACTTAGCATAGCTTTCCCATGGTACCCGAGCTCCATTCACTGAAACCTCAGACGGGGCGCCGCTACGTTTTTTAGTACAATAGATTGACTGCGTTTCGAATGATTAATTTTGATCAGCCATCGATTCGCCCATTCCAATACCTCGTCCACTGCACTTTGCAGCCTGTCGTGAACTAGATCCCCAGAGCACGACTGGGCCGCCAGGGCAGTGTCATCAGCATAGAGATAGGTTTCACAGTTGCTAGGGCAAGGGACGTCATGAATAAAAAGTGAATAAAGGACTGGTCCAAGAACCGAACCCTGACGATCATCGGCTTTGATGGCCGTGTTGTCGAAAGAACGTTATTAATTTTGATCCGAAATTTCCTACCCTCAAGGAAGGATTTCAAAAGTTTTAGGAGCCAGAAGGGGATCCTGGGGGAATATCGAACCCACCTTCTTTGGAATCATAATCGTTTTATGAGTGTATCCAGAATATAGAAGGTTGGCAATGACAGTTATAGGATAAGTTCATAAAATGGGAAATTTCCAGATTAACAGTACCTACTGCATTATGTCCTATGTACTAAGTATATAGGATATCTGATTACTTAAAAAGTATTTTTATAAGCCATAATATCCAGAAGTTTTTCGTAGCTATGGGCACTTTATCTGCCCACTATCTATTATTTTTTTTTTCACGCCTTAATAATAATAATAATATTTATTTACTCAATGTACAAAGATATATATAGATAAGAATATACTATAATATTTTTTACAATAGACAAAAGTCGATTGCTGTACCTACATTACCTGGATTAATTTATCACTGATAGCTTTTTTTTTCAAGGACACATTTGGGTAAGTAAAGCTGGTTGAGAAATAGCAAAACACAACTTTTTAAATTTTATAGAAATTCTTAAAAATGGCGATAACTCAAAAACCGTGCACATTCGGATAAGGACATACTAAATATGGTTTTTCCGATTGGAAATGACCCCCTATCACCTCCTCCGTTTGAACCATGACTTTTGGGACACATTATATACAGGATTCTTTCATTTCACTATTAACACGATATATCAGAATGTGCCAGATTATGGCGTATCCAATTATTTTACAAATACTTTGAAATACCTAGTGGCCTGTTGTGCAACTGAAGTTAATGAATTTAATAGACAGCTGGTTAAGACTGGTCCATGTTTAAAGAGGAGTAAAGTGCAATTTTTGTTTTTGGTTTACTTTTCCTTCTGTTAACATTGAACGACTCTTGCTAATATTATGCCATCAATTGGGGTATTCAAGGAGAATAGCTACACGAGCTGAACATTTCTAATTGCTCGATAACATTCAAATATTCCAAACACAAAGTCCCGTTGTTAACATTTATTATTTACATAAGTACTCTTTTATCATTATATTCCGAGCGAGAGAAAATCTTCGTTTTATTAGAGAAATGCTGTCAATGGTAATTTCTTGGGTTAGCAATGCAAAAATAAAATGACTTATCTGATAAAGCTGATTGCCCAAGTTTGGCATGATGATGATTGTATAAAGTTTCTGAAAGTCCTAACAAAAAATGCTGTCAATAAGGAGATAGTGATGTTCAGTTTCTGTGATTCTTGTATCATATTTATATTTTACTTTACCTCACTTATTTAAAGTTAAGCTTTACAAAAGAATCAAATTTGCTACTAGTAACTTACCTGCAGATCTGTCATGACAGCTATCATCTTCTTAGCATAGCTTGGTGACATTTGACACCTTTGATGCAGAATCACCTCCAATTCCCTGGGAGGGATCTCATTGAAATGCAACTCCACGAATCTGTTCCTGAAAGCCCTGGAAAGCATTTCCTACCACCATAAGCACCTGGTGGATTCTGCGTAGCGAATAACATAAAGTTGGGATCAGCTCGCACTGTTTGTTGCGTTTCCGGTATAAACAGCTCTCTATTGTCATCAAGGACTCGGTTCAAGGCTTCCAGGACGTCAGTTGGAGCCAGATTGAGTTCGTCCAGGATTATCCAGTAACCTATGGAGTCAATACTTGATTTAAAAAATGTAAATGTAGGTCAGATTTTATTTTTAAATAAAACCTGCTATTTTCAAGAAATAGCATTCTTGTTTATATTATCAGAATGTAGAAGTACCAGACTTTGTTTTGTGAATAATATTCCCTAAATCCCCATTCAGCTGTTCCTACAGATGACCATTTTTTCGATAAAATATCACCTATTAGCAAAATTGCGGCTCAGTTTTGTTAGTTTGTTTATTTAAGATTTATTTAGTATGATTGCTACAATTACATTCTTTTAAAAACTACAAAATTACATAAAATACATATATTTAGAGAAACAAAACTTGCGTCTCTAAAAATTGTCACTGACCGTGAAATGTTCCTTTAATTGTCTTTTAAACATCTTTAAATTACAAGTAGACTTTATATCATTATTCAGTTTGTTAAACTCAAGTAATCCTTTCTAAAATATTGATTTGATAATTATATTTCTATTGCAATTTTGTAAATGAAAATCTATATTTCCTCTTGTATAATAATTGTGTTAATAATTATTTAATTCTATGTAATGTCCAAGTGTTTTGGCGTAAGATGATTTTTTATTTCAATATAAAAATAATAACCAAATATAAATGTTTTTATCTTCATCAATAACTTCAGAAATGTACTGATTCAGGCCGTTGATCATTTGTAGACTCAATCAACTTTGTCATTGAGGAAACCACGCAAAATTAGGTTACATATCATGATCCCGCAAGTCAGTCGACATTGCGTAAAGTCGCGCGACCATCGGAAAAACATGTCTGTAACAATTTCACTGATCATATGACACGAGACCTGATTTTGGAAGAACATATTGAGGTGCATATTATCTAATTAGTGCTACGAAACGTCCATAAGTGTGGTAACGCTCGCCATGAACATTTGCCGTTCCGTCGTGGTAATCTTGATATAAAAATGAGTGAATTTTAGTAGGACGTTTTCACAGTTTCGTCATCTATCTTAAAACGATCTATAAATAAAGTTCCGCGTCTCTGAAAGAGACATGCGCCTTATAAAATTTCAGGTCAAGTTACTGAAACCCTTTAAAAGACTGAATGAATTTGTAAATTGTAATGAATAAACTATGATTTCAAATAGGAGTATTTTGTAAATCCATTTATTTATTTACCTTTTCGCATAGCTTCAACTAAAACTCCTTCTCTAAAAACCAATCTACCGTCTGCATCTACCACATAAGAACCAATATATTCTTGAAGATCTGTATGTTCATGGTTGTTGATTCTCACACATTTATTGCCACTAGCTTTCGCTAAATACATTATAAGACTCGTTTTTCCAACCGAGGTATCACCCTACAAAATGAATGGCTGAAATATTTTCATCTTTTTGCATTTAGCACCAAACCGTTAATAAGGTTGCCTTTTTAACACCACGATTCTTTTATTGTAAATTATTTTAGTTTACCTGCAATAGTACTGGAAGCTTTCCAATAGACACAACTCTTACGAGATCCTTTAAATTTTTTCTCACTGATTCAGTCAGTATATAGTTATCAGGTGGATTTACGTCTGGAGAACCTTTTTTGATCCAATAACCCTCAAATTGTATGTATTCCTCATTTTTGGAGGCTTTAGGGCCTGGAATAGGCTGCTTCAGCACAGCCTTCACTGCTTTTTCATCTCCTATTAAGTAGCTGAAATTTATTTATCCTTAATTAACATATGTCATTGTATAATGATGGTGTATGATAATTTTAAATGGAATCAGCATCGGACTATGGGGCCGAAATATGATATATTTTTCAAATTCAAATTTCTTTAACGTCGACTAAATCTAAATAACAAAATGATAGCAACGTCAAAACGTAGATCTCCGTGGAGGTAGCGGAACAATATATTATAATAAAGTAAGATGAAAGGAAGCTTGAGATCTCAGAAAAAGCCTGACAAATCTTCATGAAATTAGATATTAAAATCAAAGTTAAAATCGTACAAGCTTCTCCTCAACAGATACTTGACAGTTACTCTCTTAGAAGCTAGCAAATTGGGTGCACTTTTATTGATGTCTAGTAGGTCATATAATTTTATTGCAATGTATGATGACCACTTCTTAAAATATGTGGAAGCATGGGGAGGTATGCTTAAGCTACGTCTTCCCCTGGTATCATAGGCTGACGAATATAAATTAATACCTTTTAATATTATTGAATTAAAAAAACAAGGCAATACATAAATATATATTAATGGCAGCAATGTCCAAGTCTGCTCTCGCTAGGCGGCACTTGTGTCTTTGGAGGTCAAACTGTCGTAGATGGTGAAAATAGATTAGATATAGCAGCTAGCATATTTTCAGGACTTCATCCGAGGTCTACCACATTTAATACAGTTCTCCATCGGCTAAAACCAGTCTTTAAACCAGCTGAGGAGTCAAAGGAATGTTTTTGACATAGCTACGTAAGAAGAAACATTATCGTGATATTCTTGATCTGATGAACGATGATGTGAGTCAAATGTCTCTTCCCCGATCATTCTGTCAATCGAAAATCTGAACGCAAGATCCTGGATTTTGTCGATATTTTCACCAGTTCTTGAAGATGAAGGCCTTCCGGTTCGTGAAAATGCATTAAATCACAGAAACCGGGTCCCTTGACAAAACACTCTCTCCATAGGCCTGTTCATCAAAAGTTTCCGTTACACTGTGTCCAAGTCTCAAGCAAAACCTGGTGACGCACCCTTGCTTGAAATTGATGTCACTCATTTTTAGAATACAATAGAAAAAAACTGTTTTACAAAAAAAAAAATCGCTTCGGACAACCAAATGACTTGAGCGTACATAAAACTGCCCTTATCTCACTACGTGACCACGATACCATAGTCCGCACTTTACACTGTCAATACGAATGAACAACTAAATCAACAGACGTGCTGCTGGCAGCTACGATACACTCATGGACATGTCACAACATGCATTCTCCTGCGTCCATTTGTTAACTCATATTGCAAAACTTTCATAGCACCCTTTGTATTTTTGAATTTTAAAGCTGCAGTCTGTCACTGTTTACATGAGATGCTGCGTCTTGTCTTTTTGTATCAAAACAAAAGCTGCCGAAGCGAGTGTGTGAGTGTGTAGTTGCCATTCATTGTAATTCAAAGTATTACAGTTCAAAACCGTTTAAGTCCATTACATGCATCAAAAATTTGAAGTACCTGTGTATTTGTTAAGTAGACAGTAACGTGTAGACACCATGTCTGTCATGAGTAATTGCACAAAAAACTATAAAAGCCTAATGGTCAACTAAACGTTGTATGTGTAGCCGTCAATAGACTTGTTTACGGTCCATGTACTATCCCGAATCAAAATACCCGCGACTGTATCGGGAAAGAAAACAGCTGATAACGCCGATATATCGGCAAAAATCCCATATAAATCGATCTCCAGCTAAAAATTCCCTATTCAACATTCGTTTTCTGAATCAACTAGAGAACTGTAAATACCGCCAACATAAAATCCGAAATAACACAAAAAACAAAAAAAAAATACGAATTACCTAGATATCAGCTTCTCGACCGCTTGGTATGATTCGTTGTCCAACTGAGTAAGGAAACTGAGACAAAACGCTTCATACAGACTTCTCTTGAACATTCCACATGGATTCTTCGATGCTATCATCAAAGCTCTGCACAATGATCTCAAAGAAAAATGGGGTTTGTGTCCCAAACCATCCGATAGACTCGTAACCATTTGCTTTTTTATTTGAACGTAAAAGTCAACAATATTCTTCAACTCTTTTTGTTTTAAGGACATCGCCTCTAAGTAGTTATTAACTAAAAGCGTAAGATCGCCTTTCTCATTTAATTCATCCACAAAGAACTCTGTGAATCTGTTTCTAAGACCTGCCGGCAGGTCCTTCTTCCCTACGTCTGTTGAGGGGTTCATGCAAGCAAACAAGGTGAAGTCTGGATGTCTTTTAACAGGTTTCTTGTCACCCTCTTTCGAGTAAGCATAGCGATCCTTCAGAGCCCTCCAACAATCCTATAAACAAGTAAAATGACACAAATGGAATGAAACTACAAGTTATAAGCTACCGCATCAAAAAATAGTCAAAAATAGGGAGGTGCTGCAAAATATGTGAAACCATATTATTATAATAATAATTCTTATTATTATTATAAAAAATAGTCAAAAATATGGTGGTGATGCAAAATATGTGAAACCATATTATTAGCGGAGTACCGCGTTAAAAAGAACTACTTGAGCTAAAATATTTATAACTCACCTGACAAACATTCCAGTGTTTCTGCATTTGCCAAATTAATTTCATCCAGTAACACCCAGTACCCATTCTCAACAGCTTTGACTAAGCTGCCTTCTATAAACGCAAATGCTAAGGCGCTTTTCTGTTTCAACTGTACCCCCAACTTGTGCAGTTTTTCACCTAAACATTGCCATCTTTCTAGGAACGTTTTATTTTTTTCATACTGTTTGCGCTTTTCGTGATCTTGAACTTTATTTGCTTCAAAGTCTTGGATGGATTTAGTTAAGCGACTTAAAGCTGCTTCATAGCTTTTGTTTATTAACTTCAGAAGATCGCCCCATCTTTGGTTGTTAAAACAAAGTGCAATGTTTGCTAAATACTTTCTGTTAGGTTCAACCTAAAAAGGGTATCAATACATAAATATAACAACCTTTTGTAGTTGCACAATGTATACAGGGTGTTCCGATTATTATGAAAGACCCTATATTTATTTAGTTTAAGTTTAGCTTTGAATGGGAAAAGAAGAAAATCGGTCCTAAAAAAATTAAAAAATATCAGATATTTTTTTAAACTCTAGCGTACTGACCTTGAAATAGTCTGAAAAAACAGCTTCGAATTCCCTACGCACTGGCGCAATGACATATTTCAAATCAACCGGTTTGAACCCTCCCAGCAAATCAGCTGAGTCAGACTGTTGGTTCATGTTTATCACAATCAACCTTTTTCCAAGTGTGTGTGCCAAAAACTGCACGCACGATGTTTTTCCTGTACCGGTCTCGCCCACCAATAAAACAGGCTCCCTAAAATATCAGATTTTCATCACTACCCATGTAAAAAAAATCTGTAAAATACTGAGAAGTCGACGAAAAACAAAAATAATCCAAATCATATACTTTGAAAAAATGGAAAAATCTACACCTTGTGATGATCTTTCAGTTCCCATTACTACAAATTTCAATTTCTTAGAAGGAGTGATGGACAGTGTTATTTTACGTAGTGACAGGTAACGCCACTTTTATTGATACGTGAATGTATTTATTAAACATACAATAAATGAACAAACTGCCTTCCTTCAGCAGCAATACAAGCTTGACATTATCTTAAAAATGATCTGGTTATCAGACGGGCGAATTTTCCATTATTAACAAATTCAGCTGATTCCGATATTAAGTCCCGTAGCCCAGCTAAAATTTTGATTGGCTTGGGGTAAACTTTTTCTTTCGCCGCTCCCCAGTAAAAAAATAGAGTGGATTTAGGTCAGGTGAACGGGCTGGACACGAAATTGTACCAAACCGCCCCAACCATCTGCTCGGGTTAGATATTCTCTGACTGAACGGGCATACTGCGCCAGGCAGCCGATTTGCTGCCGATTCTCTCATTTATAATCCCGGTCCACATGTTTACATTAAAATGATACTGTGATCTATCTTGTCTCATCAAATGTGAATTTTCTACATGCCACTCGTATAAGTTGTATAGATTCATGTAACCATCCTTTTTAAATGTAGACTCATCAGTCTATAACACTTTTTCTAAAAATCTTTCTGGTGTCTCTGTAACATTGTTGGACAAGACTCACAGACATGGCGGCACTACACAATCATGAATTAATAAAAATGGCGTTACTACCTGCCTTGCGGTCACTATGTAAAATGACACTGTCCGCCTCTATGTCTACAAAGAATTAAATTTGTAGCAATGGGAACTAAAAAAATTACCCAAAGTTGTGCATTTTTTAGATTTTTCTTTTAATTCATTGATTTGAAGTATACGACGTAGATTTTTTTATACTCCTCTACTGCATACAATTACGAAAATTTAAGGTTATAGTATCCCAACATTCACAAAATAAAGAATTAAATAGCAAACGCAGTGTCTCTTCATGAGATGTTATTTTTCTATTGAATCATAAAGTATACAAGTACATAGGGTTATGTACAGAATCACAGATCAAGCAAATGTCCTCTTTAGGTTTGTCGCCATAGGCGCACTCTTTTATCCAATTAGTCCGTTACTAATTTGCATTAATGTTGCTGTCTTAATTGAACAATACTGATATGGGCAACACATGTGGTTTAAGAAGACGATGTTACTAGGGGCGGATCCAGGCGGGGGGGTCGTCACCACCCTTGGGCGAATCGAAATCAGAGCGCTCTTCAATTATCACAATGTAATTCGTTCAAGCACTGATGCAGAGAGGAGCTTCTTCATTAACATGAATCCGACGACCAACACTGCGCCCCCTCCCCCTCTAGACAGCTTTCTAGATCCGCCACGACGACTAAGTGACCGCCCCAATGACTAAAGGTTTGGATCAGCCCTCGCAAGCCAAAGCCATAGATCCCGTCAAACCATTCAATTATTGAATGAGACATTTCTTGACCTTGATTAAATCTGACCTCTAGACCTGTGTGTAGGTTTGCTTCTGCCTAAATTGGCTAGTACTGATGCAAATAACGTGTGATTTCAACACTGTAATGCCACGTGCCATACATCTCGTGTGACTACTTTCAGAATAAATGATCGCCACAGTTCTTCAAGGGACATCTTACAATATTCTTGAAAAGGTTGATTTCAATGCATAGGTTCCCAACCCGCCAATTTACCAAAACTTACACCTTGATCAAATGACATTTGCAATTTAAATTTTTTTGGTATGATAAAAAAAACATTTATCTGTTCTAAAATAAGCAAACAAGGTCATAAAATATTACTAAAAGTGACCCAAACCTGAGACTGACACAACACATGATCCTCTCTAGTAGAACAGCAGATGGCCTTGTGAATGAGTATTTTGTCTGTCTGGTATACTCATTGTTTTCTTTTTTCAACATCACTCGACCTGCCACTAAACTATCCGTGGTTAAATGCATTGCAGGCTTGTATGTCTTGAAAAAATACTCTGCTTTTTGATTGACTATACCCAAATTAGTGCTGATCTGCTTTGCTAATTCCAATGCCTCATTTGTATTTGAGAATGAACAGCAAAAAACATCAATTGCATCCTGAAATAAATGAAAATTTAATTAAAGTATCCTGAGACTAGAAATAAAGCCAATGAACTGGAAAAATATTGCTCCAATAGCTGGGAAGCTACTGTCCTGCCTCAGGCGTTAGCTTATCATTCTCGGTCGAGCCTTATATCGACAACTTTCACCAGTTTTAATGCCATCAGCTGGTTTAACACAGTTCAAGAACATCTCTATACCACTCTTTATCCCGAAGATCCGGTATTTACGATTTTCTTTTGCAGCTGCTTAAATACTGAAAAACAAAGCTTAAATCATAGACTCACCTGTAAAACTTTTAGCGCACTAGCCTGACTCTGGACATCAAAATCAATAACAGCCCTAGAACACCATTTGAAAAAATCCCTAGTAGATATAAGCCTTCCACTTCTGGGCACAGAAATCTGTCCACCATCACCATCCAGAGTCTTTGGAACAAACAATAAAAAAACGCTGATCATCCGATCAGCTATCGTTTTGAATTGAGGGAACTGGCTATCTAAAATTTGCTTCAGCTCACTTGATGACAGAGGATCAACTGTTATTAGAAAAGCACTCTTCCCCAAGAGAGTCATAGTGTTTGAGTGCTTTTTGTGATAACCAGATAGAGTTGGGATTAGCCTGAAAAGGTTAAACAAGAAATTGAATATCCAGTAAAATGTAAAGGTTTAGACTAGAACTTATGTGGATTCACCAGGCGTTCCTAGGGCCTCAAAGACCTGTTAAAAGCTTACTGGTTCTGCTGATCCATTGTATTGAAACTTGTTAAATTAATCATTTTCTGTGCTGATTCACTGTGGACTTCATTATATTGAATAATTGTTATGACCCCATAGTTACCTCTGTGTTAGAAATAGTTGGAAACCAGGTGTGATTGGTACTGAATCTTTATAACCAGGCACAGTCAAACACCCATTCTCCAATAAGCTAGTTATAATTGAAGCTATATCCATGCTAGCTGAATCTATGTCTTCTAGGAGTAACCAACTTCCTTCTACTACAGCCTATAATTTAAATAATGATACAAAAATTAAAAAAAGTAAGGTAATTGAATTTCCTTAACACTATTAGTAAAGTTGATATATGTTTCCTATTTTATCAATATACCAATATATGTATACCCATAAAATGTTAATGCAAACAAAGCAAAAATTGTAAAAACACAAAATCTAGAAAATATATCTTAGAGCAGATTTGTTCAACATATGCCCTGCAAGTAAATATATTTTAACTTGCTGAATCAATTCTTTTGTGGATCATTATCAAATTAATCTACCTAAAACTAATATTCTAAATAAAAAAACTATAAGAATCTAAGAAAAATAATTGTAAACATAGCAAAAGTGTTAATCTGAAGTGATCAGCTAATTTAAATTTATTATATTGCAACTGATCCAAAATAGTTTATGTTAGACAACAGTCAAAAAATTTAGAATATTGTTTGCAATCACAGAAGAGTTTAAATATTAATAGTATTAGTCACCTGTGTCAAAACTCCTGGTTGCCAAACAAATTCTCCTGGTACATCTGTGCATCTATAAGTACCAAGTAACATTTTGCTATCAGTTTCATCCCCCAACTGTATCTTCAAGAAATTCTCTCCTAGTTTCCTCCCAGTCTTTGCAGCCAAATATTCCACTAGACAGGTTTTGCCTGAGCCTACAGAGCCCTGAAGCATGATAGCTTTCCCTGAAGCCAGTCCTAATGCTATTTTCCTCAGGTTATTGTAAGTGGAGTGAACCACAACTAAGTTTTGTTCATAGTCTACTGAAGTATGAAAACTAGGAATGTAGATCCCTGATACATTCACAACTTTTGATTGAATCTGCTGCTTTGGTACTACTGGAGATTGATCTATACCTGGAGGTGCAACATCACCCTCTTTCAGAGTTTGATTTGTGTAAAACAAGTATGAGTAATTTCTATGAAGTTCTTCTGAAATTTTGGACAGTATAACATTATTCAACTGATACTCATTCATTCCAAATAAAACCGCTAATGTATGGCATGCAATCCATATAACTTTAGCCTCTTTATGATTGAAAAACTTCTTAATAAATGAAGACCAGTTCCACTTAGCTCTATAAAAATCTGGATTGCTCCTCAATAAAAATAGAGAAGATTCCACTATATCAATATCTTCAATATTTATGTTTTGTTGCATCTTTCTTCTTTTTGATGTTTGGTCTTCTCTTATTTCGAAAGGTGACTGATGGGCACTAAAATACCTCAATGCATAGCTGGAAAAATTTATCTGTATAATTCTCACAGTACAATGCAAAAAACTAAAAAGTATCACAAATAGACATATACAGTGCATGTCTCTAGAAACTTATCCTATAAAAACTGTTACTAAAAAATGTAAAGTAATTTTTAGTTATATCTAGATAAAATAGTATGCACTACAACATACAAAAGGATTGCCTTGTTTTGGTGATGACACCTAGGATATAGTCAAAACATACCCACAACAAATCCAAATATACAGTGGAGATAATGCAAAAAGGGAATGTTTATTCATGAAAACACTACTATTGCTATTTAAGAGATTATTTAGTAAATTAAAACAGGGTTTCATATAGTTCCAATCTACAATTTTAAAGTTGTTGATACATTTAGAAGATTTTGTAAAGTGTTTTTTCTTACCCTTGTAAATCGTTTCGGTTCTTCACGACATTTCCCAACAAGATGCAATTCAATATATGTCTAAAATTACTAATTTCTTTGCAATTCACAGCTTTGTCTACAAGCAATGTAAACTCTTCAGAGAAGTATTGCTGAATTGTGTCATAATACTGTGGTATAACTAGCAACTCCAGCGCAATATAATTCAATAAACAATCTTCTTTATTCTCAGATTTCAATTGAATATTCTTTGAAACATGCTGAAATCCCAGTTGTTTTTGAAATCTGCAGGTTAGAATGTGTACAGAAGCTTACCTCGAAAACAACACGGAACTGCTCGTTAATTTTGCTAAAATTGGACAGACTCAACGACAACCTACGAGTCCTATCCATCATACCACTTGACATCTCCGTTTAATAAAAAATGCCTTTTTCCAAAACTGCACGTGTTTACTCAAAAATGCAAAACACTCATGCTGCCATGCCGGTTGTCAAAAATGACAAATTGACAGTTCACACATGTTGGGTATAGGTCTATATCCGGGTAACTGGAGTCTACATGTCTACAATTTCGGTGTTGCCATTCTGGAAAATATGGCGATCCTACTTTATTTTTATATCATGACAAAAAAATACGCTTTCTCTCAGTAAAAACGGGAAGATATTTTGCTTATGCTCTACCTATAATGAGAAATCCGGTGAGCTGCAAATAAAATTTGCAGTAGTTAATCTTATCTAGCAATAACTTGGCCGCGTTTGCTCTACATTCCTCCGGAGTGTCTTCTTATTAAACACATCACCGAGGACTTGATCTGGCACGAACACATCTAATCAATAGCGGCAGCTACTGAGAAAATACTAGGCTGTTTGTTTAAGGCTAAGAAGTACTTTCCTTCGCATGACCTCCTCACTCCATATAAGGCCCAGCTCTCGAGTATTGCTCACATGTTTGGGGTGTTGTCGCCCCGACTACATTATTTATGCTTGATGCTGTCTAGAGGAGGGCTGTCCGCCTAGTCGATGACTATTCTCTAACAGACAGTCTCAAGACCCTTTCGCACCGGCGGGCAGTTGGCAATCTAGCTCTCTTCTACAGGTATACCAAATGGCTTTGCTCCTCAGAACTCTCATCCAACATGCCGCCGCGCGATGTGCCTGCCAGACAGACCGCTTCACATCAGCCTCCCATTCTAACAGTGTCGAACTTCGTGGATCCAGAACTGTCCAATACGACCGCTCCTTTGTTCCGGGGGTGTCGGGATTGTGGAACAAACTACAAGTGGAAGCGGTTCCCAGTTATACTAAAGTTAAGCAGCTAAAAAAAATTGGATTATCAAAATTTCTTTGGGATCCTCATAACAGTCGCGGTGCCCTGACATTTAGGCTTCTGCCTGCGCAGCTGCTTTGGTGGTAAAAAAAGTACACAAAGCGCATTTCACATCGTGCAGGTTGCAACTGGGTGAATTTTTTTAATAATTTCATTGAGATGGATGTAATTGAGCTGGCATGCGAACTGGTATATATTATTTATTTTCAGGTATTACATTAACGTAGACGACACCTCTCACGCCCAAAAGGCATTACCCTCCTGCGGAGGCATTTGGCTAAGAATGTAGCAGTCAATCATACTAACTTAGCAGCTTGGCAATGTCGTCAACGAAAAATGCCTTACCTCGAAGTAGACATAATATGTCTGTCAGTGTTTTGTGTGTCATGTGACGTCTTTAGCGCCCTCTAACACGAATTCAAAACAACAATTTCTTCTTAAAAAAAGTTACGTTGGGTATGTGTGTTTTTATGGTGAATTTTATAATATATTTTCTTTTAAAAGGACATTGGAAGTAAAATATGTATTCATATAGCTAAAACAGACTTTAAGGATTCTATTCTACCTATTTTTATGCACTTTTTATTGAAGTTTGAGCGGATGCTTTTAGATTTTGTAAGTATGTTTGACATTTCCTAACCATAACCTTTTTTCAGCCATGGCAGACACGGCGCCCAAAAAGACGAAGGGCGAGAAAAAGGCGCCGAAGGAAGCCCCCGCGCCCAGCGACAAACCCGCAGTCAAAAAAAGGGCACTGAAAAGGCACGGTAGGCTTTATGCCAAAGCTGTGTTCACCGGTTACAAGCGTGGATTAAGGAATCAACACGAAAATACGGCTCTGCTGAATATAGAAGGCACATCTTCCAAAGACGACAGCTGGTTCTACGTGGGAAAGAAGTGTGTGTACGTATATAAGGCCAAGAACAAGACCTGTGTTCCTGGAAAGCCAAAATCAGTAAAGTCCAAAGTGAGGGCCATCTGGGGCAAAGTGACGAGGCCACATGGCACTAGAGGTGCAGTCAGGGCTAAGTTCAAAAGAAACCTGCCCGCCAAAGCTATGGGACATCGTATTCGCATTGTAAGTATAAGAGTGTCGCTCAAATATGTTTTGCTGTTTACCAATGGAATCTCTTCGATCAAACCTTTTATTGAACTTGTTATGCTAAAATGTACTTATTGTTCAAAAGGCATTTTTCGTATCTTAATACAAACCTTATACTGGATTTGATAATATTTTGAATTTGAATAATCAAAATGGGTAGTCAAATCCCTTGTACTTATACAAGGTAATTTCTAATTGAATGATGATGTTTAATGCTATTCTTAGATCCAGTTCAAAAAAGAAAACTTCATATGAATGTACATCCTAAATAAATGTCTTAACTTCTGAGAGTAGTACAGAATTTCACCAGTCTGTTTTGATAGTATGATACTGATTTCTGTAATTCTCTAGCTTAATATGAGAATGTCACCATGCAGAAAAATTTTTTTGTTTTTTTTTTGTTTTTTGGTTTAAAATAGTAGATTGGGCTTGAAACCTCCAAAAAATCAAATTTGCTCATAAATGGTTACAGATTTTTTTATTTTAAGAAAAGTAGAGGCATACTAAATGATACATTTTTTCAAACTTTACCCCTCTGAATCGCAAAAGTTAAGATGTTTAGATCATATGTTTATGTGAGGTTTTCTTCTTAAAGTGGAACCAAAAATTTACCCCCTTAAATATTGACATTCAATTAGTAAATCATCTGCTACCAGTTTTCAAAGTAGAATTGTATTTCTAAGCTTTTGCATATTTTCAGTATCTATTTTTGTACTATGAAACCAAAATTTAGGTGAGAAGTTTGAATGAACATAGGTGCTGAAATATCCTATTAACCAAGATACATGGTGTAGAAAATTTCTATGCTATTGATGAAACTGATTGATGACAAAACATAAATATTCATCAAATATCACTATATTAATGTCAAACTTGACTAACTTTAGTATATTTTCAAAGCAGAATGAATTTAAGTTTTTAATTTGGATATTATACCAAAAATCTTTTTCTCAAAATGCTGGCCACTTAGGCCTGTATCGTCAGTCAGAAAACTATGACAATCAAGGAGGCCATAAAAGCACCTTACAATTGTAGAGACGACTGACAATACGGGCCTTAGTTATGATCTCTGGCAGGATTTGTCACAAAGCATAAATGATCACAAGGTCACATCATTAGTACCACATGTACAACATTTTAAGTAAATACCATTATCCTCCACTCAACTCTGGATATGTTTTAATGATTTTAAAATCACATGTTCAACACCTTGTATCTCAGTAAGGGGGCATTTTATATCTCATTTATATTGGTGTTATTTTTTAACCTTCTCTCTACCCATTCTTTAATTAATCAACCTGTATATGGCAAAAAGATCACCCTTGGTTGGAATTCTGTCATAAAATCTATACTCGTAGAGTCCTAATTTGAACCAATTTATTCAGTAATATGCACTGATATGTACTCACTACAATAACAAGTTCATATTTTTTCTTAATTTACCATGATGCTTTATGACATTTGAAACCTGAAATTTCTGTTGAAAACACTTTACTGACTTAAAACCCTTAGTTTATACAGGTTTACCTTGTGATTCTATTTTCCTAATACATTTATTTCTCTTTATTACAGATGCTGTTCCCATCAAGAATATAGTTTTTATATTATGACATAATGTTTACTAAAAATATCAATAAACCATGTTTATTGATAAGTGTGTATTTCTTTATTCAGCAAAACTTTTGAAAATGTAACATTGTAATAATAGTCAAACCACTGGATTTAAAAAAAAATATATCTAACAGTAAGGAATTGCGCTCCTTATTTGCGACAATAAAATTAAAATGAACATTAAATGAAATAATTATATTAAAGAACTCAAGTTAGATCAAATTTGCAGACAACTTGGGTAAGGTGAAGTGATCTCAAACTGAGACTGTGCTGATAATGAATAATGCATATAGCTTTTATGGCTCAGAAAATGGCTGCCAAGCTTTATAATAGAGAACTTACTATACATAATATATACCCTATTTCACGGTAGAATGACAGCTGTTATCTAGTAATATTTCAAACGACACAATTCTAACGGATCCGTCAATGCCAGATAGTCATATTTTTGTTTTTTTGTACACCACAGATTCATTTTATGATTGCTAAAAACGTTCATTTGCATACAAAACACTACAAATTTTTGCTAGATTTACCCCCGATTCATTATAGCCAACGTTGCAGACTAACACAAAAATGTCACTTGCTGATCAGCTGTTCACCTCGGTAGACGTCAAAGCGTGATGGATACTCATGAAATAGGGTGAATGCTTGATTGGATAGTCTATTAGCATACTTCTACTGTTTTTGTTATGAGTATCAAAAGAAAAAAATGTCCAGGTGTAATAGTAGTAGAAAGATTTATTTAGCAGATTTGGCTACATAAACAGAATAATTGTAAACAACTTAGAACTAGTAAACTCAAGCCGTATGATGTAAATGCTGGGCAACCTATAATTGTAGATTTAACAAGTGATTTCTCAATTTTACTTTAAATTTTGTCAAAGTTTTCTGGTCTTTATCTCTGAGTATAATTTATTATATTCAATCAACCCTTGATGGAATACAGATTTGTAGCATATGTTATACTTTTTGGTCATTAAATGGTTTCTGGTATTATGTAAATGATGGGCGACATTTGATGATGTTAAATTAGTTAGACTTGGTGGAAATATATAATTTTTTACTTTATAAATGAATATCATTACAAGATATTTGATAAAAATTTTTACATTGAGCCATTTTAATTTGCTAAGCATTTGCCTAATTGGAGTATATTTATCTTTATTTAGTATTATTCTCATGCACTTATTTTGTAAAATTTGCAGTCTTTCAAAAATGGAATTATTTGCTAAATATAGAATAGTCGAACAGTATAAGAAATTTGGAAGAATGATGGTATTATAGATAATTTTTTTGCTATATGAACTCAGACATCCAGAAACTCTCGATAAATATCCCACTTTACTACTAATCTTATTTATAACTTTTTCATAATGAATATCAAAAATTAATCGAGAGTCAAAAAAACCCCCAGGTATTTAAAATTTTCTAGGAATTCAATATCTTCACCATCAATATTCAGTTGAACATTTGTACATTGTTTTTTCCGATTAACAAGGCTTTCGTTTTACTTGCATTTAATTTTAGTCTGTTAGATGCTAACCATTTTGAGACAAGTTTCAAGTCTTCATTTATATAAGAGATACCAGACTGAATATTTTTAGTCCTTATATAAATCATAGTGTCAACGGCGAACATCTGAATTTTGCATGTTTTGACTATGGCAGGTAAATCATTTATGTATAAAATAAAAAGAAGTGGTCCCAGGATACTGCCCTGTGGAACACCCAACGTATATTCAATTTTTGATGAAATAGTGTCATTAACTTTTGTAACTTGCATCCTTTTAGACAAATAATAATAAAACCATAAAATTACTGAATTCATTTCAACACGAAATTTACAACGTTCGACACCCCACAATTGGCAAGTATGTCTCCTACATGCGCTCTCCCACACGTTGTAAGGCATTCGCCACATAGTGTGTGACCGGTTTAAGACTACAATAGGTGTCAATACAGGCGTATTCTTTAATTCACCGGTGCAGCCAATTAATCAATTTTTATTCTTTTAAATTTCCGTCTGAGCGACCGGTTGTACACCAAACTTGTCTATACAGTTTATAGACAATTTTGAGGTACCACCGGTCGCTCAGACGGAAATTCAAGGAAGTAAAATTGGCTAATTGGTTGCACCGGTGGATTAAAAAATACTCCTTACCATAATCACCTTGTAATGCGGGTCCCACACGATGCTTCCAGCGTTCGACACCCCACAATTGGCAAGTGTGTCTCCTACACGATGGGATGAACTTTTTAGTCTCGGACGTTAGACGCATGGTGGCGCCAACGTCTGTTATCGGTGTCCGTGCCGCGCTTGAACCTTTACAACTGAAGGAATAATTATACAATATGAACGTTGAAACAATTTTATCGAGCGCCGAAAAATAATTTTATAAGCCTCAGAAATGTCGAAAAACGAGGCTTAACCGTTTTTTGTTTGTTTTTCGACGATAACTCCGCCGCCACTGTACCAATTTTTAAAAACTGCTGAGCTTTTCGTCATTTTCATAGTAGTAACCTAGGGTCAAAGTTTCATCGAAATTCTGATAGTTCGGCAATGAAGCGGGAAGATTTCGTAAATAATTTTATTATCGAAAAAATATTTTTTTTGTAATTAGTAATACCATACTGGGAAATAAAAGAGTAGCCATTTGATATACAATGTTAAAAAACATTATTTTTTGAAAATTACATCTGTCAAATGGCCTCCGTTGACACGTATGCATTCATGGAGTCGAGCCTGGAAGTTCTGCATAACTCTTCGCAGCATATCAACAGGTATTGCTGCAATCTCGTCACGAATTCGTTGTTTGAGGGCCGGGATTGTCCTGGGTGGATCAGTTTCAAACACTTTCATTTTCAGATAACCCCATAGAAAGGAGTCGCAGACAGTAAGGTCGGGAGACCGAAGGGGCCAAGCAATATCCCCGTTTCGAGAAACGACACGCCCTGGGAACAAAGCATTCATCGAAATTCTTGCAGTGTGGCTTGTTGCACCGTCTTGTTGAAAAAGTGTGTGTTCATTAACTGGAAAGCGGTAGAGTTCAGGTGTGAGGAAGTTCCGAATCATTGAAACTTATCTCTCAGAATTAACGCTAACGGCATTTTCAGCCTCATCCTCAAAAAAATACGGACCGATGATTCCATTTGCAGACGTTGCACACCATACTGTCACTTTCTGAGCATGAAGAGGTGATTCATGAAGCATACGAGGGTTAGCCTCCGCCCAGTATCTAAAATTTTGTCTGTTAACAAAACCGGAGAGGTGAAAATGTGCCTCATCGCTCATCCACAAGTTGTTAACCTGGTCATCAATTTCTTCCAGCCTTGCAAGCATAACCTCACAAAATCTGAGACGCTGTTGATAATCATCCGGGTGAAGAGATTGAACAACCTGTATTTTATACGGGTGATATCGAAGATCTTGATGGAGAATCCTTCTCACCGATCTGTCACTTAATCGAAGGCGTGTGGCGTGACGGATGGCCAATCGACGTTGACTTCTTAAAATGGCTTGTCGAACACGTTCAATATTTTCAGGGGTTCGAATCGTTCTGGCACTACCACCTCTTTCTCTAGACGTCGATCCAGTTTGCTCGAGGTTGTTTAGCCACATTCGAATCGCATGGTCTAACGGAACCGGTTGGTTACGCGGTATGTTAAGATGCCGTCTAAAATCTCGACGCGCTAAACTCTCGCCATTTTGGTAATAAGCCTTAATTGCGTAACCGCGATGCTCACCCGTCCAACGCTCCATTGTAGACTAAATGGCAAGCCACTCGCGTCCCGACAGGTCTGTGACTGTCCTCCCTACCACTTCACCGCCCGCTGCAAGCCCCACCCCAAATCTTCCCGTTTCATTGCCGGACCCTGTACTTTCAGAGTTATCATTTATTTAATCGTTTTCGTTAGTGAAATGCAAGTCAATATATTTATCAACTAGTCTTGCATTGCAACAGGACATTATAATGAAACTTGATAATTTATAATTTACTAAAATACATATCCTTAGGCCAGCTATAACTCACCTGCGAAACGTACAAAAAATTAGTAATATGAAAAAAGTATTGTTATGGCAGCCTATACTTTGTATGTATACTAATTTAATTCATTCTCCTCAACAGTTAGTTACCGAACATACATTATTATGAATAGGTAAGTATTCAAATCAAAATACTTCCCACATACCACTACTTCAGCAGAATCACAGCAAACAAGTAAATAATGTTTTTCGGCGCTTCTGGTTCTAACCTAAAACCATCAAACACATGACATCACGTGTGAGAGCGTAACGAACCATGTATCCAACGTTGTAACGTCCTACCGATAAGAGCCCGAACGTGCCATGTGGTTTTATCCCACACGATGTAGCGAATGGCCATGTGTCTAAAGCTGTAAGGCATTCGCCACAACGTGTGGGACCGGCTTAAGTGTGCTTACAGATTTTTCTGTCTTTGGTGTAGTCGAGAGCAGGGTATTTTTTGCCTGTCTGTTGGTGACCCTTTCAAAATAGTTCCGTGATAGGTCTCTCCCGTGGTTTCTCTGATTTGACAAGCCTGACAAGCTGAATGACATTGTCATCCTGACATGTTGACTTTTTTGTTGCTGTAAATTGTAAACGTTAAATGTCTCTTAAAATGTAATAAAACAATAATTTGCCTAATTAGAAATGCATTTTCCAACGTGACTCATACCAGACTCTATATAACACTATAACCATCATAATAAAGTCTCTCGAAATGTTTACAAAGAGAAACCTAGTTGATATCAAGAAATCAACATCGAAATTGCAAGACCCAAAAAAGGACGTCGCTACCAGAGTTAAACACCTAAAAATTATATTAGGTAAGTACAGTTGGGATAATTGAGCTCATACCCAGCACGTTCAATATAATACTGCTTTGCAGAAAATGTAGATATTGCTGAAGCCAAGGGGTTATTTGAAGCAAATTTCAGCCACATATACAATGTCCTATATGAAAGTTTTGTGCAAACAGAAGGCAATCTCAGGCAAAGAGGTAGGTACCAACATATGTGACAATTTTTACATAATAACAATTGTGATTGGTTCAGCATACTGGGATTAACAGTATTTGTTGGGCTCCAAAGTACATCCAATAGTAGTTATTGCAGTCAAGTTTTACTTGTTTATTTAGTAATGTATTTGCAGAAATAGTATAGTCAACTAAATTACATACAAATTAATGCAAGATTCTTATTGAATGCATGTAATTTACAACTAAATAAATCTACTTGATTGTAGATTACATAGTTGTTTTAAAAGCCTATCACTAATATAAAGAGAACCATCATATGTTCAACATAATGAGAAACAATGCTTTGAACCTACTTTTTCTGTGAGGCACATCTAAATATATGTGTAACAGAAAATCACAGTCTATGTAATTATTAATTTGAAACAAAAATTTGGCTAGCATATATTGCTTGTAAAATTATAAAGATTTCAGCCCTGCATATGATATAGCATGGCCAAAGGGAATGAAAGTTTAAACAATAATAATAAGATGAACTTCTTCATTCCTCAGTTACCTATTTCAAATCTAGGGTCCATTAACAACTTTATAAGTCAGAGTTGAAATAATCTACTTACTCCTTTAAAGGCCACATTATTTTTCTTCTTATCAAGTAAAGCTGACTGCTAAGCTTTCATTCTTAAGAAACGCTGCTACATTAATACACTTTATTCTATTAAACACTGCATTTAACTCATTGAATGCTAGCCTTAGAAATTCGAGTATATAAATATACTACTTATTTTGACCCATTCCCCATCAGAGCTGCTTTCCACTGACCCAAATGAGTTACTTCAGGTTACCCTGAGTGACTCAGTAGTGTTCAGCACCAATATAGTTCCACTATACTTTGCATTCTGATACACACTTTCTAGAGCAGCTCAAACCAAAAACCACTGGAAAGCAGCAATATAATTTAACTCAGAACTCATGGCTGACAGGCTAAATATTGAGTTAAAAGTAGATATATGAATAGTGTCAGCCCTAAGGACTGACATGATGGCCATGTGTTGAGTACAAAGACTTTGTGATGCACTGCAACTCTACTACTGTATTTGCATCAATATTATGAAGACATAAGTTTTCTTGAATAACATTGGGATTTGTTTCATTATTTAGAGTAATTGTGAGAGAGCTAAATGCATTAAATACAGTTGAAAAATAATTCCATTATTAGAAAATTTGAGTATATAATATAAATTTATTTTTTATATGGCTGATCTCTCTTAAATTATCTTCCTTCCCCCTTTGCAGTTATTTGTGATAAAAGCTTTTATTGTAATTATATTTACGTATACTAACCAGGTATTTATTACCTAAGGAAATTCTCACATGATTTACTTTTTTATGGTGGCGGTATACTCAGGTGGTTTATTCAGTATGGTTGTGAACACTGAGAAGATGGTTCTTATTATTTACTTCTTGCAAGAGATTTCAAGCATTGATGACTCCTATGTGCTCTCTGTATCTTTTTTCAATTCATTTATAGAAAAGCCAGTTTGTTCAGAAATCGAACCCATGCAACATGTAACTTTTTTTTATCTTTTTGAAATCAGTGAATTGGTTTATAGTCCAAGATAATTCCTAGATATTTTACTTGGGTGAATAGAATCAGCTTGCTGTTTCCAGCGTTGACAGAAAGATCGACCTCCCTTCACCTCGAGTCCTTGGCAGAGCGCCCCACATAATCTCATAGACTGTTCACTATAATTGATTATTAGCTAATTTCTTTCCAAACAATGATCTACTCCATAATTTGTGGAATTTTATATGATAAAATACCTCTTAGATATGAATCGGACACTGCAAAAACCTCGTAAGTCCCAGAATTTGACTTTTTCAGGAGACAATAAAAACTGTGTCACTGACAAATAAATCACTTTTGAAAGTAATTTTTTGGGCTTAATGTAGTATTTGAATTCTGGGAGATTGAAATTTCAAATAACCTACACAGTTCAATAATAATAATAATTAAACTGTTATGTTTTAATGTTGTTTCAGCAGGAAGTAAGGTCAGCCGCAATTAACTCAAGCAAATTAATCTTACTTTGTATTGCTTCTTATTGAGAACTACCCTTAAATATTGACTTCATGTCACAGCCTGTATATGTACCCAGAATACGCATCTACCTTTATTGAAGCATTTTCAGCAACACTAACAGTGGACTTGAGTGGTTTTACACTGACTGATTCATTTGCATTTTGTATATAAAATGATAAATCTCGTGGGATAATAGTCTTAGGAATTGTTAATCCATTTTGTAAATAACTAATATTGGTGTGTGTTTCTTTCTTGGTGGCAGAGCTGTCCTTTCACTTGGGTAAGTCTTGCTTATCTCTCCCCAACCCTGGTACACCCCTAACCAAACTTGAATTGTAGTCCACAAAGCTCACAAAGAGGAACTAGAATGCACACTGTGGATACTGGAGCAAGTATTGTGTCTGCTGCCAGAATTGATTCACAGAAGATGGCAGCTACACTCATTAGGAAGGATGCTGGGAAAGCTGTTGCATCTGGGGAATGCCATCAAGCTGAGGAGGCAGGGGATTCGATATTTTCTCATGTGGTATGTGTAGAGAAGTTGAAGCTTAATTAGTAATGTCCATTTACTTATTTAGCTGTGACAGCAAATCCTATTATCTGTAAAAAATATAACAAAAGAATAATTTAGGCTCACCTCAATTTTCTAAACTAACACACATATGCAATTTATGTATTTGAAAGCTGAGAAACCACAATGTGTGTTAAAAAATAGATGGCAGACTGAACTTGCAAGAGATCATCCCAGTCTACTAGTAGTTGAAGATATAAGAGGTTAACAGTGTGCCCAAACTTCAAGGGGTGCCTTGAGTGAAATTCAGAGTTTATATAAATATAGGTTCCATAATGCTTCTTACTACTATTCGTCATTTGTTCGTCTGGGTACACGGATTAATTTTGAGGTGAACTAAACAAATTTTGATTCGGTTTTATTAGAGTGTTACTTTGAGTTTACTAAAAGTTCGCGCTAATTTTTTATTACAGTGCGAGCCGAGTCCTTGAATGTTTACGAACGTGCTCCACTGTGTAGTCCACTGAGTCGCGCAACATAGGGTTGCTGTGCGATTCCGCTTGACTATAACGTCGCTGCGCCTGAAGTTTGACATAATCCCTCAAGTAAGGAATGTCAAGGTCTCTGTGGAGTGTCTCGTTTGAGGCATACCATAGAGCGTTGCAAATTGTTCACAAAGTTCTACTTTGCAGTACTTGACGACTTTGCATATGTGTCTTGGCAAGAAAACATCAAGTTGCACATGCATAAGTAATGGCTGGTCTAATAATCATTTCATATAGGCGAACTTTGTTTATCAAACTGAATTTGGAGGATCCACATAACAAAGGATATTGTTGCCGAAACGCAATTTGGAATTTTGTTTTCAAGACTGCTGTATATTTCTGCCAGGTCATGCCTTTATCAAGGGTGACACCGAGGTACTTGGCAGAATTTGTCCATGGTACACGATTGCCGTCTACAGAGACGTCTGCTGGGGGGCCGCGACGTTTTTTGGTACAATAAATATGCTGCGTTTTCGAATGATTAATTTTAATCAGCCAGCGTTCCGCCCACTCTAGTACTTCTTCCACCGCACTCTGCAACCCATCGTGAACCAGATCACCAGTACAGGACTGGGCGACAAGTGCAGTGTCGTAAGCATAGAGGTAGACTTCACAGTTGCTGGGGCAAGGGACATCATGGATAAAAGCGAATAAAGGATTGGTCCTAGGACCGAACCCTAAGGAACACCGGCCCGTACTGGCCGTGTTGTTGACAAAACATTGTTAATTTTGATTCGAAACTTCCTTCCTTCAAGAAAGGATTTCAGTAATTTTAGAAGATAATGCTTCTTTTTCAAGATACAATGGGTAAAATTTTCATTTACCATTTTATTATAAAATTCTCAATAATTCGTCATCAATTTTTATCATGTGTTGAATTTTTATTTCACGTGCACAGATGTAGCGCTTGATATTTCAACAATGTATCAAGGCAATCTAAAGGGCCCTTACTCTGGCGAAGATACGCACTTGGAAGAGAGCCTTTGAATATAGAGTGACTTCATAGTGACAATCACATTTAGAAACTAACGTACAGTGGGAGATAGATTATCTAATTTCAAACGTTGCTGCACTTACTTCTTAAAGTTGATTGGAAATTCGGTACAGTTCTGAAAATCTGGTTCGTGTTTTAAGGAGGGCATCAGGTGTCTGAAAAACTCCCAAAAGCCGGGCACTAATAATGACGCTCAATAGAATTGGAAGGGTGACACTCGGGAATAGGATATTTTTAGAACACAGTACGAAGCTTAAGGCGATTAGAGTGGGCTAACTGCGTCATTACTACCATTGTAGTAGTGTGCCATTTCAGTAACGATGGAGCAGTGAACGATAGAATATCGGGTATTTGAATACGGCGGGTTTATCCGAAATAACGAGTTAGTGATCACTGCGCAGCTGCTTTTTCGCACTCACCTTAGTATTGGTAAGCATGGAGCTGGTCCATATTGTAACACAACAATATCTTAAGGGGGCGAAGGATTTGAGAACAACAGGTAATCCAATGAAAAAAGCAACCTCGTCCAAAAAGAATGGTTAAGAACTCCTGAAAACGTAGAGCGAGTAAGAGAAGAGGTCGTCAGTCCTACACGGTCCGGCAGAAAACGTGCAACTGAACTAAACATGAATCGGGAATCGGAATCGAAAGTTCACCCCTACAAACTACAGGTTGTCCAGCAATTAAAGGAAAGAGATTTTGAAACGCGTGAGATTTCGCTACGAGAATCCAAAAGTTATTTTGTAGGACAACTTAGGCCTGCATCGAAGCGAAGCGACATTTTCAGTTAGATGGAACAGTTATTACACAGAATTTTAGATTCTGGGCTCCTTAAAATCCGCGAGAGATCCATGAGCGACCTCTACATTCTAAAAAAGCCACAGTATGGTGTGCCATTGGTCCAACAGGTGCTATTGGTCCTTATTTTTTTTTTTGAAGAGGCCGGCCAAACCGTCACAGTTACGTTTGATCGCTACGCTCCACAAATTTTTGGTGCCAGAACTACGCAGAAAAGGGATAAACCCCAGGAATGTGTGGTTTCAGCAAGATGGCGAAATGGCACCTACGGCCAACGCATCAATGAATGTTGTCCGCAACCTTTTCCCAGAACAACTCATGTCATTTTGTGTTTTTTTCTGTGGGGGTATTCAGTTTCGTGTACTCGTATATGCTCCCAAGTCCCGTAGTTTGGTCGAGTTGAAAAACGGAATTCGCCAGGAAATCCTGACTATTGATCAAGCGATGTTAGAGTGTGTTATGGAGAATTTCAAAAGGAGAATCGAAAACTGCATCCAACTTGATGGTCACCATCTTCATTACACTATTTTCCATACTCAATACACTTAATAATTGGCATAATATAAGCTTCATTTTGATGTCAATAAAATCTTATTATCCGGCAAATTTCCTCTGTAATATTTATTTAAAAATATTCCGGTTGCCAGTTGCCAGTTGTTACCATGTACACTTTAAATAATGTTCTGCTTTCAGGTATCAAGCCTTAAATGAAAACGCCCCCCAATACGTCCATCACATGTTCGCGAGCATCGTACCCGGTTTTTACCCTCCTGCTCCACCCTACAATCCGCCTCTCTCTCCACCCGACCCTCATCAACCAGTAGGGCCATCGGAGTTGCTTCCCCTTCTACCGCCTAGTAGTGGGGAGCGGCCACCCGATCATCCTGGCAGGTTCTATCTGGAGGCTTTGCTGGAGTACATGGTACACACCACAGTAAAGCTAGAGTGGCAGGATAAAGCTGCCTATCATCACAGGTGAGTACAGACTTCGTGGTACCTTTGCTTGCTCAGGTACTACCTTGTCCCAAAACATTTAAATAATCAGAGTTGCTTTCTGGTGACGTAGTTACACGGAGTAGCCCGCCGGCGTTCAGCAAATGTCAATACTGTTCAATTTGGTTACTTTCACTATTTTCCTTGCTCGTGCCCTTTTTTTCCCCGAAAACATGGCAGCAAATTAATATTCGACAGAATAATTAAAAAAATAATTATTTTAATATTCTTAGGAGGTCTGTAAATTAGGTGATAAGGCTGCCATCGTAGCGTTCGATCTGGCAATACTGGAGGCGCTGGGCTTGGAGAGAAGACGGGGGAACATGTGATCCGCCTTCAATACAAATTTGAACTCGCTAGAGTCATTTGGTTATCCGTAGCGATTTTTTTTGTGAAACAGTTTTTTCTATTGTATTCTAAAAATGAGCGACATCAATGTGAGCTATCAGGTTTTGCTTCGGACTTAAGCACAATGCAACGGAACCTCTTGCTAAACATCCCTATGGGGATAGTGTTTTCTCAAAGGTCCAAGTTTTTCTGTGATTTAAGGCATTTTCAGAAGGTAGAGAGTCGATTGAAGATGAACCACGAAGCGGAAGGCCTTCATTTTCAAGAACCGATGAAAATATCGACAGTCCGGGATCAGATAATCGGTTGACAGTCAGACTGATCGGGGAAGAGTTAAATTTGACTCACACCACCGTTCATCAGATCAAGAAGATCACGATAATGTTCCTTGTCACACAGCTATGTCAGTAAACGAGTTTTTAGCCAGTAAAAACATTCCTGTGACCCCTCAGCCTCCTTATTCGCCTGACTTTTCTCTCTTTCGGAAGTTGAAAAATCACCTAAAGGGAACTTATTTTGGGACAGTCGAAAACATTCAAGTGCCTGTAACCTACCAGCTGAAGGCTATTCCAGTATAGGAGTTCCAACACTGCTATGAGGGGTGGAAGAACCGTCTCCAGCGCTGTGTGGCTTCAGAAGGAAGTTATTTTGACGGTGACAATATAAAATTGTAATAAAATTTGTATGAAAAGACTACAAAAATCAGTCTCATCACTTAATCTACAAACCGCGTCAAATCGCGACATATTGAAGCTGATTTAGTGACTTTCAAAATAGTAGTGTTTCGTTCTCTCTAACAACGTCAATCTTTTGTCTCGATTGTTTTGCATAAAATATATAGGAAAGTTTCTGTACACAATGAGAATTATCGAATCGATAACTGATAATGATTATGACTATATTTCAAGTCAACAAGAAATGGAATAAATTTTACTCAATATTTAGTAAAAAATGGGTCCGACATGCTATTGAAATTCAACAGATTTGCTATTTTCAATTCAACAGTTCAAAATCGGCAAAATGGGGGGGGGGTGGGTGGGGGGGGAGTTGAAGTATTTTGGTAAATATGACATTTGTTAATGATATTCAGTTAAATATTGTTTATTTATTTTAGGTGTTTCAATTTCGTATTGGAAAAATTCAAAATGTACTACCTTCCAAAAATCTGTCCAAATTTCTGCCAGGAAACTTCACTGTACAGACCAAACTTAGGCAAGTATATAACTTAATATACACCAATATTTTCTCTACAGGGCCTTAATTTCATCTAAATTTTGAATAAACGATTCACGATTGAAACATGCTTTTTTCAGAACTACCGGTAATGCGAAGATTGGACAGCGAAAATGAAGCGGTACATTGCCGAGTGTCGTTGATAATGTGGGTGACAAATTACATGCATCAAGCAAAGAAAAATAATGAAGGGGGAGGTGCTGGTCCACCTCAAAATCAACAATTCCAACCAAGTCCTCAACAGCAGCATTACCATCCCACCCATGAAGAAGAATCTCATGATTCTGCTCATCCCAGCTTGGATTCAAGTAGGTTTGCGGTATACTCAAAACAATATAACATAGCTTTGTCATTATACATGTTAGTTTTGTCCAAGTCCTATAGGGAACCATCTCAAAACCATGTTGATTATGCTGATCGTCAATCAAAAACTGGTTTAAAATCACGAGAACTCACTGTGCAGCATCAGAACAATTCTAGCATATTTTCCCATAGAACACGAACAAGGCTTTCTTTGAATTCTTTATCCTATATCAAAATGGCTGAGGTATGGAAATATAGGTAAAACGAAAGTAAACATGAATTATCATTCTTATAACTCTTTCCAGCTATTTCAATACAGACTAACAAGACGACAACTGATGAGGAATTAGCAGCTCAGATTGTTAGAGAAGTTTTGTGTAGTACAAGAGATAATGTTGATTTTATCCATGAGCTATATCGTCAGGCGTTACTTTTGAATTTTACGCATGTGGTGGCTATCCGGAAAATTATCGCTGTCTATAAAGACCTCATACAGGTAAGTTATATGTCTTCGAACCCACCAGGGTTACTGAATTTTTAACTAAATGCTTACATATGAATAAAGTTTGAGTTGTTATTTACCTCACTGTTTTTCTTTTTACATGTTTCAGGGTAATGTATTAGAAATACCACCATATGCTTTGGAGTTGCCTGAGGATATGCAAAGAAATCCTAGTGATGAGCTTAATACAGATATTGTTCGACCTGGTAGGTTGAGGAACGACTCCTATCTTGGAGCCATCCATAAGGAAAATCTTCTAGTCAGAGCGGGAATGCAGGTAGAACGAGTTATGACCAACCATCCTATGTTTATTTCATAAATAAAATCTGTTTCCAGAATTTGTTCCAGCTCTTTATGACACACGCAGCTAATGTATTTCTACTAGAAATCAACTCACATGTGCCTAGGATGCTTGAAGAGCAAACTGATGCTTGCAAGAGGGTTTTGAACATTTATCGATATATGGTTATGAATACACGAATGGATAACAATACGTGGTAAGTATCAAAATTTCCAAAAAAATAAGGGCCACCAAAACTCAACGTTTGCAATGACAATTTATATATATGCTTACTTTACTACTCTCTTGAAATGACGACCTGAGTGCAAGATTTTTAAAGACAATATTTAATAAGCCCCTGTTTTCACTAACTAGATCAATAGATGTTAAAATACCATTAAATATTAGTTGAAAATTTCTGAGCTCAAATTTTGAAAAAGTATACAATCATGCCTTTATGAGAAGTAAATTTCAGAATAAGATTTGTTGTTTGAATTATGGAATATCTGCCTGGACCACATTTGTTAGCTTTTAAATTCTTCATTACCACATATCATCTTATCAAGAATTTTGTACATTTTAGGGAACAACTGCTACTGGTGCTATTACAAATAACATCCTTGGTGTTAGGCGAGAATCCTCCTAAAAAGAAAGCATCTTCTTTAGGTGGAAAACTAGCTCCAGCAATATTCCAAACACTCATTGTCACTTGGATCAAGGCAAACTTGAATGTGATGATTTCGAGAGAGTTGTGGGACAGGTTTTTGCATGTGTTGACTTCATTGACAAACTGGGAAGAACTTATTAAGGAGTGGGCTGTAAGTTAAACGATTTTCAAAATATATCTCAAAAAATGTTCAAATTATAACTGCATCATAGTCCTAATACAGATATTTCGAGTTTTTTTTTTCTCAACTCACATTGATATCTTTTTAATAAGAAATAAACGCTCAGTATGTTTTTGCTAGTTTATGACTATGACTTACATATTTTGTATGGTGAAAAATGGCGGATATGATAAATCTAAATTAAGAAGTTGGGCATAGTATTTCAGTAACTTTTTGATCATGATATATTCTGATTGACTGAACTATATTGAATGGTTTTTTAATGATCATTTTTTTCGTCTTCAGAAAACTCTGGAAACTTTGACAAGGGTCCTAGCTCGTCACGTGTATAACCTCGATCTAACCGACCTACCGCTTGATCGCCTGAATGAAAAGACAAAAAGGGGCAGAAAGGGTCCCACAAAGACTGAAAATAACATTCCAAGTAATAGTAACGGTCAACATTCGTCCGTGTGCAGGCAAGATTCGTCATTACCTGATGGCCATTGCATTTCTAAAAGGTTTGTATCCCATATTATTCTTACGAATTGGTTCAGGAAAGAAATTCGTCATTACGAAAAATGTATTTTCAGGTCTCGTGCAGCTATTCCAAGAAGTTATAGCGAAACTTCTCTGACATTGAAAAGGAGGTCAACTTTAGTGAAGCAAGAAGTTGTAAATGTGAGTAGAATATTGCGCTATATTGAAATACAGTAGCGGACAAAAGGTTCGAAACAAATATTAAAATTATTATGAACTATTTCATATACCTATATTAAAATTGTGAAGGAACAGATAATATAAATATTAAGTCTATCTTTGGCTCCCGTACTAATATAATACAAGGTGTATCTTATCAATATTAAATTTCCCTGAAAATAAAAACTCGTTTTTTTAAATAACCCAGTTTTTGTAACGACAAAAGTATGGAACCATTTCACTTATTCCGTATTTATTCGTTCTGCGATACTCTGATATTCAGTGAGAATGGCAATTTAAAATTACTCAAAGATTAAACATGAATAAAGGAACGATTTCGGAAATTATTAGTAAATATCAAGATCAACGGATCAACAGCAACGCGGCCCAAGTGCGGAAGACCGAAAAAAAAAACGATTATGTTTTGGATCGCTACATTAAACGTTTGTCCCATGAATATCCTCGAATGACCTCAAGCATACCTCAAAATTCATAAAGGACTGGTTAAGACTAAAAAATGTTAATGTTCTTACTTGGCCTTCGCAATCCCCGGACCTAAACCCTATAGAACATCTCTGGGAGCATGTTAAAAGACAACTGACAAGAAAAACTTAAAAAAATAGGAACGATTTATTTGATCATGTAAAAAATATTTGGCAAAATATCCCAACAGACATCTGTAAAAAATTGGTGTCTTCTATGAGCAGCAGATGTCGGGCAGTGTTGAATGCTAAAGGTTATGCTACCAAATATTAGCTAAATAGTATTTCTTAAACCTTTTTGTAATAAAATAATACGAAGGTATTTTAATGCTAGTCTGTCGTACCACAGCAAACACAAATTGTCATTTGTATCGTCAAGACTGTAAGCAAACTATATGAGAAAAAAATAGTCATTAATAATAAAGAATACTTTTTTAAAATTACTAAGAATGTTTCCAAACTTTTGACCGCTACTGTATGTAATTTATCGTAGATTATTTTTTTAATAAATATGATCTATTCAGAAGCAGAAGCTTAAGAAATGTTACTCTACATACTTAGATTCGAGGATATTATCAGACAATCCATTTTGACCGCTAATGTTAATCAGCACTCAGAGTTGTCTAGAAATAGTAGAACTATCTAGTCCATGACAGTAAATTAAGATTTTGGTAAGTGATCAACAAACATAACTTTACTTTTTTTATTCGTTTTTCATTCATTTGGAATTGTTTTGTGTATTGATAGCATAATGATGTTTATCATGGTTCTATTGGGTTAATGATTCTATTTTATCGCCTTTGTCTATTTTCAACTTGTATTATTAATTCAGTATTGCCTTGGCGAAGTAGATAGAAATGTGTTCATTTTGGTTTAGTCAAGTTAATTGAATGCGATGTCTAAACCCCGACGGCATAGTTGTGCTCCAATCACTTGTAACGTTTTTAAAAAGGCAAGTGTCTTGTAAAATTTTTTGTGACTCGTATTCAATATTGGACATGATATTTTTGTAATTAGTCGTGACTATGTAATAGTAGGAAGTATTCAATTCAAAATAATTTTGTCTCCATAATCCAGGGTGACTAGCGAGCTTAAAGTTCCCAGTTTACATTGATAAATTGGAATATAACAAGTCATATGTGAAGTATTAACAAAATACTTTCTCCTTTGAAATGCATTCATTTCATTATGCCATTCATACAAATAAAATAATATTTCTTCAATATGTTACACAGATATTATTCCACTCATGATCCTTAACATCTCTAGTACAAGTATGGGTATGCTGATTTTGCCTTGAATTTGCATATGAAATGAAATTGATTATTTATTATTTCTATAATGAGGTGTAGAAGCAAAGTGCTAGGAAGTTGGGAGAATAAACCAGGGATGGTATTTTTATTAAGACGCTTAGTCTTACCAAAGTGCTATGTGAATATAATGAAATTATTGCATTCTATATGTCACACATCATATTTGCTTATCTCTTTAGAAGCCTTAAGCTGTTTTTGTTTGTGGTTTGTCTATGGAGTTCAACCGTTACTATTGAGTAGACTATTGAATATATGTTTCCGTTCAAAAAAACTCTGCACCATGCGCCGAGAACCTACCAGAAACTCATTGGAATGGAAACAGTCCTCAGCATGTTGTTAGTTAAGAATATATATATAGTTAGGTTTAAATATCAGTGATTTAAAAGCATGGCGTTATTACGAACTTGAGATAATGGCGCGATAATCCTTTGCTGGCCATAATAATCCTATGGTAGTATAGGATTTTCGGCCTCAAATGCCGCTCATGAACATTCAAACATTGCCGCCGTAATACCGTTCGTCGTTGCTGTCCAGTGCCTAGTTTCTGATTTCGTTATCATGTCACGCTTTTTCACAGTACTTGGTAACAGTTGTGATTCGTGATATAGGAATATCAGTTGCCAAATCACAAATCGGGAAATATCTATATAGGTATTTTCATGGTGTTGGGCAAATCTCAATAAAACTACAGGAATCACTTTTATACATCCTCGTCTGCATATACAACTGCATTATCAACAGTTTGTTTTGTATTGGAGTATTTTGGAAAAGTGAATGAAAACAACGGCCCTTTATAATCCATTGCATGTGCAAGGGCGAGTAGCAGCTGCGATAAGGATCGGTTTGCGCAGTGTGCAATCTTCTTTAGAGAAACTAAGACTCGCACATGACGCAGGTACTAAAACTGCCTACTTACGAGGTCTGTAAATTAAGTGATGTGACTGTTTTGTTTTATTATTTTTGTTTATTCAAATATAATTTCAATTTTATTTTGTCACCCCCAAAATAACCTTCTTCTGAAGCCACACAGCGCTGGAGACGGTTGTTCCACTCCTCATAGCAGTGCTGGAATAGCCTTCAGCTGGTCGGTTACAGCCATTTGAAGGTTTTCGACTCTCCCAAAGTGAATTTCCCTGAGATGATTTTTCAACTTCTGGAAAACAAAAAAGTCACCAGGACTCAAGTCAGGCTAATAAGGAGGGTGAGGAGCCACAGAAATGTCTTACTGGCCAAAAACTCGTTTATTGACATTGATGTTTGATAAGGAGCATTATCGTGATACAACACCCAGTTGTTCGTGATCTGATGAACGGTGGTGTGAGTCAAATTTAACTCTTCACCGGTCTTTCTGATTGTTAACCGACGACCTGAACGCACAAGTTCCCGGATTCGATAAAAACCTGGGCACTTGACAAAACACTATCTCCGTAGGCCTGATGAAGTTTAGCAAGAGTTTCTATTGCACTCTTCCGAAGTCTGAATTTAACCTGACAGCACACCGTTTTCTCGAAATAGATGTCATTCATTTTTAGAACGCAATAGGAAAAACTGTTTCACGAAAAAATGGCTACTGACAACCAAATGTGTCGAGCGAGTTCAAACTTGTACTGAAGGCGGATCACATGTCCCCGCCCCAAGCCCTGCGCTTCCAGTGTTGCCAGATCGAACGTTACGTTGCCAGTCTCATCACTCAATTTACAGACCTCGTATTTCGTATGACTTTGTGGCGTAGCCGCCATCACCGTAAAAAGAACAATACCACCAAGTGGCTAGAACGAAACATTACCTTAAATCATCATGTGATCTTTCCAGAACAAAAACCGCCGTTCCCGTTCACTAGAAACCCTCTCCGCAGCTATAGGAGCCGCTTCCCAACACGACGCCGATTCCGCAGACTGTACACGGTCTCCTAGTCCTGCACCATCTAGTGGCCTGGAGAGTACCTCCGTTAAGGACTCGCCGATGCAGCTGGACGTGTTGGTTGGAGGGGGTGGCAGTGGGGATGGACATCAGGATAGCGACAGGGGTGTCGTTTGCGGGGGCACGGTCAGGGGTTGGTTGCCGGATGTTGCTGTCATATTATGGAGGAGAATGTTGGGTAAGTTTATAGATTGCAGCTCACATTACTCCGTCAATATTAATCATTGAAGAATCTTTCATGCGACCTCGAACTGACTGGCAAAACATTTGAGTCCTCTTATAGTCCAGGTGTCATCAGTTCTCGAATGGGGTTCAATGTCGGAGCCCCAATTTCTTTATATATATATATATATATACAGGGTGACTTCGAAGTTGAGTCATTTATTTTAACAGTGAGTAGAACTGATCAAAAGAAATGTTTTTTTCCTTTAACATTTTTGTGGTAAAATTAAAGTAACAAAGTTATAGCCCTTTAGAAGTTTGAGTACCGCCCTGTCTCAATAATAATATTATGTGCTCGTGTTTGGCGACAACGGATATACTCCGCCTTATCGGTTCATCGCATCGGAAACAAAAAAGCGAAAGAATTTGAAACGCTGATCACGATGTTTTTATTCATATCAGTCTGTGTCAGTCGGTAACGCGTGAGTGAATAGTGGTATTTGCTGCGTGGCTCAAACGAAATAAAAAATGGCACATATTTATGCGGATCGGTTTCCCAATCGAGTGCAACCAACCCCTCATGCCTTTGTTAATGTAGTACAACGGGCTCGTGAATCAGGTGACTTAAGACCACATAGGGGACTGCATGCCGGTGCTCCAAGACCTCACGATCAAATACAGGTGCGCACTGAAATACTTGTCGGGAGGATACTTTATAAAAGAAGGTAAACAAAATTTTTTAATTTTTTTTTATTTTTACACACATATTTTGGTTTATCTTCCTTCTACAATCATTATCTGAAAATTAATTACTCGACTTCAAAGTCACCCTGTATATATATATATATATATATATATCCGTTAGATCGTGTATTTGTAGTGTGTAGCCGTTAGAACAAGTGCTATACATTTCAATCCAATAATCCCGTAAATGATCATTATTTTAATGGGAGAAAGGATAAGAATGCTGTTGGATATGTATAAAACACAAAAAATAATGCCACAAATTTCTGTAAAAATGTCATTCCAGGCTACCTTACGGAAATACAATAAAAGACGTTACTGAAAATCGGTTTACCTTACATAACCTGTGAACAACACTGTAGTAGGTTTATTGAATTTTATAACACAGGTTACCAGCTCGTCACTACATTGTAAAAAGCGTAAGACCCCGGGCTGTCAAACATTATTTATTGTTTGAAAGACAAAACGTGGGGCATTCAATAGTGCTTATATAAACTGTCAACGCCTGCATACCTGCTAACTTGGGTAAATGACTTATTTACTTGTGGCAAGTGAGAAAGGTTAAGTAAAAATAAGACTAACTTGAATTCTGATAGCTGAGTTTTATATATGCTTTGTAAAACATTGTTACAAATATGCAGCACTGCCAGGCACTTTAACGGGCCTCAGTTTCTACCAGACGCCTTGAAGAAGGTTCCCCCCTGTATAATGGTTTAGAACAAAAATTCATATAAAAATAATATCTTTCACGCTAGTTTTTTTTGCAGTAGGTCTCTAGGTCTCAGAAAAGTCCTATCATTGTATTTTTGTAAACGGGCATTATAATAGCACTGTCAGCCTGTATGCAAAAAAACAGTGCACGGAAAAATGTATATTAGACTATGTAACTTTTGTGTGAAACATTTTTTGCTGAATACTCATACAAGGTCAATTTATAACGAGACAGTCTGTTTAAGGCGTCTATCAGTGCTGAATATTTCTTTGTGAATAATGTTTTACAAAGCCTTTATAATTTAAACAAAGTTAGTTTCATTTTTACTTAACGTTTCTCACCAACTTAGCAGCTATGCACACAGACGTTGAAAGTACATATAAACGCTATTCAGTGCCACACGTTTTATTTTAACCAGATAAGTAATGGCTGGCAGCTTTGGGATCTTGTTCTATAAGTCCTTTATTTTACGAATTTGTGAGATAATTTTTTGCATCCAGGAGGTTGCCAACTTATTCGATAACTAGGGTACCCTGCATAACACATTGATGTCTGAACATCAGTCTAAACCAGGGCTGTCCAACATACGGCCCGCGGGCCGCATGCGGCCCGCGAACTCCTTTCTTGCGGCCCGCTTCACGGGTCATGTATACATATATGTATACCACATAGTATAGTATATACCTTTTAAAACTCAGTAATAATGTTGTACAGAAAGATTTTATAATGCGGCCCTCCAAACTGCATTTTTTAAGTGGTCCTTGGGCCACATTAAGTTGGACAGCCCTGGTCGAGACTATTAAATCAATAAGCAAAACAATCTCCTTAAGAAAATATTTTTATATACTAATTTGAAAGTTGTGATTATTTTGACCAAGACCAATATTTGGAAATTTGGCCTTCAAAAATAAAGATAACCCAAAATGGAATCCATCTTTTTTCACAGGCGCCCTGGGTGATGTCAACCAAATCTCCGATCCGAAACTGCACGCCCAGGTTTTCGACTACCTAGTCAAATTGACCGACACTTTGATCAAAATTAGTCAAAACCAAGGCGTCTCTCCAGACAACATGAGCACTCCACAAGCCCCAGAATTGGTGCCTCCGTTAACGTTAGTGTTACCTTGGTGTTTTGGAGCACTCACCCTTCCGGACACTTACGAAGTAGGAAAGTTGAGCGCTCTAAGACTGCTATGTACCATTACGTTGAATTGCGATGCTAAGCATAGGACGTATCTGCCCAAGTTTTATTGGTTTTTGCATTCAGGTGAGAATTGTAACACTATTTTTTCTGCTGTCATTTCTGATAGTTTATGATACAATGTTTCAGTTGTTTCAATATACTAAGTCGCGTTCATCAAAACAGTTTAGTGCCACTCATTCGGTGTCAAGAAAATGACTTCACTGAAGTTTGGATTAACATAACGAACGTGTAAAGTTAGTAAGTCATCCATTAATTGGCGATATGTTATAATGGACGCGAGTTCGGTAAATATAAAGATTTAACTGTAAAACATCTTTATTCATTTTCAGCGTTGACAGGGCCTTCGAAATCAGCCCACAACACCTGCCTCAAGTACCTGGGTCCTAGATTTCTGTCTCTCCAACTTCCTGGGTCCTCTTTACTACTGTTAGATCTCATTCATGCTTGTAACACGGTCTTGAATAACACTGAAAAACTCGAATCGACCCCTCGAACCGAGGCGGTCTCAATTCTAGCAAATCTTCTCACTGAACCTGACGATCTCAGTTCTATATCTGTACTACAACCAGATCAAGATCTGCATGCTATGATGTGTCCTGATATCAAGGTATGTATTTACGTTAAATATGTATGTCAAATTAATCCATGTTCGTGATGAGCAGACACAACTATTGCTTACTTGTGATTGATATATGTTTAATATATCTTGCAGGAGCACGTTGTAAGTATTCTTCTGAGAACTGGAAAGAGAGAACCGAAAGGCAAAGCAAGGTGTATAGCTCTCTCAGCTTTAGGTATATTTGTATATAAGGAACTGAACAATCAGACATTCCATCCAAAGGTTGCCGATGCGATTAATGTTTTATTATTAGCTTTAAAGGTAAGTAGTTTATTATTCATGTCTTAGTAATAATGAAACAATCTATTGAACTCAAAAATTAAACAAATATGCTGTTCACTCTCTGTACTACACACAGCTCATAAAATATTATGTTTATCAAAAGTTTGCCTCTAACAAAAAAAGTTAACTACAAACAGGGAATTAAATGATCAAGTCAGTCAAGCAGGAACATACAATTATCTCCAGTCCCCACCCATTTGACAACTTTGCTATCCAGAAATTTCTCATTCTCCAACTGACCATCCGACTACCTTTCGATCTCTCTATCATCTTGAGGTGCGTAAAATCGCCGGGGTTAAAGCTTATAAATATAATAACGTCAAAAACATTAGATACACCATCCCCCAGGCGCTGCAACACCTCACCATCAATTTTTTTAACCCTCAAGAGAATTTTCTAAAGTGAGCGATGGTTTTTGGTCTTTGGCATAGTAGTGACTTTGTGACAAAATTTCAATAATGATTAGCGACCTACTACGTAAAGGTGTGACATGATGCTTCGTGATCTACATATTATGTAACTGAAACGTTCAAAATTCTTCGCCATTACAATATCTATGTTCGGAAAATTCGCTCGAGGTCTAGATCTCAACAGCAGTCAGTGAGCATGAAAATAATAATTTCTACGCATGGAATAAAACAAATAAGTTGTTACTGGCCTCATATATGTGGGCGTCGCCACTGCAATACGGCGACCTTGGAAGTGTTTAACTTCACCTGTTTGTTCAAATTTTCGCACCAACTGACGAATGGTGTTGACACTTTGCACATTATTTCGACCGAAATCTTGTTGTAGCTTTTCGTTGCAACAGTCGACTCATTATTTAAGTAAAACGTTTAACAATACGGACACGTTGTGGGATTGTGTAGCGCTCCATGATGAATTGGACACATGTGCTTTAAACAGCTACGGCGCCACTTACTGAAATGCGTATATCAAAAATGGCGCGCAATTTAAATCAGTCAGTTATATATTGGGCACCCTGTATATGGCAACATCCTACTGAAGCCACACGTGTATGTTCATGTGCTCACGTTCAAAATACCATACTATTTTCACATTACTACAAAAGTTATACTTAAATTTCAAATAATAACAAATTTAAATAGCTTTTTTGCGACATTTACAAAACGTTGTACTATGTAAATCATGATGTAGTATTAAAAAAATAAACAAATATGGTTGTACTGGAACTTCAGTCAGTTGCTTTAAAACATATTTAAATAATCGATCCCAGATTGTAAAAGTATCAAGACGTGGTATTTCAAATAAATTAAATATAAACGCAGGATTACTTTTAGATAAAATCGTAGTTTTTGCTGACGATATGTTAACAAGACAAATATATAAATAAAATTAAGACAAAAAATCGATAGCGATATACGATTAATCAAAAAATGGTATAACAACAATTACTTGACTTTCAATGTCAATAAGACTAAATTTAAGTACTTAAGTAGTTACTTTGCCTTATTTGAAAGTAGTTTGAGATATAGCATCCCCTTTTGGTGTGTAAGTTCCCAAAATTGTTTAAAAAAAGTGCTTATTCTACAAAAACTAATAGATGTATGACTAAAAGCAATCATAGAGCTACATGCAGGAAAACACTTGTGGAAGACTCAATAATTTATAATGGTCTGAACATTTACATGTGTGTGCCTGATACTGTCAAAGGAATTAACAATTTAAAGATATTTATCGATCTATCTATTGTAGCGTTAATGCTAAATAAATCTACAACAAGCAGACAAATAAAACATCAATATATACGATCTCACACTTTAGTGTACAAACAAGACGATAGTACAGCTGACCAGCGACATCCTGTTCCTGTTGTGTGACCATGCCCCGTTGCTATGGCAACACTACCCCCGTTTGGGCAGCGGCGTTGTAAGGGCGCTGTGCGCCACCCTCGCAGCCCATTCCTCGGACCGTGCACTCAGCGCTGCCCTTCTACTATGTCTCGGCGAGTGGTGCATGCGATTGGGCCCCGCCAGACTCATGGAGGCAGAGGAGTATGTCCAAGGAGGGACGAAGGCTAGGTGTCTGCTGCTGAGGGTATTCTCGGTGAGTACGTCATAATATTGTGCTTGTTTCATTAAGCATGTAATTTGATCTCATATTGACAAACATTTTCGATGTGATATAATGATTTAGATCTAGTTGAGAAAACGTCGTTTAAGAGACATACACACTCGATACGACTGAAAATGCAGTTATCTAAGAAAATGATTTAAATTATTGAATCAGCACTATACAATTTTTCCTTGCTACAAATCGACACCTGTATCAGTATATTAACATCTTAAGGTCCGTTGAGGAATAGGGATGGATCAAAAGTCGATTGCATGATCGTCGTTTTATTTGAGGTGTCCTTATCGTGCCAACGCCTATTTGCTTGCCTATTTTGTCACATGAAAGAGATAGCCGTCTCTATTTCACTACTTCAGTGAACGCGGGGGCCTATCCATGTTGGTTCTTATGTTTATAGAAAACAAAACACCTTCCGCAACAAGTATCAAATCGATAATTGGTGACTAGACGTAATAAGAACTTAGGTAAAAAAGCTGACTTTATTGATATTATAGTTATATATTTTATAGTAAATATATTCATACATATTATTATCAGTAAGATCCAAATTTCTCATTCCATTCTTCAAACCTTTTAACATCGACACAGGTCACACATGGCCTTATCTTAGCCAAACTATCTTCGACGTCTTTGAGTGTAACCTTTCTCAAATTGTGTCCGGCTCGGTTCGTTCCTTTGGCATCGATTTCCTTAATTTTCTCTCTAATCACCCTCATTTTCACTTCTATGCTCAAACACTTTATATCGCTTCCAGAGAAATTCTCAATCATCCCGCCCAACTTGAACCATTCTTTATCCTCCAGGCTATTAGGACCATTGATGTAAAGTTTAAGCAATTGAACTCGCGCTATGTCATCAGGCAGTGGCACGTAAATCCGTTTCTCAAACCTTCTTAACATGGCTGTATCCAAGTTCCAAGGGACATTAGTGCTTCCTAGCACAAAGACGTGATCGGTACTACCTTGGATTCCATCGATCTGAGTTAGAAGCTCGCTCTTAAACCTTCTTGAAGCTTCATGTTGGTTTACCGTTGACATCAGTGCATCCACTTCATCAATGAAAATCGTTGTTGGGGCGTGCTTTTTGGCCAAGTCGAACAATACCTAAAAGATTCAATTTTAGGTCAGTATTTCTAATCGCACTGGTTCAGTTTCGTTCCATATTGATGTTTATAGGTTTAAGATATTACAAGTACCAGCGCAACAGTCGTAGGTAAAATTTATCACCAATCACTGGTCAAACAAGCACAGGTAACTAACAGTAATGAAATCCTAAAATAGGTAGACCACACCCAGCATTTATGCTGAGTGCCGAATACAACAGTTAAATGTTTCAAAAACTGATTAGTAGATTACATTGTAATTCTCTAATAATAATTTAGGGGAGGCTATATACTATGAGTAACGACGCTGATTGGCCAAATAAGCAATTTGAGGTTAGAAAAAGTTTTAATTGCTAAACTAAATCGTGTAATTATCCGCATAGGGACCCATGTAAATGTAATGTGGATTATCTCATGAAATAAACGGTGGAATACGTTCATACTTCACAGAAACATATCTCAGTACATTATATTGAACATAACACAGTTAATAGCCGCGAACTTTCACACAATAAATTCCACAGTATTTACTCATACATTTCGATTAAATAGAATTTTGTCATCATTTTCATCTTCATATTATTTTATAAACACTTTTTTTAAGTTGTTAAAATTTTTTTATGTACATAATTTAAATATGGATTTACAAGTAGCCTAGCGCCTAGTTTGCTCGACTCAATTTTTTACATTTTCTGTTAATTACTTATGAAGTCTGATATTACCCTCATAGCACAAATACGAGAGTTAAGCAAATCTATTGAAATACCTTGACCATCTTCTCGGATTCGCCTCTCCATTTACTGATAAAGGTACTGCTCGTAACATTGATGAAAGTACAACCTTCAGACGCTAAAGCTTTCGCTAATAAAGTCTTGCCAGTACCAGGTGGTCCAAACAATAAGATTCCTCTCCAAGTTCGAGTGTCTCTGAACAGATCTGGATAAATCAACGGGTATGTGATTGCTTCTTTCAGTTTTTCAGCAGTACTGGATAGTCCAATACAGTCACCCCATGAAGTTTTCGTGTTGTTGTTGATGAACTCTTTCATCATGACTTCCGCCATCTCTTTCCATTCTGGTGAACGGATTTCTTCGATTGTTTCAAGTGGTTGTTCGAAAAAAGAATCTGAGGATTTTCTTGAATTGTTATTTGATAGGGATACAATTCCGAATTGGAAGTCGTCACATTCAGGTAAGTTTTCAGTCGCCTCTTTTGTCGCTACTTTTCTGGGTTTAAGTGCCGGCTTACGTTTCACCTTTGAGGTAATTCGTTACTGTCCAATTTTCTTACGATTTTCGGGTATTTTTGGAATTTGGTGAAATAATAGCTCTGGTACTCTTGTAAAATGATGTCCAAATCAACGTTCTCGCAAACCTGATATTGTTCATTCAGCTGCGCTTCATTGGTAAGAGCTTCAGCTGTATCGCAAAGATTTTGTTCCATTAAGTAGCTGTAAATCAGGTACAAAATGTTTTTCTTCCTCTCCCTTGCATCTCCCTTTTGCTTCTCCTGGAGGTTTTGTACACTTTTTGTCATGCTTCTCTTTGGGGTTAATACAGATAATTCAGCCATGGCTTCAAGTACTCAATATAAAACAAATCAGTGAATCCGGATCGTCAAACAGAACAGGTTTCTGTCAGGCTGAATAACCTTAATACAAACAAAACTTCACTTGATTTGCTGTTGCCATGGGAACAGACTGAGTGATCGAAATTACCGGTGGTTTGAATATCTTCACGTTAGTTACAGAGTGTGACTATTAAGTATGTTATGTTGTCTTAGATACAGGGTGATTCCCGGGCAAAAGGGTCCTAACAATTTCAATGTGTTACAACATTATCTTGGAAACATAAACCAAACGTAGATGCAAATAGTTTCCTTTTGTAAAGAGAATTATTAACAGCAGTTTCTTCGTTTAAAAAGATTGAATATTCTTAACAATAATGTACTATCGGCAAAATTTAAGTAGTGATTCTATTCAAAATGACTACATCCAGGTAGTTGTGAAAACTAGTATCCCTGGAGTTCCATAGAAAATAACCTAGTGGGTTTGAGTCATGAGATCAAGCAGGGCATAAAATAAGTTAAAAATGTATAAGCAACTATACTGAACTTATTACTGTGTGTAAGCAATGACCCTGGTGTATTTGGAATATTTAGTCTATGACAAGTAGTCTTGCACTCTCGCTAGAGATACAGTATTTTGAACAGATTTAGTAACATCAAATGTAATTTTTTCTCATAAAAATTGTTAATCAAAGTTATGATATAATTTTGGACCTAGGTATATAGAAGATTTCAACATTATTTATTTTTTGGTATTGCAATAATTATTGGTCTATTTTTGTTTCTATTATCATATTCATAATTTTTATAAATGGTCGAATGTTTGTTTTTATGGAATTCCAGTATAACATCTTAGCAAAATAATTTTGATTCTATAAACAGCGATTTGGAATGTTTGTTACGAATTGTTTTATGAATAGTTTTTGTATTACTTGTAAAGAATAAAGATGTTTATTATTCGTGGATCCCCAAATAATTCTATAGGTCAAGTGGCATTCAACTAATGTTTGATATAAAATTGTTAATTGAGTTTCATTGAAAATTTGTCTGTAATATCTGAATTTATATAATAGAAATCTAAGTTTGTTTTTAATGTATTGGATATGTTCATCCCAACGAAGATGGGAGTCTAAAACAATTCCGATATATTTAGGATTTAGTTTCATATGGATCATATACGAGCCACCGCAGAAGTGACTTTTGGTATATATTTTGAGTCTGCGAACAATGTTGATACTATAAATCATATATGAATTTGGTTCTCAGGTACTGTATGACATAATAGTAGGGGTCCCAGTCCAAACCGACACTGCGAGTGACTCTGCTCCCCACAACAACCCTACAGCCGACGACTTCGACCCTGACATCCAGCAGGATGATCTAGGCAGTCGGCCTTCCTCGAAGGGCAATGGCAAGGATGCTGCTGTCCTTTGCGCAAGGACGGTAATCGCCCATCTGGTCACCCATCTGGGACACTTCCCTATGGCCATTGGAGCAGCCCGGTTGAGTTCACTAGTCGCGGAGCACGATGATGTCCCTGATTTAAGTGCTGACGAGTTATCGACTAGTATATTCGATGCCCCCAATATTCAGGTAAGGTACTAAATATTTTTAGAGGGATTAACATTAACTTGATGACCAGGAAGGTGCAACTACACCACTCAAAAGGGAGCAAGAAAAAATCTAAATTTTTTAGTGATTTTTTACAGTTTGGATTTCGGTGACGAATGGTCGTATATAGACTTTAGAAAAAGGCATTTTGAAGCTTTAAGATCCTAGTTTTTAGGTTTTTAACTGAAAAATTTTAGCAGTAGAGGTTCTTATGCAATTCTAACAGCGCACGGAATTTTTTTTGCAAAATTTTCTTCTTTTTAGTACACGGGCTTGAAAACATTTTCTTGTTACTGATCAGATAGCCCGCTTGTTCAGTTTCAATATCCTGTTTTTAAAATCTCGATTCGATGATTTGCTGCAGAGATATCTGAATTTGAATGAAAAAAGATGTTTTTGTCATTGAGCAGTGATCGCACCGAGAATATAAGGGTATTTCCCAAAACTGGAATAAAACTTCTATAAGATTTGATTGCAATCTTTGAGAATTTTTTTGTTTCCTTTCAAGAAAGTGAAAAAAGTTGCTTTTTGCCTTGTTTTGGAAAGCCAACCGCACTTTTGAAACTGCTAGTGAGAAAGGTAATGTTTTTAGGTTTTTTATACCTAAATAAAATGCTGTCACATGTTGCTCATAAATAGTGTTTGAACTTGCACCGTTCGATTCAAAAACACAATTTGCAACATCCAAAGCCCTATAGACCTTTCACTGTGACTGTGCCTGCGCCATGCGGCCTTTGGACGAAATAAACGTACATACGCCGCACGGGATGGAAACGTCCTGGAAAACGATCCGAATACACTCGCGAAGCATCAGCACATCAGCAGCATATTGAAGACTGTGTAAACTAACATTAAACCAATTTTAAACCAACAGCTCGGTTCACCTACAAGGCGTGCGACTTCTGGTTTGGATATTGACACACTAGTCCAGTTAAATAGCCGAAACTAAGGCAAAAGTGATAACATAGCCACAAAGTTATTTCCACTGGCGTAATGGTGTTATAAAGGATTGCGAATATTGTTGTATGAATTTGATTTTCCGGAAACCAGCCGTTTTTTGTAAAACAGTGAAGAACCCAAAAAACCTCTTTTTCGCTGAAACGGCTGAGGATATCTGTAATTTTCTAAACTTCGCCCCCTAAACAAAGATGATTTATTATTATTAGTGTATCGGCAAAAATAAATTACAAATTAAGTGGCGTCAGGAATGCTAAAAATCATGCTGAGAGCAGGGCTGAATTTGATATAGTAGATTTTTCCGAAGCCATATGTTACTAGCGAAGTGTGCTTTATTCTATAATTCCTGTTTTAGTTGTTCATGTTGTCAAAAGCCGTCATTGCAAGTCTGATCGAACTACCTGCGCTGGACTTACCTGGAGGTGGTATTACAGCTGGACTGTCAACTGCCGATCGACAAGTTCGTGTTTTGCTCAGAGACCTGTCTGGAAAGTAAGTTCATTATTTGTACAATCATTTAGCCATTATTAAAAAAGTTACTTCATACACATATTATTTGTTCAAAACAGAATTTTGAATAGTGTTAGTTATTATCCCACATATCTATATCCCGTTTTAAAGTTGAAGCAAATTGTAACTTTTTTAAATAGATAAATACTCTTAAGTGCTCATGAGATTTAAAAGTGTATAACATAATTCGGTTTGGGACCTAGTATGGAGTTATCCATCACGCAAAGAGCTTTACAACTGATTTCTTCCTTTATGCATTGTTTTTCATTCGTTTAGATCATGTTGGGATGCCTCCGTCCTCTATCGAACTCCAGAAAGCCTACCTCGACAGACCGATGAACACGATAATGCAGAAGTTGACGTGCCCTCCGTAATGATGCGGTCAAATGTATTTTCTGCACAACCAGAAAGCCTAATGGTAGGTGTCACACCTCTGCATGCGTTACCTCAACGTGCTATGCGCCACAGGCCGCCAAACGTTCTACCAGATGTTTCGAACGCAGCGCCCGATATGGATCAACTAGACGACGTAAGTATCGTATAATTTTATGGAGTTTACATAGATGAGAAAATTTCTTAGTTGGATTAATGTTTTTTATCAATGTCTACATTTACTTTTTGACCATGGGACTTCCATATAAAGTGGACTTTGACCGTAGTAGGAGTGTACTTTTACATTTGTATGGTTTTGTTTCCAGCTGTTGCAGTATATCGGCCACACGAGCTCCGAGTGTCTCGAGAACATGTCCAGGAAGTTGAACGAGCCCGCTCCAGCACCGATGTCCGGCGATTTAGAAAATGAAGCCATAGCGTCTGTAATAAGCCAAAGAAACATCGAGTCTGAAGAAAATAGGCTGGCATATCAAACTGATCAGATACCGGTCAAGCCTGCTACCAGACCTTGTAGTAGAACTGATACCAAAAGTGTGACCTCAGACAGTATGAACTATCAGCAGCAAAGTAAGAACTCTATTCATTTCGCCATTAAATAAGAATTTAATTTATTTAGTGTATTGTAATTCTAATTCTTTATGATCGTTTTTTTTATACTCCAAGTACCACGAAGGCCTAAGGCCTAAACACCCATTGGGTACCGTGGGGCTATAGGGGGATACAGGGGAAAGGGGGAACGCCACACGGACTCTGGCATGCACACATTCTGGCTCCGCCTACGAGATCCGCCGGGTGGTACCTCCGCGGTCCTCAGTCAGAGACCGTCTACCACCTACGGACAATCACAACATCCATAGCCAAGAGAAAAATTTCTCCTGGGACGGGACTCGAACCCTCACAGCGCACGGCGACTGATCAGGAGACCGAGAGTCTACTACTGCGGCCACCGCTGCTGCCTAATTTCCATAGAATAATTTCCTGCCTATTTCTTGCCATATATACAGTGTCATATACAAAAAGTTTCATAAAAATTCACAGTCAGCGTCAAATTCCATCAAGCATGTAATTATAATTTGTTTTTGATTTGTGGTCTTAACACCGATCACAAAAGAGGGATATCTTAAGTAACGTGTATATGTGTCCGCCCATTTGAAGCAACTTATCTCCAAATTCTTCAAAATTTGTACTTGTTCCAGGTTTTAGTAGTACCACGTCCCAGAATGCATTCCAGTTATGTCGATTGTTTTTCTCCCAGCTTGGTTTCGCAGGATGGGAAAGAAGGCAGCAGTTGCATCTGCTAAATAAGACTGAACGTTTACTTAGAGAGCTAAGAAATTTGGATAATCAAAGCTGTCGAGAGACACACAAGGTAACAGCCAATAGATATTATCTAATGACCATTGTAGTTAATATAATTATCACCTTCTCATTTTATGCTGTACCACAACACTGAAATGTATAAAAGTACAATTTCATGATGGGGTCATGAGTAAATTTGGAGCTTGAAGTTGACGACAGTGCATGATGACAAAGACTACTCGCCTCGCCTAGAATTCGTTTATTATTAAAAAACGATTGAGTGTTAGAATAGCTTTGTTAAACTTCGAAAATAAAGCTGTTTATTATTATAAATTTGATGCTATGAACGGACTGTGACAGCTGTCAAAGTGATCAGCAAAAAACAAGTGATCTCAACAGAAATGCACATACAGAGCGCTTACCGAGTACAGCTGCATTAATAAGTACAACACACACCTACAAGGGTAGACTTTAGAAGAAACACTAGTAGTTGTGTTTTAGTACAGAAGTCTACTTCCAGATTTGTTTTACTAGTGTCGTGATTCTTCAAGGATATACGTGTCTTTGCATGTCTTTAGATTTTAAAGGAAAAGTGATCTCATCTTTTTATTTGAAATACCAACACTTTTTCAAAACCGTAACCTACATTCGTGATGACAAACGTCAAAAAAATTTAGGGACAACGCTTGTTTTTGTACAGCTTTTTTGCTCAAAATTTTACACATTATTGACCTCCCTTGGCGCTCCCAAGAAAATGACAGTTAATTTGGTCCAGAAGAGGAGAATTTGGTGGGGTATATAGGGTGTTCCAGAAGTCAACGTCAAGCCGGAAACTGTGGATAGGCCAGGTCATAATAGTTATAAGAAAAATGTAACAAAAATCTAAGTCGTGTACTTTTCAAATTAAAAGCAAAACTCAACTTTTGGAAGATAATCCTGGGGTTGTAGGGATTGTACTCGTACCGGTGGAGCAAGGGATTTCTTTCGCAAGATTCTGTGAGATGTACTTTTAGGCTCTCCCGTGCTTGCTTCTATTTGACGTAAAGTACTCGGGACTTCTTCGACTGCTTGTGAATGAATGAATGAATCGTGAAATTGGAGGCATTCCGGCCACCATAAGGAGCCAGTGCATAGGTCGCTTAAGCGGGCCCTTATGCACCCCTACATTCCTTAGATCACAAGCCTCGCCCTTTTAGCGAAGTTGAGAATCGCCTTGAGTCCAAGCTCCTTGACGTACTGAGGGTCCAAACTAATGGACCCCAGTATAGTCTACTTATAGTAGCTCAGAGCTTCACAGCGACACAAAACGTGCGCTGAAGTCTCTTCCTCTACCCCGCAGCGCTCAGACATGGGATCCTCAGCCACCCCCATCACGTGCAGGTGGCGCCTTAGCGTTTTATAGCCAGACAACAGTCCCCCCAGCAACCTTAGGTTGGCTCTATCAAGAGATAAGCAGAGACGTCCATCCTTAGCACTGGGCCCTTCAATGAGTTCCCGTGCCTGGCGGAGATGTCTGGAGATACTTCTCCATTTCTGAGAGTGTTGTCTTACAACACACGTCTCCATTTTCCTCCTAGCTCTATGCTGTCTCAGGACCAACGAGCTTGCTGGCTGATCCTGTCTTCGAAAGAGCGTCCACCGTCTCATTGCCCCTTATCCCAGCGTGCCCCGGTACCCACATTAACGATACCGGATGCCTCGCTGCTTGTAGTATGACATCCTCTTGAGGAAAGGAAATGTTTTCTTTACCATATGCTTGATTTGGGAATCATCCCTCTGAGAGTAAGCAGTGCACATTCACAAAAAAAACTCGGTGATCGCGATGACGAGCAGCATTCGGTTACCTCTCTCGATAAAGCCTTGCTGCAGCACTAGCATTGCCACTACATTCCCCATAAATGAGGTGCATGTTGGGGTATTCCTGTACGGTGTACACAGACATGGTGGCAGCAAACATTCATAAATAATAAATTATATTGCTATCTGCTTTACTGTCACCATGTAGAATGACACTGTCCGTCACTCCGTCTACGAAAAAATTGGAAGTAGTAATGGGAACTAAAAGATCATCACAGCGTGTAGATTCTTGCAACTTTTTCTAAAGTCTATAATTTGAAAAGTGCACGACTTAGATTTTTTCATTTTTCTGATAACTTCTATGACTTGGCCTATCCCCCTTTTCCGACTTGACGTCAACTTTTGGGACATCCTGTATATCTCTCAGTATCTTGCACGTTGTTAACTCAAACTTTCTGTTGCAGTTTGCGGTGATCTACGTAGCTCCCGGGCAAGAAGACAAAAATTCCATCTTATCAAACCAAGGTGGTAGTGTGGCTTATGAGCAGTTCCTGTCAGCACTTGCTTGGGAGGTTGAATTAGAGGCTCACACTGGCTTCTTGGGAGGGTTGCAAAGACAAGGATCCACGGGATTGACGGCTCCCTATATAGCTACAAGCTTCTTGGAGGCAGTTTTCCATGTGGCCACCAGAATGCCCAGTGATACGCCAGAGGCAGTTCTTAGTAAGGTAATTCCAATCTGGTCAGAAATCTTTCTGTAAGGTTTTTCACCGATTTTAGCGGTTACGCATTAATTTTTAAGGTGACTAATATGCTATTTGTTGCATTTTTTCTTGTTTTCAGATAAGGCATTTAGGGAATGATGAAGTACATGTAGTGTGGTCGGAGCATAACAGAGACTACAGGCGCGATATCATCCCAACCGAGTTCTGTGATATTTTGATAGCTATTTACCCACTAGGAAATAATTTGAATCGCGTCACTGTAAACTGTAAAGCTGACGTAAGTTTCATTTGATTGCGTAATATTGAAACATTAAAATCCATGCACCAAAATGTTAGATATTGTACATGTTCTATCTTGATTTTCAGGTACCGCACTTTGGTGTGCTATTTAATGAAGCTATAGTTGAAAGTAATGTTCTAGCAGGGCTTGTTAGGGCAACTGCCATATGTGCAAGTCGAGCCAAAAGGATGACATACCAATTTTACCAGCAGTAGTAAGTAATAATTTACTGAAAATAATAGGAAGACATCCACTTTTATGTTGTTTATACATTTACTGCCTTCCGATATCCTAACCACAGGTAATATATCGATTAACCCTTATTTAACATACTCCACCAGAAGATGTTATCTTGAAAAGTTGTTGTCACGTTTAAGACTAAACAATTTTACTTTAAAATGAAAATGGAATATGTTTTTATTACTTCTAAGCGAATTATTTGCGATCCTACTTAACAAAATACCTGTGAAGATGAAAATTGTATTTGAACGTCCAAATACAGCGTAGGATTGGGCATCTTCCTGAACAATTCTTTAAACAATTATTATTTTATTCACATGATACGATATAGTTGACTGCGGTAATTTTGGAACGTTGACCATGAATTTTCATAGTAAATAGAAAGTACGTCTATATAAATAACAACAACCAAATTTCAGTTGTCCTTTTTTATGATTTTTGACTAAACTAGTATGGATGTACTGGAACATCGCTCTTTTAGTATAAAACGTATTTAAATAATCCCAAATTAAAAAGTATCAAGATATTATATTTCATATAAATTAAATACGGTACGTTTATATTTAATCTAATCAGTCTAATTCTATTCTTACTTGTATACCAACGATTTAATAAATTTAAACATAAATGGCAAATGTATTGTTTTTGCTGAGGATACCATAATAGTTTGGCAAGAAATAGATATAAATGAAAATGAAACAAAAATTGACAATGATACACAAGCAATCAAAAAATGCTGTGACAGCAATTTTGTTGTAAATGAGAAAACATTTATGAGGTTTCAGTGCTTCCTGATTCGGTAAATTTAAATACAATCATGTAGAGCAATTCATTACTGATTAGGCAAATATTTCCCATATTATAAGAACGATTAGTTACAACTTACGACAAAGGACAGCCTTGAGTTGTTACTTTGCATAATTGGAGACTAGATTAAGATACATCATTCCCTTTTGATGTGTCAAAATTACTAAAGAAAGATGCTTATACTTCAAAAACGATCTATTAGATTCAGGGTGGGCCATTAAGTTAAGCGGATTTTAAACAATCATAGAAAAAAAAACTACAAAGCGTAGGGAAGATAATTTATATTTTTAATAAAGTAGGCACATGGGAATTTTATTTTTTTAAGATGTGAGCCATCGAGACGTACACACTCTTCGAATATCGACTTTTAATTCGTGAAAACTCGCTAGCACACCGCTCATGTCGTCGGTTTATTGACGTAAACGCGGCTCTTGAGGTACCCCCAGAGAAAAAAATCTGGTGTGAAATCTGGGCTCGGCCACGGAATGTACTCTCGTCACGATATCAATTTTCCACTAAACATTTCGTTTGCAACGTCTAAAGACTCATTGGCGGTATATTTCACGCATAGTTCCCCAAGTTTTTTATATTAGTATATTTATATGCTTCCACCCCGGTAATCGTAAGCACGTATTAGTCATATTTCACATATCATAGGTACCCCCCTACATTTGCCCTCAAAATGAATATCAATTTTATGTGCGTGACAATCAATCCCAATTGATTAGAAAATATCAGCTTAATTCTAACAATAGTTTGTGCAATGAATCAATATGGTCTTGGTCTAACTCCTCGGCATTATCCACTAACTCTCTAATTTCCTTTTCCGGATAATGCTCTATCAGTTGCATCTGTACTGTCACATCTAAAAACGTGTTCAAAATTAACATCAATTCGACCATTCGACTTGCTATTACAGAAATTAATGATTATTTCATTGTTGTGCAGCCAATCACAACGCAGGATAATGTTTCTGATAAGGCCCGGTATAACCAAAAGGCTGTATTCAAATTCGCAACTACACAAAGGCGAGGTACACCCGCTCCCTGACGGTCCTTGTTTTGGTGCCTATAGCCCCCATCCAAGTAAGATATTTCCATGGAAAATTCGGTGTCTCCGAATTTGCTATCAAAATTTCACCCAAAAATTTCTCATTGACCCCCGTAACTTGACTACCAGACTAGACTAGACGCTGTGTCGAAATGCCTCGAAACCTTGCAGTTACCACCGGCAACACTACAGCATGTTTCTCTTTCTCCATTACCTCCATATCTCTGTTCAATATCGTGGAAACCACTAGACGATCTCCATTTTCTGCATTCCTAACATTTCTATTCCTATTATTTCGTCAGCTAGAGTTTTCCTGCACCTTCTACCTGTCTACCTTGTCACGATTATTACTCCATTGGCTCTGACCACGATTCTCTCCTCTATTTTCTCTTACCTGAACCACATTCCTATTTATAATTCTGGAATCGTCGGTTTGTTGGGGTAAGTCTGGCTTGCTCGTTTTCGAAGAAAAAGGGTCCGATGAGTCCTTCCGCCGACATGGCCGCCCAAAATGTAACATAACGCGAATGCAAAGGTCGTTGGTTTTTTAATTTAGGATTTTCTTCGGCCCAATACCGGTAATTTTGCTTGTTTCCAAATCCACTCAATTGAAAATGAGCTTAATCAGAAAGAGAATATTGTCCAAACTTGGAAAGCGATCTAACAACTACTATGGGGGACGTAGCAATTACCTGTGTAAATTATGAACATCTTAACTATATAGGGTTGTCCTTAATGGATTCGTTAAAAATCAATCCTGGATTAGACTCGTAAATATAATATTGAGACAAATATCCCTCAGTGATAAGACGCTCATTAATGAAATGCAGGGTCTTGAAGTTTTATCTTAACAATCTTTTTTCTCTATTACTCAACCTGTTTCAGATATATCAACATCAAAATTAGGAACAAGTGGTATCTGAGAATGAGGTACACGATTATATTGAATTTTTTTTATCATAGTGGGTGCATGGCACGAAATACAGCCTGTAATCTTGCTTTCATGATATAGTTTTCTTGCTAGTGCTATTTCATTATTTTTTGATGAAAATTATCATAGAGGGATGATCTTTAAGTAAACAAGATAATCTGCATACATTTGATTGTGCAATATAATGTTGAAATGGAGATATATTCTTCAATCGAAATGAATGTGGAGTACCTTTTTTATTTGAAAAGCATCACTTTATCATAATTTTCGACAGAAATAATGATACGGTACTAGCAAAAAGTTACGCATAAAACAACAACATGACAAGATGTATCTGGTGCTTCTACATGTAATGTTGAAAAATACAATATAATCGTTTGCATCGTCCGCAGAATCCCCCGACTTCAAATTTTAATTTTGATATCACAAGCAAGGCTTGAGTTATAGGGAGGAAAACTACTTCTGCAATATCAATGGTTCAAACGTTCAGTGACACCTAGCGGTTAGAAGCTAGTGCTGCATAAAGTATGTCTTAGCCTTGTCTGCCCTGAGATTGATTGACGTATGTGAAACGGTTTATGTTGAGTAGTGTGGATTGTCAGCAGATTCAATCAATAGCGAACGATATTCGGCAACTGAGCAAAGCCATTCTTCTCGCAGCACTAGCTAGTAGCATCTAGGTGCAACGGTGGCTAACCAATATCTTCACGAGCTTGATATAGGATTGCTTTTTGACGCATCCATTACTGACCACCCTATATAGATGTTTTGAAATCAAGTGAACTCCCTGATGGTGAATTATTACTTTGCAGTTATGAGGAACGGGCAAGATCGTTGGAGACAGTAGTAACAAAGCACAAACATAGCTCCACTTATGAAGAGTTCATAGCACGTGTATACAGCCCCGTAAGTGGATTGAGTGGCGCTTATAGGAGTGGCGGGCAGCATATGAGTGGAAATAATACGGAGTCTTCAACATCGACAAGCGGAAATTCATCTTTGGCCAATGCCTTGTTAGATTCGTCTCATACCCATAAAGTGCAGCAGAGATCCGGTGACAATAAGTTCAGAGGTTAGTGTGGAACATTCATTTCTATATTGACCGGCAGGGTTATTATGTAAGAAACCTATATAATGTCAAAAAAAACGACCAAATGTCAACTTGCTGGCTAGATAGCTGCTATAGTGTGCAGATAGTTCATTCCGCGTTTGCTCGCTGTGAGCGTTACCTATAGAGGAACGACTCGTCTACATGCTCAACGACCATACTCCAAGCCAGTTCGCCAGCATGCTTTGTTGGTTGCAGAATGCCGAGATAGTCTGTAGAGTATATTATCTCTGAGAAGATGTGACAGAAAGAAAATTGGTTGAGTAGCAGAGTAGCAAGATCGCTTCTGGATGATTGTGTGTACTGGTCTGCATGTGTATAAAATCAGTGATATTTGCTATATGAGAAAATTATTACTGAATATGCTGCCGATTAAGTATATCTGTTAGCTGTACCAGACGGGTTATTTGTGTTGTCCTTTCTGAAGAGAGGTTATGTTATAAATGGTATGCTCTGTCACGATATCTTATTTTCAGCCAACGAAGCTGTAAGAACTAGTTGGTTTAACACATCAGACGTACAAACCGTCGAGTCGAGCATATCTCCAAGGCCTATGAAGCGAATCACGTCGAACCTGAAGAATCCCAGAAAGTCGCTGAAACACGAAACGTCCGTGGAATCTCCTCCCGAGAGTCCACAGCAGATGACGAGGAAAAAATAGTATCAGTAATTTCCGAATATTGCAATATTCACATATTTTTGAAGTATAATTTGTAGTGATACGATCTTGATGAATTTAAACAGTTAAAGTATAGGGTGATTCAAAAAACAATGGCAATATTCCTAAAACATGTAACTTAACTACATGCACCTGTAATCACACCTGTAAAAACTCCAAAATCAAGGGTGGCTAGAAGCCAAAGCAAGAAAACAACGCGATTAAGAACATCAGATAAGTCGTATATTGAAGGACGGATACAATTAACCCTAAATACAGATTAATTTAACTTTAAAATGGCATTCATCGTGCGCGGCCGTCGCGCGGTGGTTTCCATTCGCAACTGCCCCTCCTCGTTTCATCCCGTGGACACACCGTTGCCAATATGTTTTTCTTGTACCAGACATGTCACATTTCTCGTAGATTCGGCATATAATATCGTACCTAAGTATATATCACACTTTGACATCTACTACTGAGGCTAGTGACATTTTTGTGTTAGTCTGCAACGTTGGCAATAAATCTAAAAAACTTGTTTGTAGCGTTTTGTTTTGTGTATGCAAATGAACTTTTCTAAATGAAGAGCTGTTAGCAAGTACGAAATGGATCTGTAGCGTACAAAAAACCAAAACAAAATATGGCGCCATCCACCTGGTATTGACGGATCCGTCAGAATTGTGTCCTTTGCCGATATGGGGAATTTTGAAATATTACTAGATAATCAGCTGTCACTCTACCGTAATTGATACTCGTGAAAAGTACTATATATAGATGTTGAGTTCAGAGCTGTTTTTCAGTGAACTAGTTGAGTTACTCCGAGTGATATAAGTAATAGGCCAAACAATTTAAGGTGGTATATCTGCCATGTATATTTCTTGCAAAATAAAAATTTGAACAAGTTATAAACATAACCTTTATAATAATAATAATAACAACCTAATTGAAGCATTTTCAGTTGGTTTAGTTGGTGTGAATTATGACCATCAGGTTATAAAATGTGAACGCACGGTACTAGAATTACGAAGTATAAAATTTGAGTATTTAGAGTTGATATAATTCAATAAAATCAACATTTACTTAAATAATCGTGTATCTTTGCGAGGCAATAAATAGTCCGTATTGATATAGTTTTAACAAAATCAGTATTACAATATTACAAAATAGCAATGCTGTCATCGCGTTGACAGTCCTTGACGTAGTTATATTTGACAGACCAACTATTGACCAACCAGACCAACTAAAAAAACTTATAGTAAGTATTGGTATATCGTATTTCACGAGTATCCATCACGGTAGAATGACAGCTGATTATCTAGTTATATCTCAAAATTCCCCATATCGGCACAGAACACATAATTCTGACGGATCCGTCAACGCCAGGTAGACCGAGCCCAACTTTGTTTTGGTTTTTTGTACGCTAAAGATTCATTTTGTACTTGCTAAGAGCTCTTTTATTTAGAAAAGTAACTGGTACAGAAACTTATTTATATTATCGTACATGTACGAGGTTTCTCGTACGTCTGGCGACCCTGCGCGGGCAGGATTGTAGGACGCGCGATTGCGACTGTCTCTTCCTTTTCACTAGATTCGGCACTTCGCTTTCCTTCGCACGCCACTGGCGAGGAAGTATGGTAATCGCGAAAAATTCCGAAAGTGGCAAGTTATGTTTATTGGAAGTTATATTTCATGTACATTACGAAGCCATGTCACTCATTTCGGTTAGTTTGCATGTTAGTCCTCTCTGCCTGTCAGTCTGTCCGCTAATCCTTGGCCTGTCTATAACTTGGAAAGTACCGCTCAGATTGTGATGAAATTTTCTCACAAGGGTGCAGGCAAAAATTTGAAAAAAAATAAAACTGCTTGAAGGTTTTTTTTGGCGTTTCAGAGACTCCTGATCGTTTTCAGAAAAAAATTAGGGGCTTAAAAATTGAGGGTTAGAAGCTGTAGGTGGTGGGGAACGGTATATCTCAATTTTTTATATTAAAATATTTATACGCTTCCAGCCCCGGTAATTGTAAGTACGTATTAGTCATATTTCACACATCATAGGTTCCCCCCTACATTTGCCCTCAAAATGAATATCAATTTCATGTGCGTGACAATCAATCCCAATTGATTAGAAAATATCATAATAATTCTAACAATAATTTGTACAATGACTCAATATGGGCTTGGTCTAACTCCTCAGCATTATCCACTCCTCTCTAATTTCCTTTTGCGAATAATGCTCTATCAGTTTCATCCGTACTGAGACATCTAAAAACGTGTTCAAAACTAACATCAATTCGACCATTCAACTTGCTATTACAGAAATCAGTGTTTAGGCCATTGTTGTGGAGCCAATCACAGTCCAGGATAATGTTTCTAATAAGACCCGGTATAACCAAAAGGCTGTATTCAAATTCGCGACCACCCAAAGGCGAGGTACACCCGCTCCCTGACGGTCCTTGATTTGGTGCCCATAGCCCCCATCAAAGTAAGACATTTCCTTGGAAAATTCGGTATCTCCGAATTTACTTTCAAAATTTCACCCAAAAATTTCTCCTTGACCCCCGTAACTTGACTACCAGAGTAGACTAGACGCTGTGTCGAAATGCCTCGAAACCTTGCAGTTACCACCGGCAACACTACAGCATGTTTCTCTTCCTCCATTACCTCCATATCTCGGTTCAAAATCGTGGAAACCTCTAGACGATCTCCATTTTCTGCATTCCTATCATCATTCCTATTATTTCGTCAGCTAGAGTTTTCCTGCACCATCTACCTGTCTACCTTGTCACGATTATTACTCCATTGGCTCTGACCACGACTCTCTCCTCTATTTTCTCTTACTGAACCATTTCTCACTTATATATAAATCTCAAATAATCTGCGTATACTTGACTGAAAATATGCTATACACATATCCAACAATTCATCTTCATCCATAAGCTTCGACAAATAGTTCGATTTCCGTATTTCAAAAGTATTCGCCACGAGAGCGTCGCTCGTATTCACCATATTTGATTCCACAGAACACCGCCCAGTATCTTTGATAAACTTCTACTTAAAATTGGGAAAGGAACCAAACCGCTCTGTGTCTGTCCAACAGGTAGCAGCATTTTTTTTTATAAACATGACGGGTGCAATTAGCCAGTTGGGGAAAACTGTAAATTTGGCCACCCGAAATATTGCCACGTCGCAATGTAGGGCCTAGTCGCGGCTGCACTGCTTGGAGGCTGAATATCTTTTCTCGTAACACCGCGCTCAGGTCTTTCAGGTGCCGTCGCTGGTGTTCCGATTTTTTTGATATAACGTTTAATTTTCTATTATCGTCATGTTACCACTTAAATTTGATGGCAGCGATTGCACCACTGAGCCTAGTGATTAACTTAAACTAACATTTGAATCGACAAAGGAGTATACGCTAAACAATCTTCTGTTATTTGGCCAACTTCTTCGCTAACAACCGCTGTTAACCAGCAAAACAAATTCACTTTGTGCTCACGCAACTGGAACATTGATGAACTAGATCCTACTAAAGTATTTGCTTTTGTAAGAGTTGTGTCTCATTTACTGCCCAATCAGCAGCTACCAAAATACAATGTGATGGGCTCACCATGCAGGTATTTAAACTCCCTTCTTCCAACGTCCTGCGCCGCAGGAATCCCATGCGTTCTCCATGCGTAAATACGTAATAACTGTCTGGAATGCCAAATATCCGCAATCAGCCGATTGCAATCTTTTAATTAAACACTCTGTCGCATCACGATAGCCGCGTATTCGGTGCTTCTCGCTTCGCCTCCCCCATGTTTATACGAATTTTTCGGGTTACTTTTGGACATTTTTTCTGTTCTAGAAATATTACTTCGTTTTTTGAATCAACCTGCATACTCTGGCTATACTATTTTTCACCGTACTTCAAACGACAAAATAAAAACGTGCTCGACCCGGGCCTTATCGAATTTTACTACTAGGAGCAACATTTAAAACTGCTGAAATATATTTTGTGGGCGCTTAAGAAACGATTGAGGTGCGTATGATCTTGAAATTAGCGGTTTTTAATTTCTTTAACCTATTTTGTGATCATATGGCTTTGACTGAAAAATGCTATCACAAAATGCTACTATATGGCCATTTTGTTTATTCTGTGATTGATATTGTCGAAAAAAGTATATAGAGGTCCGACAAAAAGGGGACAGGTGTACTACAATGTATGCAGTTTTTTGGCATTCATTTGTTAGCTTTAAATGTTTAGTTGTACCGTAAATGTCAGGAAAGAAAGTATACAGGGTGTAAACGTTATGATAGTCATTATTTAAATGGGTGATAGAGGGGGTAAAAGGAAGCAAAAAGTTTCATATAACATGGGGGTCAAAACGGCATTTTAGAGAAAAGCGACTATAAGTAAAATAAAATCTGACAACGCCGCAAAGCCAGACGCAAATTACGACGGAACGCAGTGTAAATAAAGAATGAGTTTTTTATTTTTGGCTCTTAGGTATTATTTCATTATTTGATAATGTACTCGTAAAATGCAAACAATTAAAAAAAACGGACTCGCCACTAACTGTCTTAGCGCTTCACCTGGTGTGTGAAAGTTTATTCAACGTATTAAAAAAATCCACTTATAAATAGGGAACACAATTTTGATACATACATTTTCTTTTTAAAACCCACACTGCACTTTTTTGTATTTAAAGAAGGTGTTCAAAATGTCATCCTCCACTTTCCACACAAGCTTCATTACGACCTTCACGAATGGTATGAGGATTTTCTTGGGCCCACGTGTGAGTATTATGGAAATTTAATATCCCGTCTCGCGTAAAAGTACATTCGTCCGTCGCTAGAATGTTTTAAAGAAAATCCGGATTTTCAATGTTTTTGTGCAAAAACCACTGACAGAATGTTAGTCTGCGAGGATAGTTTTCTGGTAACAAGGCCTGCACTCGTTGCACATGGTAGGGATGAAGCAAATTTTCCCGTAGGATTCTATGGACTATGGTATGCGATAGTCCTCCGCAGCGGCCTGATTCCCGAGTGCTGAAATCTGCATTGATTTCCACGATATTTAAAATTTGCTCCTCCTGCTCTATAGTAACCTGTCTTTCACGAAATGCGAATATTAGTGGGTTGAACAGTTCCTGTATCTCGAAGCACACTTGCACAAACAACATACTAACCAGTGTTACCGTTTGCGATCGATTGCTGATTCAATAAGAGTGATGATGACCGACGCGCTGTTGTCACGTGTGTTTTAAATATTCAATTTAACGAAACTTACTTTCTTACTGACTACAAATTTTGGCTGAACTTCGAAAAACTTAATGCCATTTATTTGTTAATTACCCAATTTAAAAACATTGTAGATTAGATTATAAAAATCCGTAAGATTGTGGTCGATATAAAGCACTTAAAGTTGTAAACTATAAAGCCATTTAGACAAAAATCTATTGACTTTTGGACCTTGGGTCATATGAACTTTTTCACTTGTTTTGACCACCCTATTACCCATTTCAATAATAACTACCATTACGTTTACACCCTGTATAATTATGCTTACATATGTCTCCACGCGTAGCAGCTACCTTTTTATTTTTATTGCAGAATTTCCTCATCTTTGAGTCGGTGCAAAGACCGTGCCCCTAGTGCCTTGATAGGTTATGTCGAGTTCGAAGTTTTATCCGATTTTCAGTATGTGCATCAAACATAATAGATTATTTAATTGAAAATGTTAATTTGTGTCTACCACAAAATGTACGAATTTTGAGGTCATCCGTAACCTCATCATACACCTCAAAGTATGTTTTAACATCCTTTTAAATTTTGTTGGAGTAATAAAAATTCGATAAAACCTGGTTCCACCCACAAACGTGTCAGCATATAACAGCTGATTATCTAGTGATATCCAATATGATATCCCCATATCAGGGTTGTCTTCCGTCCGGCCAAGATTTTTTTCCGGCCTTTTTGTTCCAGAGGAAAATGTTGATTGAGTTTATTTTAATCCTTCCGGCTTTATAAAAATCATATCGATTATCACAAAGGCATTTGATCTCAAAAGCACTGATGCAGCCGATTTGCTGCACCCTCACACAAAGGCTGGATCCGTAATCGCCATTCAGAATGATGATGCCCGGCTTTTAGAGTCAAATTTCCAGCCTAATACAGGGCTTTTGTATTTTAGGAGATGGCAACCCTACCAATATCGCTAACTCAGATAGCTTTGATGGATCTGTAGACAGAGTCGTATTAAGTGGGCAAGATGTTCTCTAGTCGTAACTTGTGGCTCTATGTATCGATTCATATTTTTTTCTACCCCATTGTATATTTTATTGCATTTCTTCGTATATTTTATTGCCAACATTCCCAGTGAGTAAAGTTATGTACCTACGTGCAACTAAAGTTTAATCTGTGTTAGGCATGAATAGTTCTTAATGCGTTCCCAAGTTTCACCATTATTCATTATTACCAACAGGACATTACAGTCTTAACAGAAAGATTTCACTCACTGATCAGCTGTTTACCTCAATAGAGCGTAGTAAAGTATCGTGAAGAATAGATTATAATTTGTGAGATATGTCCGCATCAGAATGAAGTGAGATTATTGGTGTAAAAGTATTGAGAACAAAGATGAAATGATAGATTACCTGATACATTTCACAATCATAAATAATAAGCAATCACTTTTATGGTGATACAGTTTGGTATCAGTTTGATAGAAAAGATTTCATCTATGACAGAAAGTAAAATATGTTTCAAACTCCAAACAGCTATGCAAAAAAGAAAAGTTTGTTGTGGCCTTACTAAAAGCGCGTTATTTTAAAGCTTTTTTGAAAAGTAAATTAGAATCTGCTTTCTAGTGGCGTTAAGTTCGAATATTTAAACCATAAATAACATAGTTCAAGTAGCAGTGTGTAAAATATTTCACTTTAAAAATATTTTTCGACTATAACCTATACAGGGTAAATAAGTTCTGAGTAGCGGCGTACAGGAGTTAGATGATTCTTCTCGTCTGAAAAACTCAGCCTCCTTCATTGATAATATGCTGTATAGATACAGCTCAGTAACTGATTTTCCCTAAATAAGTAGTAAGCTTACGCTAACTTTAAGCGTAACATACAGCAGTTACAAAATGGACTTTTCGAATATGGAATGGAATTAGGTCTGGATTTATTTTATTGTACGTAAACAAGGAAAGGGTTAAGTAATCGTAGAGAACCAAGGTGAAATCCCCTTTATCTTGGATATTTATCTTGCATTTGCAATTTTGTATATATAGAGTTTAGATTGTAATCAAAATGTTTGAGGTTGCCAAAATCCAAGCTGATATAAATAATTATCAACTTCCGCATTATAGATCCATAGTGTCACCATTTAGAAAAATATATTACCATTGTATTTATCCAATTGAAGCTCTGTCAAGTTTCCTCTAACAATATGTTAGTGTTACAAATACTTTGTTTTGCTATTTTCTAGATAAAGATAAAGAGTAATTAGTTTGTATGCGAACTTACATTTTGTCAATAGAAAATCACCCTCATATGGTTTTATATCATTTTTAAGGTAACAATAATATATTAATTATCTAGTAATATATTTTAATTTCACAATGTTAACCGATCCCAAAGTACATGTGCCTCTCGAGCATCCTAGTTTTAATTTTATTTATGGGATATGGCAACCTCTATTTTTGCAGTGTTATTGGCGCAAACAGACTATATTTGTATATTTTGAAGAAATCAATGTCTGCTCATTTGCCCTTAGTATAAGCTAATATGGTCAGCATATTGTTTTTATGTTATATATGACTTTTTTACATTTGTTGTATTTATTTTTTGTTAATGCTTGAAGATCCCCATATTTATTTGCATATTTATTGGAAATTTCCATATAAAGATCTTCATGAATCAATTCAAACAAAATAAATTTCCTTAGTTGAGAGAAACTTAAGATAGATCTGATTTCAGTATATAATATAACATTAAAACTTTGGGAAAATTATAGCCATTTAATTATTACAAGTTGTTTTATAGGTTTTTCAATATCTAAAAATAACTCACTGTAGAATTATATAGAACATTAGATACTGCAGCTATCTAACAGTATTAAAACAGGAAGCATTTCTTCTTTTTCCAAGCACATTTGTATTTTTTCAGTATTAATATTGTTTTTCCTGACTAATTTTATTACTTTTTTACAAAATAATTGGAATATGGTTTTAATGCAAAAATATATTGATACCTCAGTATTCTTTATTTTTCACTAATAGGTTTATGTACCAAAATCTAAAACATTGCATAGTACTTATTATTTGTGTCAATAAATTTTGAAGAATATTATACTGTCTATTTTCTATTTCTTTGACATGCATACAAACCTTTTTGCTGGTAAGTTCTATCTTTAGGACCCTCTTGTTAATAAAATAGACATAGGAGCAGATGAGTACTGAATCATAGAAACACACATGCAAAGGTGCTTGGAGTTCTTTGACTTGGTGCTACCTACTATCCTACCAATTACCACGGGTGATCGCAGGAAATTTTCTCTTGAGGGCCAGTACAGACATATGAATGTGCTCCCGAAAATATTTGAAAAGCAAAAAACAGCTCCGACAGAAGATATTGGCGAATGTGTGAAGAGCCTACCAGAACTTGTATGATTTACAAAAAATGTGCTTTCTCATTAGTTAAACGTTAAATAACACTTTTTCCTGGAGATCTTTCGAGGAAAATAGCTCTGAAAGACACAATGCACGTTTTTATTGCCTGATATAGCTTTTAAATCATTGTTAGGATTTGTCACAGTGCCGGTAATCCTGCCAAATTCAATAATCCGATTTCTGACAGCCTTTTGAGTGTGGTAGTATTCTGCGATACAAGTTCACCTTATGCCTATGCTAACATTTTTGTCAAAATTGATGAAATACAAGTTTGGATACCGCAAAATGAATCAGCTTTTTTCTACAGATTTTTGTAGATTTGCTACTAGGGTCGCAAACACGCAAAGAGGTATTCTCGCACGAATACTTTCACTACAATTCTGGCACGAATACGTCTCGCTGAATAGCAATAATCGTTGTTAAAACATTTGTTACTATGGTCGCAGAAATGCAAGGCTGCACGCAAAGAGTACTTCTCACCCGAAAACTTTCCACCGATTCTGTGATCTTGATGCAAGAAAAAATTGCTACCAGGGTCGCAAAAACACAAGGACTTATGAAAATGTATACTTCATACGAAAACCTATCGCCAGTTCTGTCTTGATAGAGAATTTTTAATTGTTGGATACCTCAAATTGATTCAGTTTTATCATGAAGAACCGGCAAATTCTTTAATTAAAAATGTACTACTCGTGACCCAGAAACGCATGATTAAGTAGCCATCGTCCCCTGTGTCTTTTTTGTTAACGTGCTAAAGGACATGATCGCATAAACACAAGGCTACATGAAAAGAATATTTCTCGCATCAAAATGTATACTCCGATTCTATGATTCTGATATCGAAATTTTCTTCAAGGGATGCAGAATTTTAGTTAATGGACACCTCAAATAGAATCAAATGTTTCCTGCAGAATAGCCAAACTCGTTAAATTGCTACCAGGATCGCAGAAATGAGATACCATTACCCTTCTTTGCCAAACTCCTTATTTAAAAATATGCTACTGGGATATCAAAAATGCGAGGAGTGATGAGAATGCACATTTGGTACGAAGATCTCTCGCTGCGTCCCTGATAAAGAATTCGTAGTTCGTGAGTAGCAAAAATTGAAACATTTCTTGTGTGTCTCGTGTGTGAACTGTCTACCAGGATCGCAAAAAGGAAATGCATTTTTCACACGAATATATCACTCATATATACTGCGTCGCGGAGGCATAGTGGTAGTCGCTACGGAAGAATTTTTCTCTTGTGCTCTCTATCGTCGAATGGGAAGGTGCCACCTGGCGGATTTCTAAGGTTAAGGCATGATTTATCACATGCACCACGTGTCCCCTCGCTAGAGTCCGTGTGACGACGCCACTCCCTCCTTCCGCAGTGTCCCTCTATAGTACCACGCTACCCACGGGTATTTAGGCGCTGGTATAAAAGAATCCATGCCAAGCTCACAAAAATTTGGTACCAGGATCGCAGAGACGCCAGGAGGTATGAAAATGTACTCGCACGAATACCTCTCGTTAGTTCTGTGATCCTGATACATAATGTTTAACCCCAGTTTGAATCGGATGTTTGTCAAGTTTCCTACTAGAGTCGCAGAGACGCAAGGAGGTATGAAAGTATGCTTTTCACACGAATACCTTACTGATTCTGATACAGAATTATACAGATGGGGATAGCAAATTAAATCAGATTTTTGATGTTAATTTGCTAGCAGAGTTATGAAAATCTGCTTTCTATCGCTAATTCTGTGATTCTGAACCAGAAATTTCAGCCGCTGAAACCAGAAAATTAACCAGGTCCCTCTAGCAGAATCGTGAAACTCGAAAGAGAGCGGTTGAAAACAGAAAATTAATCCATCAAGCTAGAAAGGTGAGAATTTCTTATCAAGATCGCAAAGACGCGTTCGACATGCACAATTAGCAGTAACTGGTTTTGCGATGTTGGATCGTCTCATTCTATAAAGTATTCGCTAATATTGCAAAAAATAAGACAATGACAATAAATTATGCTTTATTTAAAACAGTAAAAATCCCTTTGGTATACAGTCCTATAATGTATGCTCATTTAGTCTACAGACACAAGATATACACTGATACAAGGATGTCTTCTAACAAATCATCTAACTTAACCAAAATGTCTTTAATAAAACGCTACATCATCATTTGCTCAACAATGAAGTAGCTACACGTTTACTTTTACTCAGACTTCAATCGCTTCCGCAAAACATACACAGAGTGCATACTTCGGGAATCTTAAATCACAGGTAAATTATATACCGTTTATAGATACATTAACTATGCAATAGAGTTTATGAAAGGTATAGGGTTTAAAGTAATATTTATTTGGTCTATATTATATCAGTTTGTTGACTAATAAAAGCAAAGCATATATCACTGTCTGTGAGATCCTGAAGGAGTAAAAAATACTTAGAATATACAATAGAGTAATAGCAGTGATTTAGCGTGCTTTGAGCCCCCTGACAGTTATGGCAAAGTGAAAGCTCCAGATATCCGATATTCAAGGCTTGACTATTCGAACAAACCTCAAGTCTTTCTTCATGTTTCATTAAATTTGAGTAATTCATGTTTGATATCTGAGGACAAAAAGTGAATTGGGCGTGTTTGGAGGCTTTTGTAATATGTTTCTGCATAAATGATTATAGAGTTTCTGAATTGCAAAATAATGACGAAGAAACATCCATTCAGTAGGAAAAATCTATATCCAATGAAAAACAACTTGTGGTCATATATATTCCCTATGTCTGATGATATAATTGAAGACTTGCTATACAAAATTTATATAAGTGACTTCCTTAAAGGCATTAAACACGCCTGATATAATTCTGATTAATTTTTTGTTTGCGAAACTATAATCCCTAAAAATATCTTTATGAACTTCCTTTAAAATAAGATAATTCCACTCACTACTTGGATGATTGAAAGTATATTCTGACAATGGAAATCAATCAACTGTTAGTACTCTATTGCAGTTACAACACATTGAAAATCTTAGTAAGCATTATTAAATCAGACCTAGGTGTATTTTATGTTTATAACTATCAACAACAAATTGAGCATATTGAATCTGAATTTACAAATGTGCTAACGTATTACAATTCTGTATTCTTCAGTACACATGATATTTACTGGCCATAAAAAGAGCAGATCTAATCTAAAAGTAGTAATAGACATATCAATTTAATAATAAGTTTTATTTATGACTTCTCACCTTCATAAGATAAATAATAATCATCTGTTAAAATTCTGAGTAACTAAAAAAGTAATCTATAGTATCACGTAATATAAATTGCTTTACACCAGACGATAGTTAAAATCTCCACCTACATTCAGTACCGAATATCACCCATTGTGGGATGAATATTAAAATAGTGATTGTATCATAATCAGTTCTACATAAGGTCTTTGAACCACAAAGTACTCTGCTCCATAAAAACAAATGTATTTTTTTAATATACCAGTAAGCAGAAATTGATATGTTAAATTCATTGGAAAAAAAATACTACTTGAAAAATAGGTGTTTCTCAATCTAACATCTACTTGTTCTATATTGAATATCACCATAGTTTTTATGTGATGTAAACCTTCAGCTAACCTTTGTGATTAAATGACCTCAATGACTCAAAAGTACCTAGATATATAACTAATGCAGTGGTGGATCATCATCATCCAAATCTTGTCCTATCATAAATTCATCATAATTTTCATTTCTACGGCTAAATTTAGTTCGCAACCAGGCAATGAGGTGGTACCTGAAATAGATAAAAAATAGTGTAATAGTGCATAATTAAAAGAAATGTAAAATGTATATCTATTGCGCTGTTGCTGAGTATGGTAAAATTTAACCAGGTCCAGAGATTATGAGTATTTTTCTGGTCATTAGTGGAAATTTTTGTTAATCATGCAAGTGAAGTAATTTTTCAAGTACTTTTCAAAGTACATACTACTAATGCACTGTTCAACACCACTGTAAGATTTTATGAAAAAACCACGATTTGGTAACTTTTTTAGCCTAAATATACAATTTTATAGTATATAAAGGGTGATTCAAATTGAGTTTCCACATTACATATTAATTTTTTTTGAAACGCTACTGAATTTGTCAACGACAACGTGCCATTTCTAACGTCAAAATATAAACAAAACAGTCATGGATCAATATAAGACCGAACAACGTGTTAAAATTATCCAAGCCTATAATGAAAACGGCCGATCAAGGAAGAATACATTTCGTGCTTTACATGAATTTTTTGGCGCACAAAATCGGCCTTGTGGGAGGACAATTTACAATTTGGTGCAAAAATTCTAGCAAACTGGATCCGTCACTAACATCAAAACCCCTAGGCATGCTCGTTGAGGTAGGTTAGAACACAATATTGCTATTGTTGCCGAAAGTGTGGCCGAAAATCCAAGAACACCGATTCGTCATCGATCGCAGCAACTGGACTTGAAGCTAGAGACCATCAACAGTGCCGTGTGTTTACCGAATGGATAAGAGAACAAGGGGTAAATTTTCCAATGAAAATAATCTTTAGCGATGAGGCACATTTTAACATTGGGGGCTTGGTAAACACTCACAATTGCCGTATTTGGGGATTGGAAGATCCAAGACAGATTGTTGAAGTGATAATGCATCCTCAAAAGGTAACTGTTTGGTGTGCCTTTTGGTCCGGAGGCGTAATTGGTCCATTTTTTTAAGATCATGCGAAGAACGCTGTTACGGTTAATAGCGTGCGCTATCGGAACATTATGACTGAGTTTTTCTGGGAACAGTTGGAAGATATGGATATCGCAGATCTTTGGTTTCAACAGGACGGCGGCACCTGTCACACATCAGGAGAAACGATACAATTACTGCTCGGCAAGTTTCCGGGTCGCGTTATTTCACGTAACGGCGGTATCAATTGGCCGCCGCGATCCTGTGATTTAACTCCCTTAGATTACTTTCTTTGGAGGTATCTCAACAGCAAAGTCTACAAGAATAACCCGAAACACAATTTCGGAGCTGAAACAGGAGATCAGACGCGAAATTACCAACATAAGACCTGATTTGTGCCACAGAGTAGTCGAAAATTTCTCGAAACGGATTACGTCATGCCACATGAGCCGCGGCGGTCATTTACTTGATATCATCTTTCATGCATAATTGTAATTAACTACCCTGAAAGGGCAAATATATATTTATTTGTAATTTTCAATTTCTTCTTTTTTTTAACTACTTTTAATGTGGAAACTCAATTTGAATCACCCATTAGTATGAAAAAAAAAATGACAAATGAACTGTCACCTGGAAGACAGATAAACATAAAATATATTGTCATCATGTGTACTTTGGAAAAGTCAATTGTGGTGGCCAAAACATCAGTAAAAAGTAATTCAAACATATGTGGTTTCTTGTGGTCAGAGAATCCTGGAGTACTGTCAGCATGAAAACCACATAAAAAGATACAGGTGCTATATTATACAATTTTCTGAGCTAATAATGCTAATCTAATGTCCTTACCTCCTAGTAACATAGATGCCACACATCACCATGATAATAAGACAAAGTGGAGTGAGTATTCCCGCCACAATAGATCCACTGCCTTGGTTATCCACTAGACTGGAGTAATTTGGTGTGGAATCTGACTCTGGACTAAATGGTACACAATAGGTGTCATTCTTGCGCTCATATCCTGGCAAGCACTGGCAAGTATTTGTGGCTTCATTGCAGCTTTCTGTTTCTGAGCATTGCCCTTCTGTATCAAATTCACACCTTCTGGCAGCTGTAATCATAATCTTGTTGATAAAATACTTATTTACTATTGTTTTTGGGACAATCATGATATTTTTATACTTTCATAAACTGTTTCTCTCATTATTAAATGGAACAGCTGGTCTAAAAGTTTTTGATAACAGCTTTCAACTGTAAGTTTGAGAATATACTAGGTCTCCTTATACATTTTTACTCCTGCATTATAACATTCTATAGTTAATTTTTATTATTATTGTCATATAACTTTGAAATAATAAAATTGGATTTTAATAATAAAAGAACATTGCATAGCAAATAATGATAACAATGACAATGGCTCATATAAGTTTAACTTTCAAAATAATGCTCAAAAACAAAATTCTTACTGCACAATTTTCAAATGTTCATAATTCTTCCAAAGAGAAATTAATCAAAGAATGTATATATTTAAATGCAACATATCTACTGAAGTTCACAAAAAAGACACCCCCAGCAATTACAAATGCCAAGTGTATTACAAAAATTCATCATGTACTTGAAGAATAAGATACAACTGACCAATAAGGGCAAAAAAATAGTGATTGCAATTATTTCACTGGGGTATATCACACAATTGTTGGCCAGTATTAAGCATTTTGTTTAGACAGAATAGTAATAAGGAATAAAAAGCAATTTGTAATTTTAACAGCAATCTAAGAACTTGTTGGGATATGGGAGGATATTTGGGATTTCAATGTTCTGCCAAAAAGGGAAATGAAAAACTGTAGAAGTAAACCTTCCAAATAGTGTGAAATATCATGCTTTATTTGGATTCTAACATGAAATTAAGCCTACCATTAAGATTTAGGCACAATATGCCTGAAAATTAACAAAGTATGATATGTATATGTAAATGGTATAACAATATAGGAATACTCTTTGTACATGAAAAGAGACACTAAACATTTGTATAAACACATAAAAAACATGGTTTTAGTGATTCATGAAAAGAGTCACTCCCAAACAAATCGGAAATAAGAATTTGAAACTAGCATGATTTGGCCTACTGAAAGCAGGAAAATAACAGATGCTCCCTTAGTGTCAGCAGATACTCTTTTGCCAGTGATTGCAGTATTTACCATGGTAAAGGTACACTATTGCAACTATGTACAAAAACAATGATTCTTGTATTCAAAAGCCATGAATCACAGTCAGTAATATAATTATTAATGTATTTTATTTGAGGTCATGTACATTTTTGTCACTGCCCTAGCATGACTTCTCTGGCAGTTTTCAGGTTTGATTGTTTTTACCACTCTTCCACTTTTTCTACTTTCTGTTTGTCATTTCTTTACATGTGTTATGAACAATAAAAGCAACAGCTGATATACCATAACAAAAAATGTCTAGCCTTGAAACACAACCATTACCTACTGAAGACTTGTTACTTTTAATAAAGAACTATTGAATTGAATTAGCTAATGGTATTTATGTCATGTTTGTATCTTTTTCATAATTTAAATGCCACCTCTCTAGGTACCACACATTTGGTATCTAGTACTTATATCCATATTTTCTAAGAATTGTTTCACAGTTTACCAAACATCACATACATAAGCAAAACATGTAAAAATTTACATTATAGTTATCTAATAGATGTATTTAAATTTCGTCAATAACCTAGCAGCAAGATAAATTTATTTTTTGTTACATACCTAGAACTGTAGAAAACCAAATGGAAAACATAAACCATGTTATTCTTGTTGTCACAAACATTGCTGTAGTTACATTTCTTGAAGTATTATCCGGAATTCAAATACACATACACTGTCCAAAAACTGTGATTATCATCATGATAAGAAATCATAAGGATAGAAAAACAAATCTCTGAATGCGGTAGTCGTTGACGATAGCTGGTAGTACTAGTCGCAACAGCTCACGTCTAAATTAAATAATTTGAAGAGGTACGAGAATTACTGACTGCACTTATCCAATTTATTTTTATGATTTAATTTAAATACACCGTACATTTATTATGCTCCATAAAATTCATTCCCCCTTCAACATTACAAATATTTTTTGATGAACGTTTGACTTTGGTCGGCACTGTCGGCAGCACAAGTTGGCAGTGCTTTGACAATTCTTACAACTCGCAGCCCGTGAGGTTTGACATATCTTTGGCGTATGCATGACAGATGATGGCCTGTCGGTAATAGTTAAACCGGTCCCACACGATGTGGCGAATGTCTTAGACACATGTCCATTCGCCATGTCGTGTGGGAGACATGTGTCCAACGTTCTCCACATGACACGATTGGAATCTTGTCGGCGAATTTGACCCGTGTCAAAGGACGTTACAACGGTGGAAGCATGGTTCGTTACGCTCACACACGAGATGTCATGTGTTTGATGGTTTTAGGTTAAAACCAGTAGCGGCGAAATACATTATTTACTTGTTTGCTGTGATTGTGGTGAAGTAGTAGTATGTGGGAAGTATTTTGATTTACCTATTCATAATAATGTAAGTTCCGTAACTAACTTTTGAGGAGAATAAATTAAATTAGTATACATATGCCATAACAACTTTTTTCATATTGCTAATATTTTGTACGTTTCGCAGGTGAGTTATGGCTGGCCTAAGGTTTCATTATAATGCCCTGTTGCAATGCAAGACTAGTTGAGAAATATATTGACTTGCATTTAATAACTAACGAAAACGATTAAATAAATGATAACTCTGAACGTACTATCAGGATTTCGATGAAACTTTGACCCAAGGTTACTACAATGAAAATGAAGAAAAAGCTCTGCAGTTTTTCAAAATCGGTACAGTGGCGGCGGAGTTATCATCAAGAAACAACTGAGGCTTCTGACAGACTTAAGTTTTGGTCGCTGAAGATAGATCTGAAATTATTTTTCGTCACGCGAAAAAATTGTTTCATCGTTCATTTTGTATAATTTTTCCTTCAGTTGTAACAGTAAAGGTTCAAGCGCGACACTCACACCGATAAAAAGGCGTCGGCGCTACCATGCGTCGAACGTCCGAGACTAAAAAGTTCATCCCATCGTGTAGGAAACCGTTTTTTAAACGTGCAGGCACATTTAACAGAAGCGACGCTAAGAGACATCTAAACTTCGCACTTCCTTCTCGTCGCTCCAGTCTGGTTCTGTGTAATGGAATCCAGCGGAAGATTACCGCTTCCTTTAGCTCAATGAGCCTATCGTCGAACAAAAGTAGCAGGTGCTGCGCCACTACCTTCGAACAGTAGCTGACCGCTAAGCACTGACTTGCTTGAAAAGTCATCTTACATAGATGAAATACAATTATTTTGTTCCTTATAAAAGCACAAAGTGGCGCCAATCCGACCCGATCTAATGACGACGGCTTTTATGTCGGCAATCTTGAATCATACTATGACCTATGACGCACAGTCACAGAGCTCCCCCACTTGGCTAAATTTCGCCATCATTAGAGCCGGTATTATTTATATGATGATTATGAAAAGTACTTACCTGATCGCGCCCACAACATTGCTCACTTGTATCACGTATCGCACTTGCATATCACACAGTCAAAAAGGTGAAAATTATTAAAAATCAGGGGAAAACCGAAATTCGATAGTGGCTATTCAAATTCAAACTCAAAGTGGCCATACCGCAGGACGCTAAGATGCTGTTAACAGTCAACGTGCCGAGCATATAAGACACGGATTATTAAAATGAGAAATGTATGCCGGCTGACAGCGCTATCTAGCGTGAGCTGAATGCTTATTTTGGTATCAGCGTTGTCAGATCTACGATAATTATCTTTTTTATAAGATAATTATTGCAAGTACTGTTCAATCTACGATACCGCGTACGATAATAGCTTAAGCCCTAGTGGGCGGCCGTGACAAATGCTTGCTCCGGAACTTGTTGCACTCAGTATACAACTTCTTCCCGTTCAAGTAATCGTACACGCATTAAGGAGTACCTCAATACCGATTGCCAGCTGGCTGTACAAGTACACCGACGAGTCACCTTAGGTCAAATATTTAACATCATTCATAAGCAAGAAGGTGGAAGACAAGGAATTGTTGACCGAGGCGGTACCTACCCGCTAGCTTTATCCAGGGTGTCTTAAGAATGTCCGCACACGTTTCCACATCTGAGCTATGCAATCGGTTTCTTTCCCCTTCAACACAAAGATTATAATGGATACCTAGAGTACTAAGAATTCCGGATGTAAACTCACTCCACTCTTGGAATGTCCGGGTGGAGGCTGAATTCGAGGGAAGAATATCGATGATCAAATGACCTTCACGAACATCTGCGGGGTTAACGACAAAATCTCAAATTCTGCCCCGACTAACCATCTTAGATTCCCGAACTACGAGGTGCACTCCAATTTGACTCCAATCTTAGGCAGCACAGGGAAGTTGCGGCATTTGTCCGTAATAGCCTCTCATCCCCAGAAACGTTTCTTTGGAATCAGACCGGAAGGATATTCTGTGGCTTCGATTCAACTCCACTGACATTTATTTGCTACCTCCATCGCTATCCCTCGGACGATAACTGTGATGGATCTACTTACCTTGCTGTCAAGATCGACTTTCTCGAACATCAAACACCCTGCTTCAGAGGTAGTTCTCCGCGGTGATTTCAATACCCATGATGAGTTCTGGTTGGTCTCAAACATAACCGATGCAGCAGGTCGTGCTCTTGAAACGCTCGCTACCACCCAAGGACTGATGCAGCTGATGACGAGTCCTACTTTTTCCCCCACGTTTAGTCACACGCCAGTAGCCTGCTGGATATCTTTCTGACCACGCATCCTGTCTCTTACAGCACTCACTGCTGCCCTGTCACTAGAACCAGCTGTGGTAGCAGAAACTCGGCCAGGTCGCAAAATTTGGCATTGCGGACATGCTGACTGGGAATAGCTCAGAATCTTCTCTCCACCTTTCCTTATTATTACCAAGATTATCCACGTTGTGATGGAAGAATACATCCCTCATATAGTTAAAGTGCCTAAACCAGGATCCCCGGCTGGTTAAAAAAATCGTGCGACACCGTTCGCCTACAGAAGGTCCAGGCACAGAGAACCTGCGTACAAAACCTCCGCTGAAGAGAACAGATAAGCCGATGTCAATTCCAGAAACAAATATAACGAAGCGGTTCGCAATGCCAAAGACATCCACGATGTAAAAATGAGGGACAGGGCAATGTCGCAGCGCAATGGCAGTCGGTCTTTCTGGATTTCTCAAAAGTAGCTTTCCACCGCTTACGTGTCAGGATGGAGTCATTGTAAGCGACTCAAAGGCTAAGGCGGAAGTGCTTCCTAAGATATTTGCCGCTAACTCCGCCATGGAGTTAGACTTGAATAAAGGTTCTGACCTGCACTTGACTTCCGCTGTCCAGTACCTTCCAATGAAATTTGAAATTTCCTCATGTCCAGCCCTTCAAAAAAAAATGATTAAAGACCGACCGTTACAACTACAAGCCTATAGCATACCTTTGCTTTCTATTAAAAGTATCGCGGCAGCGCAGCGGATCGAAAAAGCTAGGCTATTTGTTTAGGGCTAAAAGGACTACTTTTCTCCCCATAACCTCTTCACTGTGTACAAGGCCCAAGTAAGCCCTAGCCCCGAGTACTGCTGAGCCGCTGCCGCACCGACTACATTTTGTCCATGCTCGATGCTGTTCAGAGGACTGCCCGTCTCATCGATGACTCATCAGTAACGGACAATCTCGAGACCATTTTGCACCGACAGCCTGCCAGTGATCTATCTCTCTTCTACCGCTGTGTCAACGGGCTTTGCTCCTTCAAAGCTGTCTTCCATGATGCCGCCGTGCAATGTGCCTGCTAGACAGATCCGCCTCTCGTCCTAACCGTGTCATTCTTAGTAAATCCAGTACTGGTTGATGTAACCGCTTATTCTTCATCCCTTAGGTATCGAGATTGCGGAACAATCTACTAACCCTTTAAAGGCCTTTTACACGATCAGTTCAGTTCTCATTTCAATTTCCGTGTTCTTTCATTTCAGTCCGCAAAGAGCTACATTTTTACACGATCCGTTTTAATCGTCTCAGTTGTCTATTCAGTTCCCAGTTCGTGATCTTTTCGTCGCGGCATATCGTCAATTTTATACGAGAACTCTGACTACGTGATTACAAGCATGAAGCGTTGTTGTTTACACATAGGAATTCTAGAACTGAAATGAAACAAAATAGGTCTACCGCTCCCGCCATTTGTCAGTCTCCATTTAGTTATTACTTTCCACTGAAACTGAAATGAGAACTTAACTAATCGTGTTAAAGGCCCTTTAGACATTCAAAGATCGGGTTAACGAAGTTTATTTAAGCTCCTCATAGCATGCGCGGTACCCTGGTATTATTTAGGATTTTGCCTACGCGACTGATGTGGTATAACTCCCCCCTGACACGGAAATCTCATACTTTGAAATGCATCCTGGGACCTATGGCACTGCACGATAACTTCGACGAGCTTGTACGATTATTTCTCGCGATGAATCTGACAACGTTGCTTAGCACTTTTGGCACGGAGATTGTAGAAATAGACAGTTGTCAAGCACAAGTCAAATTTATTTTTTCTATTTAATAATCCTAACCCTCAAATTTTATGCCGAATGTTTTTCAATGCATGCAATAAATACAATACCACGGTCTTAAAATTAAGCAGAGCCATGTCAGACTTATTAAATAACGCTAAGAAAGCAGCTGCTCATGCAGCCGTGGACGAACATGTGAAGACTGACTATGTTGTTGGAGTTGGAAGCGGATCTACGGTTGTTTTTGCTGTGGAAAGGCTTGCCGAACGAGTCAGGAACGAAAACTTGAAGATAAGGTGCATACCTACCTCTTTTCAAGCTAGGCAATTGATTATTGACCACAAACTGATCTTAACTGACTTGGATGTTGACCCAGTTGTTGATGTCTGCATTGATGGAGCTGATGAAGTCGATTCAAAAATGACGCTTATAAAGGGTGGTGGCGGCTGTTTACTACAAGAAAAAATAGTGGCAAGTAATGCAAAGGAACTTATCATCATTGCTGATTATACCAAAGATTCAGTAAAACTTGGTGACCAGTATAAAAAGGGTATACCTATAGAAGTAGTTCCTATAGCTTATGTTCCTATCATGAACAAAATAAAGCAAAGGTATGGTGGCAATATCGAATTGAGAATGGCTGTGAAAAAGGCAGGGCCTGTAGTGACTGACAATGGTAACTTTGTGCTAGATTGGACAAACTTTGATCAGGATTCAGATTGGGAGAAGATTAACTTAGACTTGCTCATGATTCCAGGATTAGTAGAAACTGGATTATTCATCAAAATGGCAGCAAAGGCTTATTTTGGTCTAAAAGATGGAACAATTAAGCAAACAGGAGGTGGAAATGTTTGCAGTGCCCAAATGTAAATTTATAAAAAATTTAAGCGGATTAATATGTCCCCAATAAAGCAAATGAAATATTTTGCTTTATTGTATTTAATTGCATTTTAGCTACATTTTACTTAGTGTGTATGTGGTATTGTGGTTTTAAAAATTTATGGAATTCAAAAATTCTTATGTTTTAATGACTTCACTCATCAAAAATGTTTTGGTATTGAGAATCCACATTGACAACCCATTGTCTGCTAAAGATTATAAAACTTGGAAGCATTGTATTTTAAATGTCTTAGTAATAACCTTTGAAATTATAATGAAGTGCTGATATTTTAGATGTTGATTCTTTCTGGATGTGCCATTCTTGTAATAATAGAGTTATAAGTATCAACTGAACATGTTTTAACAAGTGGAAATAAGATGGCTCCCTTGGTCAAACAGCTTTTTTTACTTGAAACTGGCATTTTTCTTGCCCAGCCATATCTTTTTAAATCGAAAAGAATTAAAAATACTTTGTCTGCTCAAAGTGTGACATTGTTAGAGAAAAGCAGTGACAGTTGTATGTTGATAACTATTATACCTATTCTTACACTGTACTTTCATGTTGATAGAACTCCATTGTCATGCTGCTAAATTAAATCACACTGTATGACATTTTGGCTAACACAGTGGTTTTCATGTACAATAACAATTAATTTTCTTTAAAGACATATTCTGTTAATATGTGATCCAACAATTCCTTTATTTTACTTGAAAAAAGCCACCATGGTAGCTGAAATGTCATACAGTAAACAGCAATTAATTCATGTCAGGCAATGATAAGTCCTTACAGGAATTTTTCAGAATTACACTTTGAAAGATTGGCACTTCAGTAGGAAGTAGAATACCAAAAACTGATATTTAGAAGTTGAACTGAAAGCGACAGTTCAGGGGTTTTATTATTCTGTTCATATGGTTATAAGATCTGTTATTGTTAATTATTTCATAGTGTTATTGTTAAGTCTTATTATTATCTCATTTCTACTTAAAAGACTGTATGACTAAAAATTGATCATTTATTTTGTATCTGAGCTTCAACCAAGATGTGCCTTAAAATAATGCAATAAATGCACAGTAAGACAAGATTAGCTGTATCAAAATCATAATACAGATAATTGGCTAATCATCATGGAAATAACAAGTTAAACAATCTATTGTATGTATTACATACTTTTTCAAATAAATATACTTATATATATATTCCATTGTCTTATTGGAGATAGTAACACACTTCTATATTATCTAGGTTAAGCACTAAAAGTCAAGTGGAAATGTGATGTGAAAATACTTCTGTCTGATCATAGCTTCTCATAAGTAGCATGTGTACTTGTACTCAGCAATTCTCAAAGAAGACACAACACAGAGTGGTGTGTTGTTTCAAAGAAGGTACCATACTGAGTGCTGCCTTGGTAATGCTGCAACTCGTTCATGTCTCACTTGTTAGATCCCTCAAGCTTTATCCATATATGTTATCTAGTCTGGCCAGTTTTGGTTACCTCATATAGTACATATACAAGTATGGGCAGCATTAAGCTACTATTGAAATTGACACTGATTTACCCTTCCTATGCTGCTTTATTTGTATAGTATATGTAATAAGATATTTTTTAGCATACATACCTGCAATCTCTCAAAGGGCATGATGGACTCTATGTTTCTCCCACATATTATCAAGTTAGGTAGTTTTTTGCAATAACTCCCCCATGACTCCACAACATAAAAAAAATAATAAACCTGCTCGTTCTTGTCATAGTAGTAACTGAAAATTCATCCATCTAAATTCGATGCTTTCCAACTTACACTATTAAATATTGAGGAAGTACTTATCATATACATAGAACATAAGATTATCGACGAAAATAAGTGTTATGAATGTAAAAATAAAAAACCTTTATTATTCATAATTATTATCCCTATAAAAGATTTTGAACTTAAAATAATAATAAATCTAGGGTGTATATAACTTCATTTGATTTTCTGAACACCTCTTAAATTTTATATATCTGTAAGTAGTTACAAACCTATTTAAAGAAAAACCTGCAAATAGTCCTAGAAAAAATACACAGCAAATAACTACAACCTCAAAGAAATTTTTATCTAAGGTTATTATATAAGTTGTTTTCTTGGATATTTCTACGATATCAGAATTATTTTGTAGGGCTTCCTTTTTTGAAGAAACTCCCTCATCATGTTGCTCAACTTTGTTTTCCTGAATCAATGAATACGATTTCTCTGATCTCAGTGTTAAATCGTTACTTTTCAAGCTAGTTGCTTGAATTTTGGGGATCCTGTTCGACCGTGTACATATATTATGAAATGATAATGCTATTTTTTTATCAAAAATATCTACATCAGTATCTGTAGTATTTGAACATCGATAAGGATCAGATTTATCGACATATTCATGCTCCCCTAGAAAATCAAAAAGCTGGAACGTTTTGCAACTACATTCAAACTTGTTATAGAATAGTTTCAACGCAAATGATCTCGTTATGCCAGTAAAAGTTGATTGGCTGATATATTTTATGTTGTTCCTTTGTAAAAGAAGCATTTTTAAATTAGGCGTAAGCTTCAGTGCATGTTCTGGTACACTGGATATTTTGCAATTTGCCAGAGCTAACACCTCGAGGCTTTTAGATTTGATCAGTGGTAGATCTCCAGAAAAAAGGTTACTTGATAACTCCAAAAGTATCATGTTTGGTAGATCCTCGATAATATTCTGTGGGATGTCGTGCAATAAGTTTTCACCCAAATAAAGTTCCTGTAGGTTTTCCAGCTCAACAAAAGCTTCTCCATCGATGTCCAGAACTTCGGAATTGTTCAGATATATTTCAGCTATAGCTATGTTTCTATCAAAAGTAAAATCTTCATCGGTAATAGAGTTGATTTTGTTACCCGATAAGTCTATGATCATAGGATTTAACTGGATACTGTTGAAGTTAGGGATGTGTTGTAGATTTTTCTGTATACACGATACTGTCGAGGAGGTGCATTCGCAACTTGATGGACATGCTTCGGCCAGTGATAGCAGCGATCCGAGTAGGATGATAAACTTCATCTCTGAACTTTGTATCTAAAAAAAAAAACGATAAGTGATGCCTTAAACTACAATGATTACATGAACTGCCTACATGCAGAAGGCGCATAAATGCACGATATCAAGAAATTTAGACTGCTACAGTGCTGTTTTGTCTCTTGAAAACCGCTTCGTCTCAAAAATATAGTGCAAACAAAATTTTCAAGAATAAACGACTTCGTACCTTCAACTAGAATGCAAGACTCAGACTTACTTGTCATAGATTAAAGACTACTGGATTCTTTCAAATACGCCGCGGGCCAATTTCTTATTTAGTTACATACAGCCAACTTCAGTATGGTTGCTGCAGTGTTACAACGAAATCATATTGAGATATAGATAGGGAATAACTCACTTATGGCCTGATCGATCGCCGGATTTGCAGCTCCTAAGTTAATCTCCATGGGCCATCTTCTTTTGGCAAATAATATCAATTCACTTACATGCCTGGCAAAATTGCCCAGCAGTGACTCTTCCCGAGCGGCAATTCGAGTTGTCTTTGGTAGTCCCACCACCACATAGGAGTAGATGGTTAGGAATATTCACATCACTGTAATATACGCCGTTTGCGTACACTCTTTCCTAACCTTTTTAGGTATCTGTTAAAACGATGTCCTGTGTAGAATTCTACAGAATAGTAGTATATTTTCACGTTTCCCTTGTCTCTTCAAGTTTTATTATTTGGAATTAGCCTTCAAATTCATGCAATATGACCAGTTGCACCTCCCTTTCACCGTAGGCTGGCGTGCAAATAGTTCATTCCGCGCTTGCAGCAAGTGAGCATGACGTGAACGACAGCTAGTCCCAAGTTGACGTCTTCTTCGAAAACCGATATGATATCAAAGAAACCATGCAGCATAATCGCGTTTACATTCCCTGCCATGATTCTACATCTCTCACTGCTGGGGCCTCCCTTAGATAGCCTTAGCCGCATCAGAGATGCTACTACTTTATTTACCTTATCAGTTGTGCGCCTTATATGTTCAATCATCCCAAGCTCTCTGCTGAGCCATACTCCCAAATACTTAATCGCCTTTTGGCTTCGTATCTCAGAATTCTCAACCTCAACTACCAATGAAGTTACCTTCTGTCTGCTTGAAAGTATTACCACTTCTGTAATCTCAGGAACTAAATTCAACCCATTTATCTTCCATCCACATGGTAATCATGGTAATTCCACATGTCTAAAGCCATTCCTAGTACCTCTCGTAGTCGCTATCACCAGGTCGTCAGCATACCCTGTCAAGCTCCGGTGGAAATTGTGCAACATCTGAGGAAATCTGATAAGTACGACAAGAAGCGGCCTTGTGTGTTTGAAAGAATTCCACGGTCTATGAGAAGGTATGAGCATTGCATTATAGCTGGAAGATATCAGTTTTGGATAGTTTTTGTAGAGAAGAAGATTCATATGTGGTTTGTTTGCCATGCTTAGCAGAAACGGTTTTCCAAAAATCACAGTACAAAATAGTAGGATAAGGAAAGATACTCAAAGAATATTTAATTCATGTGCAAACACTTTTTCCATACCAAATCAGTACAGATTATATTACCAAAAATTCCATACGAGCACAATCGACTTTCGAAAAAATGTTGTTTAATGCATAATTGAAGTACTTACTTATCTTTCTCTAAATTTATCTAACCATGAACACTATTGCACACTATTCGTTTCTTTCTGAAGACTAATTTTAAACACGTTGCAAAAGGTAAATCTGCCATTTATTTTATCGAATTAGCCACAAGCAGCATAATAATTGATAAGGAATAGATGTCGATTGACTGATGTAAACATTATCATATTGATACAACTGTAGCATACCTTTGTGAGTATGTAAACAAATGTACAGGTAACATTTTTTATTTTTATCAGTCTGATATCTGTATCTACGTTGTATTCTAGTAGCAATAAGGAACATCTACATATATACTTCAATATCTTTCAAGTTATTACACTTCAAAATCTCATGTGAAAACCTACGTCAAGAAAGTGGATTTTTATTACAGGGTGGACCATATATGCGACTAATTCAATTTTGAAATTGTCTAGGTTCGCATGTTTACACCTGGGTCTTATTTATAGCAAAATGTTTATGAAGACTCCATCTGTGGAACCAGAAAATGACTGATTATGTTCCGTCCTCGTCGAAGAAAATATTTAGGATACATATCGTAGTACCCTCGTAGTAGTAGCCAACCCCCACGATTTCAAAGCGCGCACGCAGCGAAGGAAAGCGGCACCGCACCCCTTCCCCCTACCTTCCTCCTCTCTGGCCACCTATAAACCTTCATTCCTTGTTCTCGTGCCAAACTGTTAACACCGCGATCGGCGCGCATGTTTACGTTTTCAGCAGTGTCTAGGAATCGCTGAACATTTAGAATTAGAAAACAGGACAGAAGGTTGGCCGATAGATGTGCATTGTCGAACGAGATACCGACCGACGGTCGGGTGAAGGTTCCTTTCGTCGCGGAGCAAAATTGGAACGTGGCGTGCAGGCCTCTTTTTCTGAAGAGGTGTCACCATCAGGTAACTGTCGACTAACCGATCTGTTTTAGGTGCAAGTTAAATGAATATTAGTATGGATGCCTCAGCGGCGCTGCAAACTGTGAATAAAATGACGTTTGGGATAACGTTTTGATACTGTTGCTTGGGATAGCAACCTGGACCTAGCTTCTGATAGCAAACTCCATACCTAGGACGAACAAGGACGTTTGGGATAACGCTGAAATATTGAACTCGTTTGCTTGCGATAGCAACTTGGGATAGTCAGCTCCACACCAAGGACGAACGAAGGCGTTTGGGATAACGTGGAAGCATTATACTCGGTTGCTTGGGATAGCAACGTGGACCTGGCTTGGGATAGTCAGCTCCACACCAAGGATGAACGAAGACATTTGGGAATAACGTTGTAACCTTGGACTAGGTTGCTTGGGATAGCAACATGGACCTAGCTTGTGATAGTCCACACCAAGGATGAATGAAGATGTTTTGGATAATGACTCAATACTGAACTCCTTTGCACAAATAACAACACTGAAAGCGTTTGGGACAACGTAGCAACAAGGTATGGTCAACAATCTCTTCTCAATTGCTTGTGATAGCAAATTTCATCTGGTTTGTGATAACCTTGGAACAGCATAATAAGAATGCACATGACAGTTTAGGAAACCACTAAAGTACCATTTTTCGTTAATAACAGATAGAGATTAGGTTTTATCTATGTGAGACTAGCGTTACAATTTGCTTGTGATAGCAAATTCCATATGGTTTGGAATAGCCATCGAACAGGTCAACAATATGCACATGACAGGTTACAAAATAGCTCAAGTACTATTTTTCATTAACAAAATATAGAAATTAAGTACATCTATGGTAGACTAACGTTACATTTGCTTATGATAGCAAATTCCACCTGGCTGGTGATAACTATGGAACAGGACTGTACGTATGAACATAACCGGACATACTATAACTTAAGGTTTACCTCAGCTGGGGCTCAAAGAAACTGACAGATGCAGTCAGAGGTATTGAATTATCCAATTTTTAGTATAATTTCTCGGACTGGGACATTCGTTGGTCACCTGAGGTCAGCAGTTTTTGGTGACCTGAGAAGAAGATCCCACATGCTAATCATCAAGAACCACTGGTGGTTTTCTTCTGTGGTGAATGCTTTGCTGCCGAATTGATGGGCTGTCGCATATTATACTCCATCCTACATGAATAGAATGGAGTGCTTCTAGTTTCCGCGTCTGGTCCAGATTGCGGGGAAACTATGGCAATTGTGTAAAGAGAGAAAATTTACTACCGCCGCGTCAAATATAAAATCTAAGAGTAATACTGATACAGATGAGCTTTAGCGTCAGTGGGACGTGGAAACGGAGTGGGAGCTACACCTGTCACCGTCCTGATTTTGGTCCAAGTATTCGCGGTGTTTCTGAAATTTCACTTCTAGAAGTAACGCAGGGATCTGATGGAGGGACCCAGGACGCCGCTCCCACTAATTCTGAAGCTTATCCTGGTTATCGTTACTGCAAAGCTGTCATTACAATCAGCATCGATAATCCATCATGTATTGTGCGCTTAGATTACGGTAGGACCTTTGTCGGGTAGAAATACATGTCTGGTTTTCTACCTTGAAATTTCTTACATCACATGTGATAAGAGATCAAGATATAATTGTTTGAGCTATCAGTCTTTTACCCAAAATATTACTAACGATGCAGACATAAGATGGTTTTTGAAGGGTATTTACAGGCTGAGGCCATCTCAACTGGAATATAGATACTGTGGTTATTCTCAAACAAGCAAAGGGGTTGATGGTAAGCTCTGTAGATATTTGAATGAGGAAATCAGCAACACTGGTAGCTCTAACCTTAGATCAGAGTGTGCAAACTAATTGAAACAGACATTCGGATTGGGTTGAATAATATTGAAATTGGGATTTCTCAGTTTTTGACAGTCTCGGGGTCACTCATGTGGCAACCACTTTTAGTTTTACCGTATTTTACGCCCAAATATCTGTGCAGTCAAAGTATTTATTTGTTATTGTACAGTAACTTTAACATGGTACCTCTGCTCCCAGATGGATGAAGTCGGTTTTAACAGAAAGAGTTACAACTGACAGCCCACAGTACATGAAATGCGTTTACCTATCCGCCTGCTAAATTATAGTAGTCTCAGGCTCGCGGCGGGCTGGAGTGCGTTTCCTGAGATACGTCACAAATCTCTTATGCCATCAATAGCTTTGCTCAAGCGGCATTTGAGGTGAACCAAGTTTACACATCTTAAACATTACTATGTTATTACGTTAATTGCTTATTACTATGTAATGGATGGTAATTTTTGAACCAGGTACGTCATATTACCTGTTGCTAAAGTATTGCTCACACGTCTTGTGTGCTGCGGCCCCGACTACATTATGCATGCTCGATGCTGTCCAGAGGCTTGTCCATCTGATCGATGAGTCTTATCTAACAGACAGGCTCGGGATCCTGCCGCGCCGGCGGGCCGTTGGCGATCTAGCCCTCTTTTACCGCTCCACCAACGGGCTTTGCTCCTCAGAGCTCCCCTCCATGATGCCGCCACGCGATGTGCCTACCAGACAGACCCGCCTGACTTCGGCCTCCCATCCTAGCCGAGTTGAACTTCGTACATCCAGAACTTGCCCATACGATCGCTCCTTTGTCCCTAAGGTGTCGAGATTGTGGAACAATCTACAAGAGGAGACTTTTCCCAGTTCTACTAACATTAGACAGTTCAAAAATCGGAATAACAAAGATTCTTTGGGATCCTCATAGCAGCCGCAGCGTCCTAGCATTTAGGCTTCTGCCAGGCCGGGTGTTTCATTGTAAAAACAAAAATCCGCACAGAAAAATCAAGGGTTTTTGCGAAGCTTTCTTAGAGGCAACCAGATTCTGCAGATACTTGCTGAGGCAATTTTACTTGCCTTGGAAGGAAACACGGTTTGTGAATAAAAAGGTGTTGTAAATATAACCGTTGTTGTACTTTCTTTGAATACCTGCAGATGATTTATTTACGAAACGAACTTGAGTGAAGCTCTACTATCTTAATGATATGCGAGCCTTTTGTACTTACTTTAAATACCTACAGCTGATCTATTTACGAACGAGGCCCGCATATATGTAATTGTTTGATTAAACAAACTTATATGAAGCTCTATTTTAATGATATGCGAGCCTTATGAATACCTAGTAAACCCGGGAGCGTGCAAGAACGTAGAACTTTGAAAAAGAATATGTACACCGCCGATAGGACAAGGTTGCACAATTGCCTTTTGAGATAACGTGTGGAATTCTATCGACAGTGCGATTAAGTGACATTGTCGTTTTTTCACATTATATAGTCTTCTGTATGTCCAAAACGACTCGCTCCACAATCACGCTCGATTTGAAAAATACAGCTATCATTTTTTTTCTCAACACATCGGGATTTTCTGACAGCTACCTCATTATCAAAGACCCAGGCTTTGTTTTGAGCCTTGGGCGGCACATCGTAATAATAGAGCCAAGTCTCGTCACCTGACACGATGCTGTTCACTTACCGAGATTGCCCCTTATCAAACATTTACAGCATCTTTCGGCACCAAGTCGTACGACGAGTCTTCTGCTCTTCCGTCAGACTATGAGGTACCCAGAGAGAACAACGTTTCCTTACGTGTGAATCTTCATGCAGAATTGAATGAATTGCTGGTGCATGAAGGTGTAAGGTCTCTATCTGTTGGTATGTCACTGTCCGGTCGTCGTCAAGCGCCTTCCCTCTCAGCGTACTCCAGAGTGAAATTGTCCCTTTGGAATTCTTTGTACCACCTGAATATAGTCGTATGATGAGTACAATAATTCGTTAATGCATGCGTCATTTCTTCCAAGCATTTAAAACACGTGTAAAGTTATACCGTAAAACTACCCTTATCTCACTACGTGACGATGCCATAGACCGCACTTTATACTGTGAATACTAATGAACAACTAAATTAATAGACGTGCTGCTGGTGGCTACTATGCACTCATGGACATGTCGCAACATGCAGCCTCCGGCGTCCGTTTGTTAAGTCATATTGAAAAACTTTTATAGTACCCTTTGTATTTCATTATCGCAATTTTCTGCAAGGCTAAAAAATATTAGCCCTGGACCCGCCGTTGACCTTTGCGATGTTGAGTGCTCTCGATCTACGAGCTTTCTAAATAAACTTGCAAACCAATTTCTTCAGACAATATTCGACGGCATCGACTACTTTCGTTTGAAGTGTTCTTCACAGCCAAATAAACTTACGGAGTTAATTTCAATAGACAATAGACTATACCTGTTATACCGAAGCATCCGCGGAGCTGGGCGAGAGTCGACCTGTACTACCAATTTCTCTCTCCCGCTCTTCATATGTACAAGCGTAGCAAAGCAACTGCTTCGAGGCGCAGCTAAGCGGCGCCCAGCAAAGAGAAATGTGTTTTGAGAATCATTAATCTTCAGGATAAAAGGAAATGGGTATAATTAAACGATTTCTCTTTAAAAAACCGTCTGTATTTCAATGTTTACTATAACAGGTCAGTGATTAATAAACCTTAAGAGCACTATTTTGATATATAATAACTCTCGTACACAAAAATATTTTCATAGTAAATTTAATGAAAAAAGTATCACATACATTCTATATCGGAAACGTCCTATTTACAGTAATTCCTTAAATATTCCTCAGAAAGAAAGAGATACAATTAAAAATAAATACCTAGCCGAGAAAATGAGTATCGAAGCTTTCGAAACTTTAACTTTTGACAAACATAACAAATCATCCACTTTTACAAAAACACTGCTGTTGGAGATGTATAAAACGATCAATGCTAAAACCGAAAATCAACATTAAAACGATAATTTAACTATCAACAGTCAGGTTAACCACAGCTTGTATGCTATAAAAACAGCAAAAGTTAGAAACAAATTTTAGCTGAAATTACACCAAGCCTTTTATTTAAAGACCGAAAGTATAGAGACCTTGGCAACATTTCATTTCACATAATCTCCAACTCCAAAACAATTCAAGTATTTCAGAATATACAACTGCAATGAATAGAACATACTATTTGAAATAAAATTTAATTAAAAGAGATTACAAAACCGTCAAGATTTCTACCCGTTTTGAGATCACTTGGATTGTTTTGGACATGATAGATCTATAAATCTATATTTAAATTCGTAAGGATGTACAAAATGGATATTGAGAACTTGTAGCAAACACTGTAAAAATGAGGGAAAAGTATTCCTAAATGTAACACCTAGGAATTTCTTATCTTTGATAGTTATTACAATGAATTTTCAGCCATTTACATAGAAATTCAGATTTGTTCAGCAAAATAATGTGCGAATCAGTAAACCAAATTTTATTCGCATTAGAACATGTATTCTCATTATAAATATGCACTGATAGAATCCACTCAAGCTTTGTTTTAGGTAACAAAGAAACACATTCTTCAGCAGTTAACCATTATATTATCTTGAAAAACAATTCTGAAGTCCTAGTATACACAAAATTAGATGTTCCTTTTGGAAAAAATCATTTGCAATATTGGTATCCCCTATAAACGTTTTCTTTATAGTATAATTAAACCTTTAACTGCATGTATTTTCGTCGCGTTTGCTATCATAGCCATGTTACGATATCAGTTGTTTTAGCTATAAAAACAAAAGTATAGGTAAAAAATATTAAAAATGTAAAAATTTACAAAACACTTTAGTTTTAATCACACCAATGTCTCAATTAGCTATGATAGCATGTTATAAATCGTCTCAGCGTGGAAAGATAAGAGTCGCTTGATTTGACAAAAAGCTCCAAAAATAGAAGAGAATAATGTAAAACTTCGTACACTACTGTTAACGTGGTGTGTCTTTGAGTATGGTGAGCAGATGTACGCTGAAGCAGCTATCTTTTTTACAACTGAGCGATTCACCACTGAAGTGAGGAGACACCCATATGATTCGAGTGTCAAAAGGAACGCTTAAGTGACGTTTATTGATAAGTTTAGTATTTCTTATAAGTATAGTCTTCAGAACGTCAGATTTTAGTGTTCTGCGACATTATCGGTACGAATCGAACATTCTCCAACCAACATTTTGTAAACACATTTAATCAAAATATTTCAAACATCCAAACGAATGATTTCAAAATCGCTGTACCGACACGTTCGTCCTCAATAGGCGGAGAAGGGAAGTAACAAATTTCGTCTCAATATGACAAATAGAACGCATCAACATAAGAAGTAACTTGAAGGGATGTGAGATTATCTAGAAAAGCATGCAAAAGGAAAACGGCTAAATACGTGAAGAGTGGCGTACGAAGTGTTATGATACTCTCTTCGATTTTAGTACTTGACTGTAGTAACAATTCTCTAATGAGTTTTGACCTGTAATCTGTGTAGTTTTTAAAAATCACTTGGTAAGTGGTAACCAAATTGACGTTTTACAGTCTATTATGTGTCATTATGATCAGTTATAGAAAACGTCATTTCCACAACTTTTGAGTACACACGATTGAAGTAGTACTCGAAATCTAAATATTGGTATTTTCTGTAGTTACTCAAGAATTTACCTCAACTCTTTCAACAAAGCTGGCATGACCCCGACGACATATACTTTAACATGTTTCCCTGAGCGCGCCCCACCCAGCCCTAGTCAAGTGTGTCTGAGTTTGCTATGAATGTTTGTTAGGGCTGCGTCGTTGACTATGTTGCTGTGGTTTGTGCGGGTTGTGGAGCGTGCAGCGCCATGTGGAGTCCCTGCTGCAGCTCAGGGGTGAGCTGTTGCACTACGGTTTGGAAGAAAGACTCGTTAGACTGCACCTGCCGCACGATGTTCAGCATTCGGAATCCTTCTGGTTTGCTGGCTTCTACTACTTCTCGGAAGAAGGCTTCGGCAATTATTGTGATTATACGAGGGATGTTTGCGTTATTTGGGCCTAAAACGTCAATAACGAAGATACATTGTAAAGTGCTATTAGCGAAAAATCATATTTCACTAGAACATTATTAAAACCAACCAAAATATTTAGACATAGTTAACAGCCTATAAATGCTTAGTGGTTTATTTTATTATACCTGAAGACTGACAGCCATTTTGAGTCAAAAAATTATCACAGATGGAATGAGGTACCATAGCGTCATTTATAAGAATTCATACACAAGCCATAGGTACATTTCTCCTCACTATGCTGATTAGAAATCCACTTTGAAAACATTAGTGCCTGTTGATTCTTTTGGCCGTTCTACTAAGGTGTCTCGCTGATAGTAGATAGATTAGGAATACTAATATGAGGTCTTAAATCAAGTGATGAGATTGGCAACGTAACGTTCGATCTGGCAACACTGGAGGCGCCGGGCTTAGAGAGGAGACAGGGGGACATGTGATCCGCCTGCAGTACAAGTTTGAACTCGCTTGAGTCATTTGGTTGTCCGTAGCGTTTTTTTTTGTTTTTTCTATTCTGTTCTAAAAATCAATGACATCAATTTCGAGCAATGGTGTGCTGGTTTTGGTTCAAAATTGGGCACAGTGCAACAGAAACTACTGCTAAACTTTACCAGGCCTATGAAGATAGTTTTGTAACCGACCAGCTGAAGGCTATTCCAGTATCGGAGTTCCAGTACTGCTACGCGTGGAAGAACCGTTTTCATAGACAAACTTCCGCGCATAGAGGCAGATTGCATAGGTATGTGTGAGGGAGATGGATATATAAAAGTTTTGCTAATGATTTTATATGAGCCGCCTAAAACCGTTAAATGAACTTTAGTTGCACCTGTGTTCTTGCGGCAACGTGAGGCCGAGCGTTGCCGTGAAGCAAAGTAACGTCATGCAACCAACACGGACAAATGCGAGAAAAAAGTGATGGCAGCTTAGTGAAAGAGTGACCCAGATTGTCCGAGGTTGACCAGACGCCACGTGACAGGACGCGCAATCGGTTCTTTAAAAATGACACTCGTGCCTAGTCTGCGCTGGCAAGTAAGAATATCTAGATAGGTAAGAGTCATTCTCTTCCTCCGTTCAGAACCTGCTATGAACTTTTTCAACTGCCTGTTGTCGTTTTTATCTCTCCATGTCTTCCTCTAGCTCCTAGTCTAACCCCCTGATCGACCCTCATTACCCGGCATTCCACAGCAGGGTTATGTTGGTTAACTTTGAACAATTTGATCATGAGCACCACCAATTCAGAAAACTAACATGGATGTAATGAAAGGCGGAAAATAGGAATAAAACGGAACTAAAAAGCTTACCTAAAATATGTAGGTTATTCTGTTCAATAAGGTCACATAAATATCCATATACATGTGGCGCTTCATCTGCATCTTCGACAACTGGTAGCCATGAGAACCACAGTGGTAAAAGTTCATCAACATTTATCTGAAACAAAATTAAAATGCATCTTTACATGGTCATTCCAATAAAAAATATTTGAATATCCAGAACCACTTTCTTATAAACGAATTTGACACCAAAGTTAGCAATTGCTTTCCAAAATAGTTTAATACATATGTGACACTTAAATTACAAATTATTAGAAAATTTTACAGTTCAATACCTGTGAGCTATTATATTTCATAATTTTAGTGACAGCAGCAATTGCGTTTTCGGTAGCGTTGACGTTCCTCGCATCCCTAGCTTCCGGGTCATTGATTACTTCTACTAAAGCAGGCACCGCTTTGGCCACTTCGGCAGCAAACTGATCACCGCCATGTTGAGCTAGCACGCCCCAACCGTACGCCGCAGCTTGTCGTACTTCGCTGCTTTTGTCTTTCACATACACCGCCAAAGGTTGTAGGAAGTACCTGGAAAATAAAAGTGATAACAAATTAGTACTTCCATCACTCAAAGAAATCACATTGAGGTTACTGGTTCCCTCATCATTTGGGGGAATAAGGTGCCACGCTAGTCTTAGCTCGTTTGTTTTGATGTTTTTCATAACAATGATTGGGAAATGTTGGTTTATGTCAAGTCACATGAAATGTCATACTTTGGTTCTGGTATGGTAAGGGAGACAACAGACCAGATAATGCAATACATGAATCTAGCTTCATCTTAAGCCTTTCCTGCTCTGTTATTAATTGGAACAATATTGTTTCATCTTGGTGTCCAGGATTGACATTGTCATTTCAGGTAAAGCATGTCCCAATGGGTACCTTGTTCAAGTTAACCATTATTTTTCAATGACTTCACCTAGAAACTTTATACCATGCATCTGTCAATCAGCCACCTGGCAATTCGATTAATTATGGATCTTTTTGTCACAGAACATGTATAAAAATTTTGTAAACTTATTAAATACTTCTTTCATTTTTTCTTGGAGATCATGATGGTGAAACCGCAGTAGGTTCAGAGACTTTTTATGCACCCCACTCAAACAATGTGCACCTGTGGATAAATTTTGTATAATACGTAAAAAGTCTTAAAACCTATTCTGCTTTCACCGTCATTTTCCTGAAAAATACTAAAAGGATTTTCCATCAACAATTGATACCTAATCGATTTATCCGGTCTCTAAATGACACATGCAGGGTATAAAAATACAAGTTTAAAAATGGCGCTTGTTGAATATACTTACCCTTGGTATTTGGCACAAGCGGGTCCGGCGAACTCTATAACGTCATCAAAAACGCAAACTCCCCATTGCCTGTCTGCCCATCCTCTGTTAGGCGCCAACAGTTGGACGAAATGATTGCACACGGTGTCGAAGGCAGGCAAAAATCTCTCTCCAAATATCACAAACATCGAGTGGATCACGTCCGTTATCTTGCATAGCACATAGATGTCGTCTGATTCTTCGTCTTCTAACTGTTCTTGGACCTCCTGCAAAAAATATAGTTAGATTGAGAAAAATGGTATAGTATAACAGATTTTAACATTGATTAATATATTTCACTAGAAGACTCCATCATCTCACGGTTACTGAAAAAAATGTTACCACAAGAACTTGTAAGGTTGTCAGATATGAAAAATTTAAAAAGAATATTCATCTATTGTTAATGCACTTAGAACCATATGAGCTTCGATAATATTCTGAAATGTAAAATCTGTACATGTTATGTGTTTGCCTTTTTGTTTGTTTCACTCGTATTCGTTTTTTGTCTCGACGCTGAGACATATTTCACCTAACAGTCTGTAAGACACAGTAATGATGCACTGTTCTTTTTAAATAAAGATTTATTATTATTACACAATTCAATTGAAAACTGAGTCTGCGAGCGACAGGAGAAGGCGATACGCGACCAAGACCAAAATGCTTATCTCTAGCGTTTCATATCAACTAATTACTATGCATAAACTTTAAGCTGTCAGTGGACACTTCCACTGAACAAATATCTGGGAATAAGTCATCAATGCAAATCCATCATTCCTTCAAGAAAACAGCTCCAAAAATTCATAAAGCACATCAAATCAGAATTGTGACTGAAATCCTATCAAGCGCAACAAAATATCTAAAAGCACTGAATAAGTTTTGTCTTCGTCGCGCGTCTACGATTTACAGAAAAATGTGTCGAGGAGAAGATCATAACTGCATTTACCTCATCATAGTCCTCATCCAGATGTTTCTTATGCCTGTCAGTAGCTCGTTCGAAATGTTCTTGCATGAGCTTGTCAACAATGCGGAGTATCTCCTGCACTGTGGCTTCATCGACGTATTGCGCGCCAAGTTTTTGCAGGCATCTAGCTAGCGAATCTAACATCACCATCAGTACTTCACTTTCCGGCTCGGTATCGATTGCTTTTAGGAGTTCTGGGCATATGAAACGCCACATGTCGCCAACGAAAGCAGGGCCTAAGTAGAATAGAAACTGTATAAGAAAAAAGTCTAACTACTTTAGATTTCAAAAATAAATGGTGGGTTAGCAATAGTTGAATACTTATAGTCCTCTATGTTTGTCTGCCGCTAAATTAAATCCCATGTTAGAATTACTGATTACCGAGACAACGTTTCAGACGCCACGGTGGTCTTTTTCAAGTACAAATGACATATTTTGTTTATCTGTCTTCCAGTTTTTTTTTTTCATTTCTCATTCCTATACAGTGTCTTACTACAATAGTATAAAGAGTCCTGTAACATGTTATGATTGTGCAAAGCCATCAATCCAATTTTAAGATGGCATGGCACAAAACCAGTTAAATACTTGACAAATTATTATAAAGTACACCACAAAAGTGCACTGAAAAGTAAGACACAAATTGCCAAAAACGCAGAAATCTGAAGATGGTTAAGACTCAGGCTGCTTGGCAGAATGATTTAATAAACCTAATTTTATTTTGCTTCAATTTACATCATGTACAAGTATTCTGATAATAGAACGTGCGTCTAGATTGAAGCTACTATTTACAATACACACCTTTGCATGTAGCACATTCCAACAGCCAGGGTAGTGATTCAGAAGCTGCATTCCTTACACCATCATGAAAATAAAATTTTAACATCGGCACCATTAATTTAACCGTTTCTTCAGCATAGTTTGCGAATCCTTCTTTCAATTCCTTAGCATAGCACACCAACATACTACAAGCTGCTGCCTTATCTTCCAAGCCTAAGAAATAGAAAAAATCAGGAAATAAACTCAAAAAATTCTAAAAAGATGTAAACTGACCTGCAGTACGAATGCCAAAGTTTTTCTGCTCGCCAAGTGATACGAACTGCCAGTCTTCATCTCCCTCAATACTTTGCATATCATCGTTGTCTAGTAAAGCCACGTCAGGTTTCATCGCGGCCGTTCTCATCACCGGTCCCATTACTAAAGGCAGATATTGCTCAAAGCTCTTACCAAGAACCTACAACAATACATGCAAAAATCAACGCCTATGTCCATCGTCAAGGAAATGCAAAAGGTAGCATTTCAGGTGTTATACAGGGTGGCTAATATATAACTGACTGATTTAAATTGCGCGCCATTTTTGATACACGCATTTCAGTTGGTGGCGCCGTAGAAGTTGTTTAAAGCACATGTGTTCAATTCATCATGGAGCGCTACACGATTCCACAACGCGTCCGTATTGTTGAAACGTTTTACTTAAATAAGTAATCGGTTGTTGCAACGATTCGGAAGCTACGACAAGATTTAGGTTGAAATAATGTGCCCAGTATCAACACCATTCGTCAGTTGGTGTGGACATTTGAACAAACAGATGAAGTTAAATACTTGCCAAGGTCGGGCCGTGTTCGAACTGTTCGTACTCCGGAAAATATCGAGAGAGTTCGTGAAAGTGTAGTGGAGCGCCCTGAGACGTCTACCAGACATCGTTCTCAAGAACTGGGTATTCGTCGCACGTCCTTATGCACTATTTTAAAAAAAGACCTGCATTTTTGGCCATATAGAATTCAGTTGACCCAAGAACTACAGCCTAGTGACCATGAAAATCGCCGACAATACAGTCATGCAATATTGCAGCTTGATACCCAAAATAACGATTTTTACCGACTACTGATAATGAGCGATGAAGCCACTTAGATATGAATGGATTTGTTAATAAGCAGAATTGTCATATCTGGGCATTAGAGAACCCTCGTGTCATTCATTAACGACCACTACATCCTCGTCGAGTCACAGTTTGGTGCGGTGTTTGGTATGGAGGTGTCATTGGACCTTACTCCCTTGAAAACACTGCAGGTAATTCTCTTTCTGTGATTAGAGAGCGCTACCGTTATATGGTGCAAAACTTTCTGGCTCCTCAAACCTAACAATTTAATCTGCAAAACATGTGGCTCCGGCAGGACGGAGCAACAATATCTCCGGGACGTTTAAGTGATGTCAACTGGCCACCAAGGTCGCCGGATTTAACGGCTCCTGATTTTCGAAAAATAGGGTTTATGCCAACAAACCAAATACTGTAGGCAGCTGAAACTATTCCATCCGAAAACTATCAAAAAGTGATGGAAAATCTAATCAAGAGGGCTCAGAGGCTTCTGGAGGCGGACATTTGTCTGATGTTATTTTTCATACATAATTTCAAAGTTTCAATAAAAGCTTAAGATGGAAAAAATTGACGTATTCTATTTCATTTCACAAATATTCAAGATACAAACCAGTCAGTTACATATCGGCCACCCTGTATAACATAGCTATTGCTACTTTTGAAAGTGGTCAATTGCATCAGTCAGCAGACTTTTTGCGATTTTTGCGCTTTTCTGGTAATCTAACCGTAAAATAGGTATATTTATATCTCAAAAAATTTAAACAGTGAAGGTTTTTGGTCAAAATTTCAGTTGGTTAAAGTGCAAATACAATAAAGGCTGACAGGCAGAGTGCATGCGAGAGGTTAAGTATGTGAAATCTATTGAAGAATCTATGTTTAGACCTTACAACAAGACAAATAGTTGAAAGTGAGAAACTTGTACTTAAGGCCCGTATCGTCAGTCGTCCCTACAATTGTAGGGCGCGTTTATGGCCTCCTTGATTGTCATACTCCTTTCTCTCCTTCAAAAATTTCTAGATTACACTTGTCCCGTGTCAGCGTCAGCGCTCTCCTATTGTGAAGATATGTTTTCTTTTTAAATTGTAGGAAATTTCAGGCTGATAAAACATGATATAACTCAAAAGCAAGCACAACTTGATGCAAATAGATGTTGTGACATAACCTCAAAATAGAGTTCTGGCACGGAGAAGTAGAAAACTATGACAATCAAGGAGGCTATAAAGGCGCCCTGCAATTGTAGGGGCGACTGACGATACGGGCCTAAATGTACAAAATAATTTCTAATGACGTCAAAAAGTTATACTCGTATTAAATGTGGCTGGCCGTGTAACGCTATAACAGAATACCGGCGCCAGTTTTTCGCTTTTGCCGAAAGAGATTCCATAGCAGTTTTTGCGATAGATGGAAGCAATTAAAACGAGTCAAATATATACCTTGCATATCCTAGACCAGGCCGAAATGAGATAGCTCGTCTGTGGATCGTCATCGGGCAGATCAGCGCCATCGCCGTGCGTTTTCAAAAGCATGTCCATTACTTCAGTTGCATCGGCGCTAAACTTCTCCGGACCTACCGCTACTCCTATCAGTGTCACACATTCTATCGCTTTGCCTCTTAGCAATTTTAATTCTTCTTTATTAGCATTTTGTATGATGTATTTTAAGCAAGGCATTAACCTGTCATAATAAGCAATAAACTCGTTTTCGGCCGTATCAGCGACGCTGGCTATTGTTGTTACTACTTGTTCTAGAACCAGCTTCGTACCTGAAATAAATATGAATAATTGATATTACCATATAATGAAATGTATAATCATAAACGTAATTTTAGACAGCGTGTTCAGCTGATAAATACATCACTTTAAAAGAAGATCGTCAATAGATCTGTGCAAAGGTGGCTTGTACAAAGATATTCTTAGTGAAGCTAGCTCCCTTTTGCTGAAGAAGAAATGCCTTTACGATGGACATTCCAGAAAGATAATGAGCGCAAGCATACCTCAAAATTCGTAAAGGACTGGTTAAGACTAAAAAATGTTAATGTTCTTTCATTGCCTTCGCAATCCTCGGACCTAAACCCTATAGAACATCTCTGGGAGCATGTTAAAAAACAACTGACAAGAAAAACTTTTAAAAATAGGAACGATTTATTTGATTATGTAAAAAACATTTGGCAAAATATCCCAACAGACGTCTGTAAAAAATTGGTGTCTTCTATGAGCAGCAGATGTCAGGCAGTGTTGAATGCTAAAGGTTATGCTACAAAATATTAGCTAACCAGTATTTTTTAAATCTGTTTGTAGAGTTATTGTATTTAATTTTTAATGAAAAATATGTTTCCATACTTTTGTGTCTCATTTTCGGTCATAAAATAATATGGAGGTATTTTAATGCTAGTCTGTAGTACCACAGCAAACACAAATTGTCATTTGTATCCTCAAGACTGCAAGCAAACTATATGAGAAAAAAAATAGTCCTTATTAATAAAGAATAAAAAATTAGCACACTTTTTAAAAATTACTAAGAATGTTTCCAAACTTCTGTCCGCTACTGTATGTAAAAGTTGGTTATCGATCGCAATTTCATAAAAAAACTCATCACTTCGACCTTATGCTTTAACGTTAGTCAGACAGTGAGTTTTCGCGTTACCTAAAATGTTGCCGTTAAAAAATCTACAAATGATATAAACGATGTTTCAGACAAATCAACCACTTACCCTTCTCGACCAATTCCTTGAACTTAGCTGTCAATATGCCTTCGAGTTTCGCCATCATAGGGTCCAAATAGCCGCTGAGCACGTGCTTGGGGCAGTCCTCTGCGAAGTTGACCAGTGCAGCCCCGGCATGCGCTTGGACTCTTGGGTGTGCATCGTCATCCAGTAGAGCTAGAAGAGCCGGAACTACAATTGCATGGAATTTCTTCTCAAAGGAAGGCGCAAAGTCGGTTGACATTTGACCTACCGCGTTACAGGCGGCGTACCTTACACGAGGGTGCGGGTCTTGTGTGTACCTACATACAGAGAGAAATTGAAGATTAGACATCACTTATGAAAGCAATCTATATACTGTTACACACTAATTAGTCTAATCATATTAGACGAAAATACCACTGGTTTACGAAATAATTGTCAGTGTGGTTTTATTGATGCAAGTTGTTCAAGGGGGTATTTAAATCATGGATGCATAAAATGGGTACACTAATTTTTGTGGGAAAACTTATTATTCAACAACAAAAAAATAGAAAACGTATTTTTTGGGATTCAATCGAAAATGTTGGCAGGAACGAAAAAACTCTTTATATAAGATTTTTAGGTATTTATGAGGCCCACAGAATGATACCACACGTAAAAATATACTAATAGTAAAAAAGTTATGGTCAAAAACCGATGCAAAATACAGATTTTAGCGGTAATGCGACAATAGTTTCATTCTTCAAATTCGTGGGCTTCACACTTCTAAATAATGACAAAAAAATTGGAGTCGATTGGTCAAGTAGTTTTTGAGAATTTCTAATTGTTTGGGAGTAGTTTAGGCAAATATCAGCAAAATGTGGACTATCTAGTACCTGAGCAATCTATCCGATTGCGTTTTTTATGTAATAACCACATGGATATATCGAATCGCAATTGAGTGTCTATGTGATAAGATCCAATCCAAGCTTCACAGTATAGGTTCAATTTAAATAAAAAGAGAACTGTTCTCGTTTAGACTGTGCCAACGCGAAAACAGGACAAAATTGTGAATACAATTACCTAAGTACACCGTCCATAACGCCAGGTACGCCCTCCATGATCTGTGGCAGCATACTCTCCATCTGCTTGTGACAGCCCTCGCCTATGGCACTGAGTGCCATCAAAGCTGCATGTCGCTGTTTCCAATCGGGATTCGTTAGCATAGCTGGTATGCTTTGAGTCACCAACGGTAAAATCACTTTACCACCTATTAAACAAATTTCACAGGTCAAGCAACACTTGAAAAACACTTAACCGCAGCAACAATAGTGAATATGTATAACTAAATCAGTATGCACAAGGAACTTAGTTTGACACGGAGCTGAGTAGATTTGTTTTGACAATCCACTTAAAATCAATAAATTATAATATAATGGATGCAGACTACTTGTCCGAGTGTTTAAAAAGGATTGAAAAAACTAAGTAACACTAGCCTACACCCGCGCTCCGATCGCATGGAAGTAGTGTGAAGTATGAGCCATTCATTTTGCATTAGTGTGAACGAGATTGATTTTGCAGAAAGAAATGCAATATTCATGGTAATGCAAGACTATCACATTAAGAGAACGAATGCCACTGAATACAGATGCAAATAACCTATTTATAGACCCTTAGTCATGTCAGTCCCACCAGTGACTGAGTGCTTCCTTGCCACACACCTCAGGTCACATTCCATCAAACCACTCGGTCTGTAGCCCACAAAATAGACGTTTCAAAGTTATTTTCTAGGATGAGAAGTGGCCTTATGTGTTCTTCTAGACTATTATAATCTATCTTCATCCAAACTTCATTCATATCCACTTTCTCATTTATAATATTAGATGTGACTAGTGGCTTATTCAACGTTATTCTGCACAACTGCTCGGTTCTAATTGAGTGTCAGTTTTTGGCAGTAATATGAATCTTTGTTTCCCCAAAATTAGAATACTATACCTAAACCGCAAGCAAGTCTGTCCAATGCTGCCTCGGCAACCACGTTGTTACAATCGTTATCTTCGTCTAATAGCTCGTCGGATTCAGCCCAACCATCCTCTTCTTCTAAGTCGGTCATAAACTGGAGTATCAAAGGTACCAGTTGTTCCATGTACCTAGCGGCGTTTTTGCGCACCATTGCTGGCGCCATCTCAGCCAGGGTTACCATCACCTAAGACAAAAGTTTCTCGATAACAATTGTACTTCTTAACTACAGAGCTTTATCGCTCGCCAAATTGACACGTTTTTCGCTATGGCACGCTGTTGAGGAGAATATTAAAACTACAGTTAACTAACTTAGCAAAACACGCGTTGTGCGTTTGAACAACCAATTTGGTGCAGTAATCATAATCGATAAGTCAAAGGATTCAACATTGCATCTACCCGGATACAAAAACAAGTTTTGCTTGTCGAACGCCATAGAAAAAAGATCCATATTCACTAATGTTTTATTCAAAGCTCATATAAGCCGCGTCTTAACGAGCGCGATGTTCAATTAGCCAGCGGACCACAAATCCTTCGGCACGCAGCGACAGGATAATAGATGCGGTGATCGAGTGCTCGTGTTTATTTTGAGACGGCGTAAATGAGATTTCTAAGGGTTTAACTTTATTTGTATGTGAATTACCTCCAATGCCAACTGTCTCCAGCTATCAAGTGCACTTGCATCACTGAATATCTTCATGCACATGTCATAAATGGGCACCAGTTGAGGCCTCAAGAATTTCGGAGCATTTTCAGCTAGGTCTATCAGCACTTTCAGTAGGGTGTCGTCATTCTGTTGTTGAAAACTCTCAGCTGAAAGAGAAAGACATGAACTCATGTGAATAACAAACAGTAACTGTTGCCTCCAAAAAGAGCATGGTTATTCAATTCCGTGCACTGTTCAAGTTGAAGATAGAAAACAACAAACACGTAACTGCTCAGCAACAGGTGGTACCCAGCAGTGGACAATGCGTGAATTCAATATCAATCGGTAAGCCGCAAGTGTGTTAATTGGATATACCAAAATGATATATCCATAAGTTCTGATGATATAAGATGTAACCCAGAGCACACAGAATTGAATAGTCCAGTCCAGCTCTTGCTAACATGACAATGTTGTAAGTAACTTACACATAATTCTTATATAAATGAATAAAATGACCACTAATGTATTAAAATAAAACTATTTTCCGTAAAAAATAATCAAAATATAACATTTCATCACTTACCTATTACATGCAACATTGGTGCTAATAATTCCGCGTAGTGTCTCAACACCTGAGGCTCCTTGTCGTTGACCAAAACAAAAGCACCCACTGCTCTAACGGCTTGGAATCGGACCTCATACGCCTCTTCTGGTCTCAAACTTTGAGCCAACATCTGCCTAATGAGGTCCAGGTAATTGGCTTGTTGGTTGCCAAACACTCCAGGGACGCTGGCGAACATTTGCAAGGCCGTTTCTTTCAATGCCGAGTTGGGGGCATTGGCACAGTGGAATAGGAACTGTATATGAAAAAAAAAATGGTGTCTAGTAGACTACATTGACATATTATAACTATTTTCCACTCTCAACGACGAGTTCTACACATATACAGGATGTTCCACATAGAACTGCAGCAATAAACTAACTAGAGTTGTGGTAAGACTGTTTTTGGATTATAGTAATACACTTTCTATGCACAAATTGCAGAAATATTTATAAACATAAAACAATTTGCTGTTGACTAGTATCAAGTCCTATGCCATTTTTTCAACTTGAAATATCCATTTTTGTTGATCTATTTTCACAGCTCATAAAAATGCAAAATGTATTGCTTTATTGTTAATGTTCTGATGAAGTTCTAAATTTTTGTTTGATTGCCTATCCCCTTTGACCTGCTTTTTCACGTTCTCTCTCTCTCTCTCAGTCGGTGTCGCTCTCTACGTAAATAATAACTCCTCTACATCTACTCACCTGCAAAAACTCCGGCCACTGATTATTCCCATCGTCATCAATGAGGTTCCTGGCGACCTCAGCAGCTACCTCGCAAACCTTATGTCTCAGTTGTTCGGTGGTCTGCAACTGTTGTACAGCTAGCAAAACCCGTTCTTTGAGCTGCACCTGCGCCTCAGGCGGCAGCTTCGGATAGAAGTCCATGAAGTCATTTGCGAACACCCGGCGCAGCAACACTGCTGACATCTGACGGGCCTCGTCACCCAGCTGGGCATTGTGGATGGCATTCAGGAGGTGGGTTACCTTTGTCTCCACTGGGAGATTGGAGTAGGCTTCCTGATGAAAGATTATGACAATAGAATAAATTGTTGGTTGAATATTGGAATACAAAAATGGCGTCAGGTAGGTTGACTGCACTTCCCACGCAACGCCGGTATCAGTTCCTAAAAGGGTAATTAGTCTATGGACATTCTTTCCCTGCCCTACCGGAAGTCCATCTGGCAACGTCGCATCACTCCGATACCTAACCCCATACACCCTATTTCACGAGTATCCATCACGGAACAATGACAACTAGTTATCTAGTAATATACAGGACACATAATTAATTCTAAGGGATCTGTGAACTCCAGGTAGACAGACCCGTATTTTGTTGTGATTCTTTGTATGCTACAGATTCAGTTGAGAGAAGAAACGCTACAAGCACAATGGCTGCTAATGACCATAACTACATTTCAAGTCAGGTAGGAATGAAATAAGATAAACAGTTTTTGACTATATTAATTATATCTACTTTTTAGAACTTGAAACACCATATGATCATAAAGGGCAATGAAACAGCCATACATTCAGTTCAGAATGTGTGCCAGTATATGACCAAGTTGATAGAGGTTCAATTCTCTCAATTAGGTCATTCTGACAAGTAATCAAATAGAAAAATGTAATTGAGTATTGCAGGAAGTCATGAAACGTACACAACTGGGACAATGCAGTGTTCGTGAATTCAGGCATGAGCAAACTGTTGAGATTTCTGCGAAAATCCAAAGGAAACGCAAACGTAGTTTATAATTTTTTCAAAGAGAATAAGATATTCATAAGTATATACCAAGTCTTTGCCATCATTACATATAAAGGGAATGGGAAATTCCATGAAGTATATTTTATTTTATTTTGCTGTTTGAGTGGTATCATGCATTTGATATATCACAATAATATGGCAGGGTGATGGGTGGGGGGCGTAATTTTGGGTTAATGATTTGCTTTGATGTGATTAGTTATGTGCTTTTGATGAATTACATTACACTGATGACAGACAATAAACCAGAAATACATGTCTATATTATTTTTACAGGTAAATTTACAGCTTCTGGAAAGGACTATGCAACCTGTTCTATTGACATGCCATGTAATCAATAAATCCCACATATACTATAATAATATTCTAATACTCTTTTCTATATCTGTACTTACATTTTATTGATGTCGCTTTTGTGATCAGCTGTTCACCTCAAAGCATGATGGATACTCGTGAAATAAGGTTTAGGAACACTATGCGATTCGTGTAATACCAGAACATTAACTAAGGCTGGCGGAACGCCGCCGGAAGCAGTAAGAGACGCGGCCGATAGATCAAAAAACTGATATATACCCTATCCACCCCCTATAACTCCCAGCCTTAAATTTTTTACCTCTAATTTTTTTCATGATATGGATCCTCAGAAACGTCAATACACGAAATATGGGCGATTTTTTTTCGTTTTTGGCCTGTTTCTCCCAACGATTTTAAAAAATGTTCGTCCTGGCATAGTAATATCATTGTAAAAAAATAAGTCCATCAAAATCCGAACGGTACTTCTCAAGTCATACGCGGTTTAGGATTAGCGGACAGATAGACCAACAGACCGAAGTGAGTGACATTGTTTTTTGTGATGTACATGTCATGTAACATCAAAAGAATATATTTTATTTTCGAATTCTTGAAACCTGATGTAACTGCCTGAGTCTCTCCTGTTTAGAATGGTGATTCCAGAGATGATTAAATCAATAAGATTGAAGATCTAAATATAACTACTGGCTATGACTGTAGGACCCTTAAATCAATGAAAACATGTAAAAGAAAGATTTGTTTCGAGAAAGAAAAATATCCATTTATAGTTGACACTGAAAGACTATATACTATATTCACAGTTACAATGTGCAAAGTGCAAAATATAACCAAGGTTATAGCATATTTTAGCCGGAATCAGTTGATTTAAATGATCATTTATTAAATGTAGACTGTCTTCTCCAATAAGTTAGAGTGTTTATGATACTTGCATAGCTACTTTTTATATCCAGGTTGTTACTAATAGATCTTTTTCATGAAAAATGCTGTCAGGGATCTATGGAGCAGCGGCTATAGGTAGTTAAACAAAAATCACATTGTATCATTGCCTTTTCATAGTTTATTTGTATTTTTATTCCTCTCTCTGTCATTAGTATTAATTTCCGTTTTCTTTTGTAACCTCCACCTAAAGGCAACCCAGAAACTTATAGGATGACAATTACATGACAATGATTCTTATAGGTATCATGATATTATTGTGAATGTCAATTTGCTACTTGCAGTATCCATCTATCTGTAATAAGCAAGTTACAACTTTATACATCATGTTGAGCCACACACTCTCTCCAAGGTAGACTATATTAGGTGACCTTGACATCACACAAACCAGATTATGAACTTAACATATTCAGATATTTCTCTTTCAAAATGATTTAACATATTACATTCATCAATAAAAAACAGAATTAGAAATAATGTTTTTAGTTCAGCTTCTTTAGTTTTGCAAACACCTGGAAAGTACCCAAGTACTCGAAGGGGTGGTTTCAGCTATTGTTAAGATTACATTATTTGCATTTTTGAAAGGACAATTTATTCTCCAAACTGATTCACTTTTCCTAAAAATTAACGCACCACAAAAAAAATAATTGTGCAGCTTAGACAATTTTTTGCGAGTGTAACGTCGTATTTATGGGATTTTCTGAATATGTTTTATAGTCAGGTACCAAGACACATCGTGCGGCCATTAACGTTTTGTACATTTACGAAACATTTATATTTCATATACTTTTCAATCCTTCCTATTACAAGAAAAAACATGTGTAAGACACAAAAGGTTAACATCTTAAATTTACATTTTATTGAAGCTAGGCAATACAATGCCTCAGGCTGCTCAAATTTCTATAATTTACCTAATGGAACCGATTCCAAGTCATGCCCATCATGAAAGCTGCATCTGACTCCTATAGGTTGTGTGTCTTGCCAAGTAATTCAATACTTGCGAAACCGGGTACAAACGGAGTACTCAATGCATCCCTATTCACAACTATTACCATTATTTATCGTATGGTGAGGATCTTGATTAACACATAGAAATACATGTGTGTACTCCAAAAACAAGTTTGCTTTTTTTGTTCTCATAGTCAATATTTACACTTCCTGGACTTCTAATTTTAATATTTTCGTGATTACAATACTTAGTCGCCCAGTGTCATGGGAAGTAAAAAATATGTTCAGAGACGGATCGCCTATCTTAGGTATTCAATCTGACTGACGTATAAAAGTATAATAGCTAGTGACGCGGCGACTAGGTTGGCGCGACGTTATCTATATATGAGTGCTATACTTGGAGTGTAATTCAATGAGGTTATTTGACGTCATAACCTAATATTATTTAGTATAATATATGATGATGTATCAAGAGCTATTACAATCAATTATTATCAAAAACTGTTGGCAAGCTCACTCATCGCTGCAATCTGAGGATTTTTTTTATGTTAAGCTTAAATAGTGGTCCTTATGAAACCTATGTCTTAAATAGCTAGTGACGCGGCGACTAGGTTGGCGCGACGTTATCTATATATGAGTGCTATACTTGGAGTGTAATTCAATGAGGTTATTTGACGTCATAACCTAATATTATTTAGTATAATATATGATGATGTATCAAGAGCTATTACAATCAATTATTATCAAAACTGTTGGCAAGCTCACTCATCGCTGCAATCTGAGGATTTTTTTTATGTTAAGCTTAAATAGTGGTCCTTATGAAACCTATGTCTTAAATAGCTAGTGACGCGCGACGTTATCTATATATGAGTGTTATACTTGGAGTGTAATTCAATGAGGTTATTTGACTTGTATCAAGAGCTATTATAATCAATTATTATCAAACACTGTTGGCAAGCACGCTCATTGCTGCAATCTGAGGAATTTTTTTTCATGTTAAGCTTAAATAGTGGTCCTAATGAAACCTATGTCTTTTTGATGTCATTGCACTAAGTGAAAAATTGTATCAAAGTTGTTTCGGAAGTATTGAGTCAATCTACTCTACGCCATATTTCACACAAAATGTTGTGACATCAAAAATATGTACATATTTTAGAAGTAAAATGTGCAATTCTTTTAATAAATATTGCATGTGCTGTGATATTAATTGTGATGATCTTGATGTAATTCTGATCAGCCTTAGACATAACTATGCTGCGTTGGGACATTGAGGAGTGCACTGCAAGGTGATTTTTAAATTGTTCTGTAATTGGTATATATCCATTTTCCTGATTTGTCTTTTATAGAGTAACTATATATAATATTTTACAAAATTTTATGCTCCTTATCAGTGTTTTATATATATATAGTAACTGTGTAACCATATTCAGTTTTATTATATTTTGTCTATTCTTTTTTTGTATTTATTGTGTTTTATACCACATATATGTCTTATGGCTTTTCTATATCAGTTGTATTATTCCTGGGATTGGGTATACTCTGTTGGAATAAAGATTATTATTATTTTCTACCCCTCCACCCAGTAAGTTGCTGTGTGCTGCATAGATGCAGGTAGTGGTAGTTTGTATTGCATAAAGGTAACTCAGAATGTGTAGATTTTATCACAACTGGTGGAAATCATAGATAATTCTAAAATAAACTAACACACCAACTTGCATGAAAATTGAAATAAACATTTTCTGAAGCAACATAGTAGATTGCAAGACCCTCTGCACCACCATTGCTAGGCAATGTGGATATGAACTTCACTCTTCAGCAGGCTTCTATCTTTTTCTAATTCATATTTGCGCTAATTTTTAGTTCTATTTCTTTCATCTACACCAAAAAAACTAGCATCTATCTAAAATAATTTTTTCATCAAAATGTTTTTTCAAATACCATTTTTCAGCAGTACCTTGACATGAAATAACAGCACAAAACAGACCATAAGACACTACTGCTGCTATTTCTTTTTATATTTATAGAATCATATTTTTAGTTTATTCGTTATTTATTCTTTTTTTCAGCCATTTGTAAAGCTTGGCAGTTCTTACTATCATAATAGCCACCTAAAATTTGTAAATATTCTCGATATGGGAACACCAACAAGTGTCAATAACAATTTCAATAGATTCCTAGTAGCAGAAAAGTCGTAGAGTGAAAATATACTATACTTGGACTGCTACTTCCAAATTTGGGCTTTATACAATTCTCACTTGCCAAGCATATTGAAAAAAAAACGTGAATCGTTGGCACGGGTAGACGCAAGTTGGCATCACAACTACATAATAATTTTCTAATATTTTTTAGTTATCACAAGTGCACGGCCTTTGCAATACCCAGGAACGTGATCAAACACTTTACGCGTGAATCATCGCAAGGCCGGGGCACGTTGGATGGCTGAAAGCATGCCCGCATGCCGATCCACACGTTACAAACTACGGCTACACACGCAGAAATACAGCTCTTCTAATGCTGCAAACATGCACTGGAGGCAGAATATCACTAGGGCTTACCTCGGCCTGCGTTCTCACATTGTTATCGGTCGACAAAAGGGTTGTTAAGATTTGAAAAAACTGCTCTTGTTCGGCGGCCATGGCGCCTTCCAAGTCAAAGAACACGATCCACGCGCGATAACAACAAGAAAAACCGCCGTCACGACGTGAGACAGTTGACGTCTGTCAACTATAGAACACGGATATTTCAGAAGGGCAACTCACCTGTAATGAATGAAACACGTACATTCAAGAGCAGGGTCGTATGCTCCGCTGTTCGATTTTCGTCCGCCGGCGCGCAAGACGTCACGCGGAGAGTGATTATCATTTGGGTTGATATGGATAACGTACATATTTTCAACTACAGGCCAAACGGCTGGACGGATTTTCAAATATGATGTGTCGTTGGATTCGTCTTAGTGGTGCGAGTGACACTAGCTACATTGAAATTTTATAAACAACAAATGGTGGATTTTAATAAAAGATTTCAACCTTGTAATTCCTACTTCATATCCTACAGATCAAACGGCTTGATAGATTTTCACATATGATGGAGTATCCTTTGACTCTACGCTGCAATAGGTAGTCTGAGTATGCGCCTTCGTTTCGCCCCAACATATATGACCTTATTCTATGCTTAAACACTAGAGGACTTGTATGGTCATGAAGACCATCTTTTGCCCTAATTACTCCGAAAAAGTTTTCTATCACATCTATTTAAGAGGTATTGTTAACAGGTATTGGACGCTGAAGCGTCGCTTCAGATCCTCTAGAGCATTTTCTAGCAAACCCTAGCGCTTTTTACATTGACTTTGTCTTATCTTTTTGTGAGATGTAGCCATTTTTTGCTAAAGTTTGGGTCTCGAGGAAAACTGTGGAACTTCATGTCTTTGCAAAGATTCCGTTTAGATTGATTGTCGGAATAACATCCACAACAGCACACCGCATGTTTATCAATTTATCAACCAAACAGGGTATACAAGGTATGTATGACTAATACAACAAGTCACAAAATTACCAAAAAACACCAACAAATCGCAGTATATAGTATTAAACACGATACACGTGAACTGCAGTAACGTTACGACAATCCTGCCGCTGGTAACCACGAGCCGATAACTCTCTTGGTGACGTCACGAAGCTCCGCCCACATGCCCAATATCCTATCCTTAATGTATGTGTATCGTGACTCAAGAGTTACTGCAGCTAGTTCGAATACCGTACCAAAGACACTACCTTATTCAAATGGCATTCATGCCGCGTCAAAACAAACACGGCTGCTAGAGCGTACAATCTTCGCGTCTTATCTTTTTGGTCTGTACCCACACCCGGTGTTATGCGTAGATATGATTAATATGTAGATGGACACGGTTGGGCGCGTATCAATACACACAACATTTTTCCTTTCCCCCACCTCAACCGCCTATAAAAATACTCTGAAAATAATCAAGACCCTCCGACACGTCAAAGAAAAAAGTTTGAGCGATTTCTATTCTGTTTTTGCTTTTCTTCTCCGCCACCACTGGCCCGATTTCCAAAAGCTACAAAGCTTTTGCATTTTGACATAGTAGCAACACTAAAATTCCATTGAAATCCAAGGGGTAGTTCTTAAATTATAGACGGGTCAATGATTAGCGGACAGACAGGCTGACGGAAATGCTGAAGTGAAAAGACGTCAAATTCTATAACAGCAAATAAGTCCAAAATGGTGGGAGGAGTGGAACATCCTAGAGGTTTTTACAGCCCGCGCAGACATAAGGCGGTCAGGCGTTCCGAATTTTGCGTTCTTTGTAATATGTACTTCTGTTAAGTAACAACACGCACTACCGTCGTCGGACCGCAGCGGTTATTTGAAGTACATATTTTACAATGACCGCAGAACTCTGTCTGCCCGGGCTCTTAGCAGCTGAAAGAACGTATGCTTGGAACACAGCATAGGAAACAATTGTTTTCTGTGCTGTGATTGGCAGGTTCCAATTTCTCAATGTAAATGTTTTGTGGTTTTGACATCTAATACTACATCATACTACATAACCGGGCAAATTACTTCCATGAGTCTTTCCAAGTTAGAAGAAACATGCATTTGAGATTAATTAATAGAATGAAATAGAACATTAATACCACAGTATTTCGATACTAAAACTGTGTATATATTTTATGACTATCAAGTAACATGAATAACTTGAGAAGCTTGTTATCTCATCATGGTCCCATACCAAACACTTTATACAGGCATTACGCATTCAAGAGCGACTTAAAAATTAAATGGGTTCGACCTGAAAAGATTCCTTGTTACAAGCCTGCAAAGAGCGGCGACTTAGAGGGCTTTCCTGGAATTGATAAAAAGCAGCCAATACTGGATTTTAGAGATTCAAAAGAACTGGAAACGGCTGACGACAATGTGAAAAAATTGTTTTCTTTAGAGTTTGCACCCCAAAAATACACACACAGGGTTTATTTCCACGAATTCGTAGATAAGGTTAAGAGACACGAGTATGATATTGCTTCTATAGAGGTTAAAATAGCTAAATGGACAGGTAAAAATTGAATTGCCTAATTTTTCTTATCAATAATTAAATTTCTTATCTGCATTAGGTGTTATAAGGGCTTTCCAGGAATGCATGGAGAGATTTCCACGCAACAAGAGACTAAAAGTAAGTCTCAAAGAGCTGATTGATAAGCGCAAAAAGCACTTGAAGTATCTGAGGAGGTGGGATTATAAACGCTTTGAGTGGTTGCTAGAAACAATAAATATGGTGTATAAACCACCACCAAATGAATTTCATTGGATTACTAGAAAGGATTCATTGAGGAAGCTAACAGATCAGCATTGTGAAAAAATCAGATCAGAACGACTAAATCAGGTAAGTGCAGCTGAAAGTAAAAATAAATTTTTCTATCTGTCTTTAAAATGAAGCATAAAGTATTTTTTGATAAACATTTCTAAAGTCCAAAAGAGGTTGTGAATGACCTATTTGCTTTGCTCTATATTCATTTTAATGTTATATCAGTAAACTTTTAAGCATATTATGTTAATACAGATGGAAATTTGTAAACTCTCATACACTAATCATAAAATTTCTGTGTTAATATTAACAGTGGCTATTTCATATACAGTATAAGCAGCAACTTGAAAATGAACAGCCAGCATTCTTGGAAGAGAAAATCAGAACTCTACAATTCATTAGAGAAGAACAGAAAGAATGTGGTGCTGAAGTAACAGTTACTGAAGAAGAAATAGATAATTGTAGGAAACTACTAGATGAATTGAAATTGAAGAAAAAAGATGACAAAGATAAAAAATATTGAAATGTTATCTTTTTTAAATAAATGGTTTATTGGATGTTGCACTACCTCTCAGATGATTTATATTCCTGCCTCAGACTTGCTGATTTAGTATAGGATTAATTTGTAATAAAACTAACATGTCACATAGAGAACAAAAAGTCACATATGAGTTTTTAGTTTATTTGAAGATGTACATGCACAAATAAAATAAATAAAATATTACATTGAAAATTTTTCTATGAATGATATTTCTTACAACAGTAAAATCAGTCAATTTCCTAAAAGCAAAATATTGCAGAAATATCATTGTACCAATCAAGTTACAATCGTTGCTAGACTGAATATTTTTTTGAAATATGTATATCACAGAACAAAACATCCTAAGAAAAATATTCTTGGTGAAAATATTTGTAATTTTCCACTTTTGTTAATAGATTTCAACGGACACCATCAAAATAAAACTGGAAATGGTTTTTGAGTGGTTCCTTACAAAATGAATGCATCTAGAATAGAAGTGTAAACAAACAATTTCGATCAAATCATGAATTTAAGACATATGGGACTTAAAATTACAATAATATCTAAAAACAAACATGTGGTTCTCACTTTGTTCATATGCTAAGTAATTTGAACACCAGTACCTTTTCAACTTCAACTATAAAATTGTTGAAATGCACAATTTTTAGCTCAAATGGCAACTTACTCAAATCAGTTAATTCAAAACTCTTTACTCAAGGATACACTGGAAATCTTTGCCCAAAAGAGTGAAACTTTCACATACATTTTTTCTCATCCATGTGGTATTAATTTCTCAGCATTAAAAAAATCTGCAATTATGCTGTTTATCGCCAATAATTATCTTTGCACAGTGCTTTAACACAAAAATGGAAATAATACTGCATTGTATTGTTGCCATGAAAAGTACTTTGTAAACTTTTCATTCAAGTATGTCTTACCACAGTACAAACCGCCGAATTGCAACTGATATGTTCTTTGGATGTGGTTAGTAGTTCTGATTCTGAATATGAGGGCACAATCTAGAGATATAACCACGCGGCAAACCGAAATACTACTAAATTAGATGTAACCAAGCCTTTTTTTATACTCCAACTACCACAAGGCCTAAGGCCTAAACATCCATTGGATACCGTGGGGTTAGCATTAGCAGACAGGTAAAGAAATTTTGAAACTGGGCATTCTTGCCGTGATAACCTGTAGTCGTATATACCGCCAGTTGCATTGCATGCAGCAGTATAGCAGGTATCTTTGACAAATATGAAGAAGTATTACGATAAGCTTGAAATATAAAGAGAGTACCAGAATAACATCATTATCAGAGACTTTGTTAGATCTTCTTATTGTAAATTTCGAATGTGCAGGGATGAAAGCTGTACATACACCTAAAGTTAGCGATCACAGTTGGACAATGCTGCCCTTGGTACGGCATTTGTCTGAATACAAAATTTAAGAAAATCGTAAATACTATTAAGTACGAAAAACTTGAACGAGAACTTGCTGGCTGCTATTGGAATTTTGGTGAGAATATGGAAAAAATATATGACAACATAATAGGAAATATAAAACTTGTTTAGATCTTGCAACTGATAAAAAAGTGATTTGCTCGACAAAAAATACACCTGGTATAACAGAAATATTAAGGCAGCTCAAAATTTGAGAGACAAACAATACAATAAATTTATATTCACAAAATCAAATGATGATTGGGAGGTATATAAAACTCTTAGGAATAAATGTGTATATGTAATTAGAGAAGAAAAAACGAAATCTACGATAAACAAATCGATAATAAGTGCGACAGTGTAAAGATGTGGAAGACTTTAAAAAGACTGATTAATTCGAAGCCGCATGATTTGGTAAATCAAGTTCAATTCGAAAACGGTACCGAACAAATTCTTTGGTGATTGCAAACAAAACTAAATGAATATTTTGTGGAAAGTATTGTTGATATTGTGGGTACTGCCAATGCTGCACCTGACTATATGACAATCAGTTTTCCAGGGGGAAATGTTGCATACACTTTCAAAATTTCACAGCGTATCATTGAATTATCTAAGAACAGTTTAAAATCAAATAAAAACTGTGCAGAATCACTACTAAAAACGTGCTGAAAAACTGTTTCGAAATTTGGGATATCCTGTATTAAAATGGATCAATTGTTCATTGAGAAGCAGTTCTTTTCCTGAAAAATTTGAAATGCTCTACAATAACACCAGTTCCCAAAAATAAAAAATTCTAAAAGATGCAGCGATATAAGACCAGTAAATGTGTTACCAGACATTGAAAAATTATTAGAGTCCATAGTGCATGACCAATTGATGCAGTTTATAGAAGAAAACAAAATTTTAGTGGAGGCGCAAGCAGGGGCTTTTTTTGTGTTACAATTTTTATTTCTAGTATCATATTCATAATTTTTATAAATGGTCGAATGTTTGTTTTCATGGAATTCTACTATAACAATATACCAAAATAATTTTTTTTATATCTAAAAGTTTTGATTCTATAAACAGCCATCTGCAGGGATATATCGGTTTGTTATGAATTGTGTTTGCAAACAAACTAAATCAATATTTGTGGAAAGTATTGTTGATATTATGGGTACTGCCAATGCTGCACCTGACTATATAAAAATCAGTTTCCAGGGGGAAATGTTGCATACACTTTCAAAATTTCACAGCGTATCATTGAATTATCTAAGAAAAAAAGTAAACAGTTTAAAATCAAATAAAACTGTGCCGAAACACTACTAAAAACGTGCTGAAAACTGTTTCGAAATTTTGGGATATCCTGTATTAAATTGGATATCTGTATTATTGGATCAATTGTTCATGAGAAGCAGTTCTTTCCTGAAAATTTGAAATGCTCTACAATAACACCAGTTCGCAAAATAAAAAATTCTAAAAGATGTCAGCGATATAAGACCAGTAAATTTGTTACCAGACATTGAAAAATTATTAGAGTCCATAGTGCATGACCAATTAATGCAGTTTATAGAAGAAAACAAAATTTTAGTGGAGGCGCAAGCAGGCTTTCGAAAAAAATATTCCACAGAAACGCTTTCCAGTTGGTAACTGAGAATTGGAGAAGAGCCATAGACTCAGAAGAAGTTGTCATAGCAGTATTTTTGGATTTGAAGAGGGCATTTGAAACGATTGATAGAGATATTTTGTTAGGTAAATTGAAGGCATATGGTATAACAGGAAGTGTTTTAGATTGGTTTAGAAATTATTTGTCTAAAAGGATGCAAGTTACAAAAGTTAATGACACTATTTCATCAAAAATTGAAAATACGTTGGGTGTTCCACAGGGCAGTATCCTGGGACCACTTCTTTTTATTTTATACATAAATGATTTACCTGCCATAGTCAAAAAATGCAAAATTCAGATTTTCGCCGATGACACTATGATTTATATAAGTACTAAAAATATTCAGTCTGGTATCTCTATATAAATGAAGACTTGAAGCTTGTCTCAAAATGGTTAGCATCTAACAGACTAAAATTAAATGCAAGTAAAACGAAAGCCTTGTTAATCGGAAAAAACAATGTACAAATGTTCAACTGAATATTGATGGTGAAGATATTGAATTCGTAGAAAATTTTAAATACCTGGGGTTTTTGTTGACTCTCGATTAATTTTTGATATTCATTATGAAAAAGTTATAAATAAGATTAGTAGTAAAGTGGGATATTTATCGAGAGTTTCTGGATGTCTGAGTTCATATAGCAGAAAAATTATCTATAATACCATCATTCTTCCAAATTTCTTGTACTGTTCGACTATTCTATATTTAATTCCATTTTTGAAAGACTGCAAATTTTACAAAATAAGTGCATGAGAATAATACTAAATAAAGATAAATATACTCCAATTAGGCAAATTAGCAATTAAAAATTTTTATCAAATATCTTGTAATGATATTCATTTATAAAGTAAAAAATAATATATTTCCATCAAGTCTAACTAATTTAACATCATCAAATGTCGACCATCATTTACATAATACCAGAAATAAAGATGACTTCCATTTAATGACCAAAAAGTATAACATATGCTACAAATCTGTATTCCATCAAGGGTTGATTGAATATAATAAATTATACTCGGAGATAAAAGACCAGAAAACTTTGACAAAATTTAAAGTGAAATTGAGAAATCACTTGTTAAATCTACAATTATAGGTTGCCCAGCATTTACATCATACACCATATGGCTTGAATTTACTAGTTCTAAGTTGTTGACAATTATTCTGTTTATGTAGCCAAATGTGCTAAATAAATCTTTCTACTACTACTACTACATAAAGATGATATAGCATTTTCTGAGTTGGGTGGTGTGTGACGTCAATTACACACTTAGGCTCGCACATTTCATTCATCTTTGAGGTTCAAGCTGAACAGTCGCAATTTATTTGTATGTTGGCATATACTTGTGCGGTATTACAGATAACACGGCAATTTTTACCGTCTTAAATATTTTCTAACTCATAAATGACATATTCGAATCGAATAATGATTAAAAGCTTATTTTACATGTTTCTAGCAGGATGCACAGCATAAAGCTGGAATGCAAATACTGAGAGATTGGAATAATTAGCCTTTTAAAAAGACCTGCAAACGGTACAATTATCCGGCTGGTTCGTAAAATTTACCACTCGGTTTGTAACTTGTACCTCACCAAAAAGCAAGATTTTAGTTGTCAATCGATTTATTTAGCCATCATACACAGAAACACCATAAATTAGGAACATATGTGAGACAAAATATTATTCATTTAAGATGTTCGTATAAATCGAAAAGTTTCATTCACAACACTTAAGAATCACTGATTTGAAGCACAATGGTAAAATAAAAACATTGACAATATTCGTTCAATAATTTAATTCTAGCGCAACAAATTGTCGAACCGGTATGATTGGCACAAATTGTTTATTTTTTCAAGACCTGTTGTTAAGTTTCACCTGCTTAAAATCTTGCAAAATAACCAATGATTACAAAAACAACGAAGTCAAATGTTTTATTGTTTCGGGAAACACAAAAAGAGTGTAGCAAATTCATTCCATATTTCAATTAATGTTATTCAACATACATCTGCTACTAGGAATTTAGATTTGACTATGGATAGTGACCTGAGGTTTTCAAAGCATTTTGATAAGTGGATTGGCCGTGCTTATGGATTTGTATAACAAGGTATGATGTTGATTGTATAAAGCGTGTCCAAAGGTCTTGTCTTAGGTTTATTTTTGGAGTGAAAAAATCAATGTTCGGTCCCGGAAGTTGATTTCATAACCACGTCATCGTACATCTATTCTTAATAACGCCAATGACTACCCCTTGTTGGCCGCCGGGTGATGGCTAAGAGCCTTTTTATAAATTCTTTGTAACAAGCGGCGCTGACCATCTGCTAGCTGGGAGTAGAACCAATGGTTCGTCATTGATATTGGGGTAAGTGTTGTTATTTGGAAATCTTCGTCCCCGTTTACACCAACTAGAATAGGCACACTCTAATACTTAAAATAATCATTTTGACCATATTACCTAAATACCTACTTACATCAAAATGAGATTCGCAGCAGTACAATGATATTCCCTAAAGAGGAAATGTATAGTCCCTGTTCATTACCAACAACCACTTTTCTCTAATTACTTCCCACGCCTACTGGCGGGAAGAATTGTTATCGCGAAATGTTTCGAAAATGAGATATGTTTTTTGGATCTTATATGAAATGTACATACATCTCGATAAACCATGTCACTCATTTCTGTCGGTCTGTCCGCTAATCTTATAACCGCCTAAAACTTGAGAAGTGCCGATCAGTTTTCGATAAAATTTTTATGCAATGCCAAGGACGCAAAAGCTTTGTAGTTTTTCGAAATCGGTCGAGCGGCGGCAGAGAAAAAGGCCAAAAACGAAAAAGAATAAAAGTTGCTCAAACTTCGTTTCGGGACGTATCAGAGGATTTTGGACATTTTATAAAAAAAAATGAGGCAAAAAGACTTGGGAGGTGTTGTACCTTGGTATTCTACGCACCTATAAGACGCATTTCATACATCACAGACTTCTCCGTACATCAGCACTTAAAGCTTAGAAGAATATTCTCAGCGGACGTATCGCGTACCTACCGCCGGCCTTGATGAGTGCTCTATTGTTCTGTATTACACGTATTTCTACTGCGCCACAGTGTTTCCTATGCTCTGTGCGCGCTGCCTCATCTGTCCGGGGAGAGGCGACGTTTCCAGATGCACTACCAGTAGGGCAGGGAAAGAATGTCCATGGACTAGTTGCACGGACCTGTTGGACTTACCTTTTGCACAGACGATCTAGTTTGTTCTGAATATAATCCTTTATGAACTGATAACGGCGTTGTGTGGAAAGTGTAGTCTACCAACGTGACGCCAACCTTTTTTTATAGTTTGGCACAGGGAAACACGTTTGTAATATACACGAAGCGTGTGGTGGCAATGGTGTCAGTCAGTCAGTCACAAGCTCCAGCAAGGCGATTCTCCAAATAAGAATCTTCTGGGTAACATAATTTTGCGATCTTTTAAAAATATAATTTTTTTCAGCGATGCGAGCGATTTACTTGGATTATCATTTTTAAGTGTGTTTCAAAAAATAGGAAACTTCCTTATTAAGCGTAAAGTAAGTTCTCCAAGATACCGTTTGTGACATATTGTTTGCAATTGCTTTTTATCTAAAAGAATAACAGTATCTGCATTTCTATTGATCGACTATCAAGTTATAAAGTTATCCTACCTGCCTGTACAGGATTCAAAAACAAGTGTGAAATTCAAGAATTATTACATTCTCCAAAAAATAACATATTTTCCTTGGTAATTGTGTAGTCTCAGTACTGACTGTATTCAACACAATTTGGCGGTATTATATTCGACACTCGCTGGATATGGCAAGAATCAAGATTCTACAATTGTGAAACTTTTATTGTTGAAAGGCAAATCTAAAAAAATTCAATAAAAAAAACTTTTGATGAATTTCATTACATACCATTTTGGTATGGCGATGGTGGGTTTTACAAATAATTACATGGAATTTCTGACACGACAGACCACTGACGTACTGGAAAAATGTAGAGTTTAAAGTTTGATTACAATCAGATTGGTTAGCATTAGTACAGATACAGTATTTAGTAGATACACTCATTAATATGTACAAGTAATAAAAATTACAATTAGTTTTATAGTCTAAGTATAGTCAGTAGTTCCAGCAATTGTAGGACACCTTTATGGCCTCCTTGATTTTCATAGTTTCATACTGTCCGTGTCAGCGCTCTATTTTGTTACAAATATCTATTTGCATCAAATTGTTCATGCTTTTGATTGATATCATCTGTCATATAGCCTGAAATTTCCTACAATTCAAAAAGAAAACTGACACGGAACAGCAGAAGACTATAAATTACCTAGCCTTTCTGAAGGAGAGAAAAGACTGTAAAATCAAGCAGGCCATAAAGGCGTCCTATAATTGTAGGAACGACTGACGATACGGCCCTAAATACAGCCAAGTCCACTGAATATCAGTAAAACTGTTCTAAGACATTTTGAAGCACACAGAATTAATTATCTCCATATCTGAAAGTTTCACTAAATCAAGATCGTTAAAACGCACACCATCAAATGCTATTTCAGTACGTAATATCCAAATTCACAAACTCATCTTAAAAAAACATTAGGTCGAGTATTCACGCTCACTCTCACAAATCCTGTTCTCTGTCACTGCCATGTTCCTCAGCATTTTACGACTTTTTGAAAAAGGAGGTGATACTCTTTGATCCACTGGCTGCTTTCGCTCGAGCCTTCTCCTTTGTCGATGGTGCTGGGGACTGGGTTTGAGGTGGGTACGGCGGGGCCCCTGGTTTACTCAAATCTAGTACGTTTGATCCCATCCTTGCACTAGTAGAATTGCTATTTTCTTCTTCTGGTAAAAAAACATATCAGTTATTGAAAACAGACTCAACCACTTTCATGAATGTGATAAAGGTACAATGACAAGGCAACACAATTCCTGAAGATGAGGCATTGATGCAAGTGCGTACCCACGGGAGGAGGGGGGAGGGCAGCTACTCCCCCTATTCTCTAGCTCGGTAAAAAAATTAAATGGAGAGAACATTTTTCACAAAGAATAAATTATTTATGTACAGATTTCTCCACACGCTGAATCAAAATCTATTAGTTGAAAAATTACTAGGGTTAGTTGAAAGCCATGTTAGATATAAACTTAAGTTTGCTAAAAGCACTATATATGTTAAGTATGTTTCAAACCTCCCTTTTGGGATCTTGGAAACGGTTCACTGTGGTCCGTACATGATCAATAAATATATCTCATTATAAATATACGAAGCGGAGTACTTTATGGGAGCAAGATGCGTGGGTAAATAAAAGATGGAACTTGAGCAGTATGGAAATTCAAAGTAGCTCCGAATTTAATCGAAGTCGTTTTTATATTTTCCTGTCTTTAGTTTGTTTCAGATTTATTTAGCATTAATGCTACAATGTCCATAATATCCATATTACACGGTATAACACAAAATATATTACGAGACTACATATTTTTATGCAAAATTTCACTACTATGAATTCTGGTTTTCCACGAGATATTTTTTCAATTTCCCTTTGAACATTTTCAAACTGACACACATCTTGATATCATTACTTAATTTATTAAAATACTGACTTGCTCGTTATATTGCTACTGCAGTTTTGTAAATGAAAGTCTATACTTCCTCTAGTAGAAGAATTGTGGCACTCATGTTCAATACAATAAAATTTTCTAAGTGATTTGGTTAGAAGATGACTTTTTTAACTTGAATATGAAAATAAAAACCAAGTAGGCTATGAAATTTTTGATATTTAACTTCTATCAGCATAAAATTTATTCTGGTAGAACCTAATTTTGCTTACCTGGTGACACACCTACCGAAATGTTTTTTAATGTTTGATAATGTATTGCCAATTTTAGTTCTTTGTCTTCTATTGATTAATAATTTTGTAATAAGTTGAATAACTGAACCTCGAAATCCATAGCAATGCAATTTTGTAACAATTCTCTCCCTGTCAATAGTCTCAAATACTCTGTTGAAATCTAAGAACAATGTTACTGTAAACTTTTTTTCATTCCATATTTCGCCTCCATTGTTTCTAACTACCATTTGAATTGCTGTTTCAGTAGAATACTTTTTCTGAATCCTGCTTGAATTTTGTCCATATCTTATTTTCTCTTCAATATATTCAATGACTTTTTCATAATATGATTCCTGCTAAGAGCTTCTCGATATCTGGCAGTACAGTAATTGGCCGCATGTTTTGTATATAACCTTCAGAATTTTGCAATTTTGGAAACCTCGAAACATATCCACGAATGGTCGCTTATTTAAAAAAAACCTTAATACTTCAAATTTCTGTTCAGTGGTTATTATTAAATGGATCTTAGTTTCGTGAACAGTTTTGTAATCCCTTTGTTAAGTCATTAAACTTGTGTACATTGTAATTTTGTTTCATCTTGATTTCAAAATTAATATACCACCATTGATAATCAACAACTACAGTATTATGTCTTTTTACTTCATCATACTTAGTGTGTATATTAGTATGGCCACCTGTATGTCTAGAAACTGTGTTTTACTCTTAACAACATCAAAATGATGAATATCAATCTCCATATCTTCAATATCTTCTGTAATATGAGTTTCAGTCAAGCAAAGAACTAACGGTTTCCACTAATATTAAAAAATTTATAACTTCATATCCCTGTGCGATAAAAAATCCTTGAATATTTATAGGGTATATGTTGTTAGAATATTTTTTGCCTGTATTTGCTTATTTGTTACCATGAGAAACTTTTTTTTGATTTTTCATATTCGATTTGGACTATGTTGCAGGTATAGTGGAAGGATGAGTGATTTATATCGAAATTTTGTGTTGTACTTTCAAATTTGATTCTCTGTAATTTGGACATGCTATTTCAATCTTTTGATATCGTACAGTTCTGGGGCCTGTTGATTTTGATTAATACAAATACTGGTCTTGGTGCAATTCTTCCTTCGCTGTGTGGTGAAATCCGCCACAGTAAAACACCTCAGAAGATGGTAATTGCTCAAAATTGTACAAACATCCATGGATACAAACGAAACTCCTGCTTTCATTACTGCTTCAAATGTTGATCTATCCAATTCCAAAATTGGCCATATACTGAAATTTCATTTTTTTGATTTGCCACTAACTTTAATCGAAGCATCCACTATTTATAACGTTGTGTCTCATTTTTAAGTCTCTAACCAATTCTTCATTGTTTAAGTCTTCACTGAAACCCGCGACTTTAATCATTTGGTAATTTTTTGTGGCCTTACATTTACTTTATAATTCTGTCCAAACACTTTTCTATTTCTAATTTTAACTTTTTGATATCATCGATATCCTTGCATTCAATTTTCAGTGCTCCATCTTTCAGATCATTACTTTTTAATAGACCAAATTCATTTTTGCTGGATTTATATACTTGCTCAATTCCCTTCTTTCTTTGCGTACAACTTGATTTGTATTATTAGGTTTAATATCAATTCCGGTTGTATTGTTGTGTTTAATTTTTTAGTATATTTTTACCGTTTTTTTTTTTGGAAATGGCGAAGTAATGTTGGTGTTTTCAGGTGTAGAACTTTTGACCATGTCTGCATAAGATTTACTGTTATTTGCAGATGTATCTTGCAAATTCATCTATTTGTTTATTTAGTTTATCTATTTTAACATATAGTTCTTTATCAGTTTTCTTGTATCGAAATAGTTTATCTTTAAAATGTCTGTTACACAAAACTCCTTTTTCTTCATGTGATACTTTCAAAAAGTCGCTTCGATCGGTGCGGTCGCATCTTTCTTGATTTGTTTTGAAGGCATCAAAATAATACTGCAAGTTGAAAAATCTCAAAAAATGGCCGCCCCCGCGACGTGTGATAAATATCTAAGCAAACATTTCAACCAAAAGATTTACAAAAGCGTTCGTGCAATTTGTGTCCTATACAAAAAATAGGAATGAACACGTCAGTACAATTAATGAAAACATGTCCAGTTGGTCCGGTACGACAAAAAAATAGGGACGATAGGCGAAAGGCATACCAAAAAATGACCCTAGTAAAAAGTTTCACTGTTTTTGAGATATTATTTTTTTCGTCTCTCTTTTCTTAATCTATCTTTTGTTGCTGTGCATAGAAATAACAGGATAACTGTTTTTTTGAAAAATATTGTCAGATAGTTGGTCTGGCGTTTGAAATATCATTTTCGATAAATACAAGTAATTTTACTCAACTTTGGTATTCGGCAATGAAATAGAAATGTACTAGACTGCTACTGCAAAGTGCTGCGATTAATTACCAGCTTGATCAGCAACAAAAGATACATCAAACGAGAAAATTTTTCGAAAAAGACCAAAAAAATTTATATCGCAAAAAACAGTCATTTTTTGGTATGTTGTGTGCCTTTCGCCTATATTCCCCATTTTTTTGTCGTACTATTTACCGGATATTTATACATAGATTTTGTTATATTTTAGTTTCAAGTTAGCTTTGTCATTGAGAATGATTGCATTCTTCAAACAATAAAACATCTATCTATCTACATTGTTTTCTTTCTTGTTTCACAGTCCAATAAATTTGACCTTTATTCACTTTATGATTTATGTTTATCGTTTATCGGCATATCCTTAGTCATATCGGCGATTTTTACAAATATCGGCAAATTAGGCTGATACTACCGATATGCCAATATACATATCGGTATCGGACAACGAAAGGGGACTAGGTAGAAGGAGCATGTATATCATTTTTTTTTCCTAAATTATGTAATCGGTAGTCAGTATGAAAGTTCAGAGTTTATACTACAAGTCGCCAGGCTTAAGCCGTCAGTTTGACAGTTGTTGACATTTCACAGTAAATTCGTACTTTTCTGCAAAACATATAAAAGTGCATGATTTCCATACAATTCTAGATAGATCTAGAAAATGGTAGGAGGTTTCAGAGGACTGCAAAAATTAGTTTAAACTGAATAAGAGCAAAATCTCTTTATCAATATAATACACTACTCCAAAAAAGTAAAGTGAGCAAGAAAAAATCAAATTTTTCGGTGAATCTTGACGGGTTGTATTTTGGTGTAAAATGGTTTTTGTGAAAAAATATTGTATGTGCCAAAACCCATCAATTGCTAACACACAGGAGGTTTTCCATTATACACCTTAAATTAATGGTGGCAATATCGATGATGTGGAAAAATCTCCTACATAAAAGTGTGTGTCAAAAAAGTTATTTGTCTCCTCGAAAATTTTACTATTTGACACATTAAATGGAAGGTCAGCAAAGGAAAACATAGTGGATTTGTTTAAGAAGAGAGGGCCTAGACATTGTTGCATCAAATGACCTGTGGGTTTTTGTCTTTTGGCATCAGGCGAAGGCTGCAAAGTAGCAACACCACTCTTTCGTTTAACTCCTTGAGGTTCTTGCGGCTGGTAAGTTGAGGAATTTCAACAATTTTTGACTCAGGTCATCCATGAGGTATTCTGAGACAATTCCATGTGCAATACCTAGAGAACCAGAATACGACAATCAATGTGTGAGAAAAGTTAAGGCCAGATGAAATTAAAAAATGCTACTGTAGTGGCAGAAAGGTAAGATGAATAAAAAATAATTTTGGGTTGTTGTAGGAAGAATTAAAATATGAAATTTCTTTCAATTTGAATGAAACTAATAATTTTTTACCATTACCTTATGTATGCATCATTATCAAATTGTTTCAGTTCTAGATGACTTGACAAATGTAGCAGAAACTGCTGCACCACCACCAACATGAATGTTCTTCTTTGCTTCAGTATCTCTGCCACCCTTTCAATTTTTTTCTTCAACCACATCAATGTCCTTTCTTCATTATATTTAAATGCATTTAACTCTTCATCACCCTGAAATAGGATTATATAAAACAAATTTTCAAAGACATAAATAAAAAAAAATATTAAATAGACAGCACTATAATATATACTGTTAAAATCAAATATTTCTGCTGATAATGAAAATATTTTCTGTAATAGACACCTTACCTTCTGTCAGATATCATGTTAAGGTACTTCAAACCACTAGATTGAGTAGTCTTTCAGTTTCTGGAAATTCTTCATCTCTTAAAGTTGATCTAATGGAATGGCCTGGTTTGTACAATATTTTCGTAAATATGGAAGAACTGCAATGAAATTAAAACGAAGCATAAATAAATTATAATAAAAACATAGTAATTGCTTTTGCTGCTCATTTGACCTGTACAAAGAATGAAATTAATGTAGAAAGTTATAGTTTGCATTTAAGAACATCATGAAATTCTTTGTACTTGCAGAAGTTGCAGCCTAAAAAACAAAATGAATGGTGCAACTTAAGTAAGACGTAAATAAAAAACAACACTAGTGTGTTTTTAATGTATTTGCATACTACAGTGAGATCTAAATACTATAATGAATGCTTACCTAAAAATATTGGATCAATAGGGGTAGACAGATGCATCTTGCCATCACTTTTAACTGTTTCATCAATGAACCATGATCTCTTCCCTTCATTAAAAGTAAGAACTTCTTGGACAGAATTGTTTGCAGGAGAAAATAAGAACACAGCTGCTTCTCCTGTATTTGGGTGTCTGAGTGTCACTATGTCAGGAGTCCCGCTTCCTGTATATTGCTCAGATAGCTCTAGGGCCTCTCCTAAATTATCAAGTATATTGCAGTCATGAATACTATGAACATATGAAATGTCATATCTAATTTCAAAAGCAAGTCCAGGATTTCAGGTAGAGGAGATAGTCTATATGTCTATCTGCAATATGTAGGAGCTAGAGAAGACAGTTTGCCCCTAAAAGGAGACAGGACACTTCCTCTGTCTCTATCTGGGTATATCATAATTACATGTATGTACTTAGAAATTGTCAATATTCAACTAAACAATGTTTACTATGTATATATTAATATATATATATTATATATTATATGATATATATATGTTTAGTTATGTTTGTACAATATGTGAATAAACTTATTACTATTATATGGGTTTTCAACTTCATGATCAAGTTTCAGTAATGTTATTTCACACTTTAAATTATTGTCAGCAGGTAAATATATGAGTAGATTTTTTACTTCAGCAGCCAGCAAAAATTAATATCGCTATAAAAGAATTTATTTAGTTACATACTCTGGTATCAAAAAATTTATTAAATGAGGAACATATATCTTGGAAAAAAATAGATGTGACATATACCATGTTTGAATGCGATTTTACATCTTTAAATAGAAATACTACAAAAAATTCAGCAGTTTTAAAACATAGGAAGAACAAACAAAAAAAATAAAGAAAAAGTATTTCTATCTACGAATCATATGAATTTTTAAAACTGCTTGTAAATGCAAATATGAAATCACAATTATCATAAATTAATTTCAAATAAAAAAATTTGACCTTATAAAAAACGCGTTCGTATGGTTTATCTGGGCAGGGAAGTCAAAAACAATCAGGCAGCATTAGGAATATCGATGTACCGGGAAAAAGTAAATAAAAATAAAACCTAAAATCCATATCCAATATCCTCACCTTTTAACAGAAAAACCCATGAATTGGTGGGCTGTTGAGTATTAGTTTTGATGCATTTCTTCCGGCGATGACTTCACTCGGGGCATTTTGAAAGTTTTTATATCGGTTTCAGTTATAAAATCACATAAACATAGCCTTCGATTTTATTAAAATTAAAAATTCAGAAATGGTAGCAGTGGTGGCAGCACAAAACATGGATGACGTATGACAACTAATTGACAGTGACAACATTCGGATTCAATCATCGCCATGACATGTGCGTACAGTACAAAGTAGTTCAATGGTAGTGATGCACTTGTGTTTCTCCCAACATCTGGCGCTCTATGGTTCCATGTCAAAAAACGTAAATAAACAAAAAAGTAGGGTTATAGTCTTAGTTTTTGAAGATGTATAGGATTTGGTAAGTTATTAACAAAAATGTAATTTTACCGATTATAACAGTAATTCCAGCATGGTATCTGATTTCTTTTTCCCAAACAGGGAGGCGTAGAAGAACACATTTATAACTTGTCAGAATGTCTGATACTAAGTGGACACAAAGTAAATTATCATGACCCACAGCTATGAGGACAGAGTGGGCATAAGGTTTCTAACAAATGGCTTAAAAGTTTATTATCTGCCAATTAAAGTTTTCTAGAATCAGTGTGTTTTACCTACAGCTAGATGCAATATTCCTTTGATCAGAAATATCCTTATCCGGAAAGGATAGAGATTGTACATGGCCATTCTGCTTTCTCTGCCTTAGCATATG